TCCACTCTTCCTCGGTGAGCCAAGTGCTTAACGATTGGATCCAAGTCTTGTTATCAATCTTCAAGAAGGGTTCAACTTCATCCTTGCTCCTCAGATGTCTATCCTCGTGTCGCTGAGTGTGAGGCCAATCACTACCCCAAACAACACGCTTCGGGTTCGCGTGAACCAGCTCTGTCACAATATCGCGGAGATCATCAAAGGTTGGATCAGCACGAGAATTCCGATACGGTGCTGAAATTTTCATCCAGACATTTCCATCCGAAATGGCACCCAAGAGATCTTGCCAGCCCGGTTGACTGATGGCCAGTGCAGCCCCTTCCGGTGTCATGCTGGCCGCCTTCACGAGCGCCATATGGTCGATCACAATGGGCAGACCGAGGTCCTTGGCGACCTCGCGAATTTGCTTCCAGTATGTGAGATTCGGCTGTTGCATTTGCACACTCCAGCCATTGCCATTGGGCTTCCAGCGCAGGAGCCTGTTGGCAGTTTGCTTGATCATGTCGATTTGCTTGTCCAAGTCGTTCATGGCCTGTGCTTTGAAAAAGTCCAACCGGACACTGCGCATGCCTGCGGCATGATACTTGTCAAGCAACTCGTCCGAGATGCTCTGCTCATCTATGACACCAATACCACGAGCGGTCCCCTTGAACTGCTCCAGATAGTACAAGAGAGAAGTACAGTCAGGACCGTAGGAAAGGCCGTGAGCAATACAAACATGTTCGACGCCAATTGAGGCCTCGAACTCTTTAAGTTGATCGAGAGTAGCTACCGAGGGAGTAAAGTGCCGTCCAGCAGCAAAGGGAAATCGCTCCGGCTCGAAGATGTGATGGTGCGTGTCCCAAGCACCAGCTGGTACTACTTTAACAGGGTGTGTCATATTTGAGGGTAGACGGGGGCAAAGGGGCAATGAATCTTTACTCAGGCGATACCTGTTGCTTCTCTCTCGCATATACAAACCTTATATGCCATTACAGGGCTTTGGTATGTCCGAGTCATGATGCCATCGGCCAAAACCCGAACGCCCTCTCCACCTGTCATTCGGCTTGAGCCGGCCAAGGTCACTCCAGATTCCCCACGGTGCTCCGCATAATGAGTGTGAGCGGCTTCAAGCTATCCATAGCGTCAAACGTCTGTCTCGGCATACGTTCCAGTCCTCCGGTAAATACAGGACTTTGCTATCGAATCATCACACCCTGCCAGTCAACCACCAATCGATGGTTGAGCCGGGCTTAGTGACCTATGCTGGCCAATACAGGTTAAGCCCATAGCGCTCGCTTGTCTCAAGCAGCTAAGTCATGCACGCAACGATCGTTCGTCTTTACAGAAGACATGTCGGTCAGGGCTGCAGTAATTACCCGTCTGAACATAAGACAGGCCGGCTAGAGCTGTAGTGATCGCTCATCGCGTTGGAAGACGGGTCGGCCTGGGCTGCAGTGATCGTTCGTCTCGAAAGAGGGCAGGATGTTCGGGTCTGCAGCTATTGCTCATCTTGACGGCAGACAGGTCGGTCAGGGCTACACCAATTTGCTGATGTTGTCTGAACAGCAGACGCGTAAGTCACGTGACTAATAAACAATAACAACCGCTCTTCTTGACGAGAGATAGCTAATTAGGTCATCCCCGTAGCTGTCCCTCGTCTTAACGGCAGACAGCTAAATCAGCTTCACAGCAATCGCTCGTCGGGTTAGAAGATATCTGGGTCATGCGCATAGTAATCGCTTGTCTTGACAATAGAGAGGCTGGTCAACAACACGATTGTTGCTTGTCACAGCAGCGGACAGATGATTGAGAATTGTGGCATTGGCCGGTATCGGCCACCTCAGCCACAAATTTGGTGGCTGCCTAGCAGGGGGTGCTTCGATAGCAAAATCCTACGCGTGAATATGCCGAGGGTTCTCCGAGACGAACTCCAAACCTATCACACTGTTAACATCATGACCAACATATCATCGTGCGATAGTACTTAGCAAAGAAAATTTACAAAGTTTCTAACAGCTTCATCTAACTAATATGAGTATTAACACTTGGGTCTTTCCAACAGCCCTTTATCAATAGAGCAGGAGAAGCGCATCCTATCTTGACGATCGATCTAGAGTAACATCGATTCGGTATAGGGTAGATTACCTAGGTGAAGGTAGATTAGGTGAGGCAGTTTTTCAGGGTCGGCCTGGCTCTGACCCTGGTTTGGCCAGGGATGATGATGAAGGAGGCTACGGATATCGAGTTGCCGGGCGGAATGTCATGGGCATCCCTGACTCAAGGTACCCGGTCAGGTTCGTTCCCGAGACTTTGTCGGCACTTCCCGATAGGTAGAGACCTGATCATTAGAGAATGTCTCCATCCCTAACCAGCATGGCGAGGAGGCAAAATGGGGTTTCCATTTCATTCGGCCATTGACAAGAGGGAATCTGCAATCGCCCTGGAAGCTTTCTTTTCTGTGCACTCAGGGCGCGGTCTTGAAACAATCCAGCCAGTGTGGATCTGAGAGACTTTCAGGACCCCTGAATGTCGGCCCGGACGCACAGGACAAGCTGAAAGAGTTAACTAGCTGTCTTCAGTTGGCTTCCGTTTCTAGCAGCAACAAATAAAATTGCCCAAGGATCCTCTGGTTTGCGGTTACTAGATGCGAAGGTTGGCTAGAAGAGATGCAGGTACCAGTATACAACCTCCTTTGCCACCCTACATGCGTACGTCGTAAATCTCCCGAAAACGAAGGCAAGCGGTGTATGAAGGAGATTTATTTTAGAATAGTGTCCAATCGTGATGAACCACTGGGGCACGTGGTGGTCTTGGCAGCAGCCGTACCCCATGAACGAACTCATGGATGAACGATTCTCTACTGACACCAAGTATTCCAGCCTCAGCTTCAGTCAACATCCTTGGCATGTTTCTTGCATACTACCTATCCTAGCTAAAGATAAGGAGTAGGAGACGTAGTGGGGTGAGTGAACAGATCCATGATCAGGATCAAGTATTCCCCCAAAAGTGGGACCCATTTCTAGTCTGTTATGATGCTCCTTTGTGATGTATAATCCTAGGGCAGCCCATTGAGGCTATGATAATAACACGGTCAAGAACCCGACTTGGCTTCTGAGATGACGTGATACGCTAATCCAAGATACATTCAAATACATACAATTTATGATGTAGGGGTGAGCCGAAAATAAGGCCACTATCGTTTCTTCCGCTCCACATGGAAAGGGCATCCTAATTCGTCAGTCAACGAATCAACAAAAAGGCGAGGAAGTGAGTATCGTAACCCGCCAACCCGCTAGGACATTTCATGTCTCTTGAGACCGCGTGTGACTAAGAAATACAAAGTACTTGGCTAGGTAGAAGTAGTGTCCATGTTATGCTCGACACAAAGGTTGCTCTACAACAAACTGCGATGTATGATGCATACTTTGCATATTAGCCTAGAGGAAGCCTTTCTATGATTTAACCCTTCAATCCTTACATCAGCAAGTCATCACTGATCTCCCTCGTTCGAACCCATGGCCCAATTCTCTTGAATGCTCAAAATGATGTATTCTCGAGATCAGTTGTTCTAAGTTCTGGGATATGGGCCATCCCATCCGCCACTATCTGTTGCTAGTAAAACAAGTCGCGTGAGCTTAACCCACTCGTAATTTTAGACTGGAATTTCACGACTGTGGACCACTGTTATCACGTCGTCTCTTGCTTGGAAGTGTGTGCATCCTGACGCAAACCCCTGGCCTGGCATATTGAGAGCTGACATGGGAAGGGAGTGAGGTAGCCTGATAGCGCAATACAGCACGCGCGTAGCGAGAATTGGCAATTGCCCAGCTTTTGAGGGAATGAGAATGGATAAGGTGGCGGGAGCTGAGTCCAAACGCAGGTGTCCGAGCTCCCGAATATGACGAGAGTACGATATCAAGACCTTGGCCACGTGCTCAGGGCCATAAGTGTAGGGAATATTTATGTTTGGATCGTAGGTTAACTGTATTAGAACCAAGGATTATTGAAGGGATATTAGTAAGGGTGAGAGGGCGCATTGTACAACACTCAACCGCCGCTTCTCTTCTTTCCAACGAGAGAGACAGTCATCGGACTGTGGATTCTAAGCTCTCGACACGCGTTGCTCGCGTGTGATCCCACCTCGAGATTGGGTCGCTAATTCGAGGTTGGTCGCAGGCTCGGTTTTCTGCCAAGAGCTACACCTTGGGGAACAGGGGCATTCTATGAATAAGTGGATATTGTATGGTAAGAGGAGGAAGCCATTCAGCAGAGGCAACTCCTCTGTTACTTAGCTCACAAGGATGTAGCAATCCGTTCGTAAACGATCTTCCACTTCCTGCTTCAAGAAGTAGGCGCTCGTGCAGCCATACCGTAATAGGAACGCGCTGAAATGATTTATGTTCTGCCTAGAGGGATCGCAAGGGCCGTGCCGCGTGACGATGGGCCGGCCGGAAAATGACAAATGAGTGTTCACCACCAGGTGGAGAGTTGATCCTTTTGGAACCTCACTAGGATCGGGCGAATTGCCGAGAACCTATCCGTGTGAGTCTGGCTGAACGCGAATGCCTCAAGATTGAACCCGATGTGCTATTAATACCGTTTCTTGAGATGTCTAGACCGGATTGCTCTATGTCTGGGCAACTTGATCCCTGGATAGGATCTCACGGCCTGTTTAGTTAGATTAGACTTGTGGCGTGCTTTAGCTAGCCAGGTGCGATTCATGTTGAACACCTAGAATCCTTTAGTTGAGAGACACTTGGATTCGATGATGAACCCATGGAGGCAACTCTAGATGAGTGGCGAGTGGAGAGACTATGAAGACAGCGGAAGATTGACTCCTGCTGATGTGAAAAAGTATATTAGACTCTACTTTCTTCTACTTGATTGTTGCTTCATTCTGAACACAACAGTCCTTTCACACAACAACTCTTACCTCATTTCCTTTTCCTTTTTTTTCCATTAATCGTTTCTCTTCTGGTTTAATAAGTTGATCTTACAACCTTCGTTTTTCGATTTTCAAAATGGTCGCACTCAAGCATTTGAGTGTGACTGCAGTCCTCTGGCTGGGCCTTGCTAGCCGTGGACTTGGACAGTCCCTTGATAAGCCCGACGATCTTGTTGTTCGCGGCGAGAACGCTGAGGAAATTGTTACTCGAGATGTCGATCTTGGTCTTGGAGAAAGAGACGAGGACGATGAGCTTGAAACTCGCGACTTTGACGACGAGCTCGTCGAGGTTCGTGACTTCGAGGATGATCTTCTTGAGGCTCGAGACCTCGATGAGGAGCTCCTAGAGGCCCGTGATCTCTACGTCCGTCAGCGTAACCCTCCTCCTCGCCCGGCTCCTATCCCTATTCCCCGTCCTCGACCTGGACCAGTTCCTCCCACTCCTCCTCCATCTCCTGCTAATCGAGGACGCCGTGATCTCAACTACCTCAAGGCCCGCGGTCTCTACGCTCGGCAACGTAACCCTCCCCCTCGACCGGCTCCTATTCCTATTCCCCGTCCTCGACCTGGACCAGTTCCTCCTACTCCTCCCCCCTCACCTGCAAACCGCGGCCGCCGCGGCATCGACTATCTCGAGGCTCGCGATCTCTACGTCCGCCAGCGTAACCCTCCTCCTCGCCCGGCTCCTATCCCTATTCCCCGTCCTCGCCCTGGACCAGTTCCTCCTACCCCTCCTCCTTCTCCTGCTAATCGAGGACGCCGCGGTATCGACTATCTCGAGGCACGCGATCTCTACGTCCGTCAACGCAATCCTCCGCCTCGTCCGGCTCCTATTCCTATTCCCCGTCCTCGCCCTGGACCGGTTCCTCCCACTCCTCCTCCCTCACCAGCAAACCGTGGCCGCCGCAGTGTCGACTATCTCGAGGCACGCGATCTCTATGTTCGTCAGCGCAACCCTCCGCCTCGTCCGGCCCCGATCCCTATTCCCCGTCCTCGCCCTGGACCGGTTCCTCCTACTCCTCCCCCCTCACCTGCAAACCGCGGTCGCCGCCAGTGAAGGGTCCATGACAAGAATGTCTCCTTAGCTAGGCTATTGTTGTAAATTCACCGAAGTACATCAGAAGCCGCAGACCTTTGGGGTAACATCGACCTGACTTGAAACGCGGGAAACAAATCAATGGGGATGTATTCTCTACAAATGAGTTGTAGAGACATGTATTTTAGTTTTTTGAAGAATTTGGGTGGTTTCTATACATATCGAAAATATTACAGTGGTTGTTAAAAAGTTTGCTTCTCTTCGGACTGTGAAAGTCACCAATGTGTTGCAATGGCGATTCACTTACATATGCAGCGTGATGATATGCCTCCAGGGAGACCTCGTCTTGTCTTTGCCTAAAGTCTAGGGAACGTAACGGAAATGTCACGGCAATCCTTGGCCTCCCTACAAGCAGTGTAGTTCCCCATTTCAGGGCCGTGTTTTGGCGGCCTGAGACCATTCGTTCTCCCCTACAAGAGCTGTCCCTCGCAGATGCCAAGCTGCCAGCTGATGATGTTTTTTTGGTCTTCCTTTGTCCATGCAAATTTCATTGATTATTCAATGCGCTGATCATTAGGGAATGGTGGCAGATGGTGGGACTAGACGTAGGTAGGGAATCGTAACTTTTCCCTACCTAAGTAGGTACCTCTAGAAAGCAATGGTAGTAATAAGAAACCCAATTTACAATTTTGGAGTAAGATGCAATTCAAAGCGCCCATAAAGCCATTGAAAGCTACAATCCTACGATAGCAATAGAATGATTGAAGATAGATTAGCCTTCATTCATGAAATACCAATCGGCGTTGGAGAAGATCAGCGCTGATAACGTGTTCTCATTAGTTGAAAGAGCTCACTCTTTTCAAAGTCCCAGATGGAAGCCCCCCTCTTGCACCCTTATCTATATACTACAGGTAAGAAATTCCATAGATATTCTTTGTGGCAGTATTAGGGTCAGAAAAATGCTATCCCTTCGAGACTGCGGTGGCGAACCGGCTTCTCTAGCTAATTCTTTCTTCACGTCGCATGAAGTTGCCACGATAATCTTTGTATCGAAAGAAACGTCGGTCTTTACCCATAGAAGCAATTGGATATAGAAGGTTTATATCAGACTGGCTTAGAATTCTAACTACTTCTATGACCAATGTCTAGTTTACAGCTTAGCCCCAACCATCCATGCTTGAATGCCGCTCACACAAAGCGCAACGATCCGTTTTCATTCCCGATCCTTTCATCCAGATTGATAGAACTTGTAGCCCATTCTCCATTACCGCAGCCCAGCTCGGCTTCGAGCCTCTTCCCGTTGTCGCGAAGGCGCACCTTGCGTGCCGAAGCAATAAAATTACCCGTCTCATTAGATCCATCCACCCAACGGAAATTACCCCAACTATTCTCGAGGTATCGGTTCAGGTCGATACTACTGCTCCTCAAGTCACCATCAACTGGCCAGCATCGAGCCACCAGGGTGTGCGAGTCGTGTTCAAGATAGATGTCCTCGGACGAGCCACTGAAGTTGCCCCTGAACTCGCGGGAACGGCTACGGCTTCTTGATCGCTCCTTCTTTTTCTTTTCCTTCTTGTCCTCCTTCTTCTTTTTCTCATCATCGCTTTTACCGGACACTGTATCCTGGATCTTGTGTCCTGCATACGCGCCGGCGAGGGCGCCTAGTACAGCGGTGGTCTTGCTGTGGCCGGTGACTTTGCCGCCGACTTTGTAGCCCCCGAAGCCACCGGCAGCACCGCCAGCTAGAGCGCCCAATACGCCTCGTTCACCTTCGGGGTCGTTGTAGCCGCTGGCTCCATGCTGCTGGGGAGGGTATCCGTACGGAGGAGGGGGCTCTGAATGGCCCACACCATGCGACTGTGAAGCGTAGACAGGCTGCTGAGGGCTTGCTGGGTAGGCCTGTTGATTGTTCTGGGCATATTGTCCGTGTGATTGATAGGACGGATGGTGTTGTGGTTGATCTGAACTGTGGCCACTTTGACCATATGCTTGGTATGGCTGATACTGTTGCCGTTGGTCCGGATATGGATTATAACTGCTCTGGCCAGCTGGTGAATGTCCGGGCGGCGGATGGCTGGGAGGCTCATACCCTCCCTGGGGAGCGTAATAGCTGTTGTTTTGATTTTGATAGTAATCCTGGTTGCTCATGATGAGGTTCCAGTTCAAGATGGCAGCAAGCAAGGCAATGGAGTCAAAGGCAGCCAGGGGAAGCTAATAAACAATTGATGGAGATGAAGAGGGGTACGAGAGCGGATAGAAACACAGTAGCAAACGTCAGCCTTATCTTAGGGCCAGTGTGGCGGAGCGCTTATTCGAATTCTAGCGCGTCGTCGTCAAAGGTGGCGCAGCGCACCCGCATGTTGAAATGTCCGCGTGACAGTGCTGTCCGTTCGGGGTACGCGAGAGGTCCCTGTTCTTCGATTTATGGAAAATATGGGGGATTAATCATGAGATCGTGCTGATATGTATGATACTCCAACCTTTCTACGGGTACCATTGCCGGGCGAGATCACACGCGATGGCGGGGAAACTTTCCACGAAGTTGATGCTGATGAGTGAAATAGTGCTCAGCCCTACAAGGCTTGGATATATGCTTCATCTATCACATCATATTGCCTACTAGCAGGATCGGGTCACCTCGAATCGGCCCTCTCCCATTGCGGGTGACCCTTCATCCGCATAGCGAGAAGGGAGTATTGTTCAAAATGACAACAGTACTTCTACTTTGGGTAGGATGACTGTACTAAATGTACGATACTATGATTCTCGGATAAGGTTTGTAGTTGGGCAAACCGAATGTAGGTCCAAAGCATAAAGTTGCAATTGTGGTGAACTTACTCGTGACACACGGGAATATATTCGCCAAAAGGAACGAATATTTTTGCACTGACGTAGAGCCCTATCTTCGGTTAGTGAAATCTTGTGCATAAAGCAGAATTCTTCCGTAGGTGAATGTTCATGACAGTATAGGTACGGTAAGGTCCTGAATAGCTTTAGCCATGCTTGGAATTGCAAGCCTATCTACTCATTGTATATTCTGCCAGGTCATATGCACTACAACGCCTGCTCATCCTGATCCGAAGCACGGGAGTTACTTCAGCTTCAGCCGTGGGCATCCCGATGGGTTGGTATCGGCCTAATTACTCATTTATGCACAACAGACTGTTAAATAGACTTTCATGCATAAACACGTCCATTAGTACTGCACTAGGGAATCACCAAATAAACTGCAAGACATCCTTTCTTGGTAGGTTATGTTATTAGTGAACTAGCTCAGGAACGGCCAGCACTAAGAATGGGCTTTTGATTGTTAGTTCATGTCAGCCCCCGCTGACGGAGCGCGCTTTTTGAAATTCTGGGACTTTTGCCACGCACGTGGGCTTGGCTGCTTTTTGTTTGTTAAGTTTTGGGTTGAGAACAAGGCGACGAAGGAATAAAAATTGCCTTCGTACTGCTCTCCCGTTTCTGATTCCAGCTGGAGGAATAAGAATCGAGAGTTAGGCAAGCAGGCGGCTATGCTGTATCATGCCCTTGTATATCTGTCCAGATTGTACGATCGGCATCGTGGAATGGAACCATAGTGAATTTAAGCTATGTTGAACTGCGGTGATCAGTGCGGAGAAAGGGGCAACTGACCATGATTCCCACAGAGAACTAGCTGTATGGTCAGCTTGCATCGAAGCAATCTACGAAGTGCTCGGCCTCTTCGGGACGTACGCCTCTTATCATTTGCAGGCCACCAGCCCCGAGGTGCCCTGACGCTATCATCCGGCGCGGCAACATGACACTGTGCCCTGGCTTGCCGATTATCCGGCTCTAGCTCCTTCGTCCCATCGTCTCGGACCAGTAATTGCGGGCTGAAATCAAGCTGACCTGCCTAAAGAGGATACTCTCTCAGAGACTTCCTGGTCGTCCACGTGCTTCCTACTTCAATTTGCCCTGGTTTGGTCTGACGCCGAGCCTTTTGCCAGGCACGAGAAGCAATGGCGCATTGTCACTCGTCTATGCGAGGGCGTTATCCTACCACCTCTGGTAGTATATTCAATAGTACGGCAGGGGATTGGTGTAATTGGCAGATTAGGTAGGTAGGTTGACAGATAGGCTCGCCAACTGTAATTATTACTTTACTTATATATCGCGGTTTCCCACGCAAAAGTACGCTTCTCCAATCTGAAGAGCAGTCTGACATCTGGCATCGCCTTACAACATGTTGTCGCGAAACCTTCTTGTCCAGGCCGCTGCCCTGGCTGTCGGTGCTGCCGCTGCCGGCTCCGTCTCATGCCCTGCTGATGTTCCTCTGAGCTGTCAGGCAACTTACACAGACACCTGTTGCTTTAATTCGCCCGGAGGCCAGATTCTTCTCACGCAATTTTGGGACACCAATCCCTCGACTGGACCCATTGACTCCTGGACCATCCACGGGCTATGGTAATCGACTTCTCTTGTTGGACACTTTTGCGTGAACATAGACTGATCAATATCACCGCGTTAGGCCTGACAACTGCGATGGATCTTATGAGCAGTACTGCGATTCAAGCAGGGAGGTTTATAATGTCACAGACATTCTCAAGGCCAATGCGCCTTGCACTCTTAAGTACATGCAGACCTTCTGGAAGGACTACAAGGGCGACGACGAGGATTTCTGGGAGCATGAGTTCAACAAGCACGGGACATGCATGAGCACCCTTGAGCCTAAGTGCTACCCCAGCTACCAGCCTCACCAAGAAGTCGTGGACTACTTCAAGCGCGCTGTCAAGGTCGACAGAACTCTTCCCACCTACAAGTGGCTCGCTGCTGCCGGCATTGTTCCCTCCACAAGCAAGACGTACACTCTCGCCGAGATCCAAGCTGCCCTGACCAAGAACCATGGGTACGAGGTCATTATTCGATGCTCTAGCGCCGAGCTCAACGAGCTTTGGTATCACTACAATATCCGAGGATCCATCCAGTCTGGCCAGTTTGTCCCCGTTGCCCCTGTTGGCTCTCCTTCCAACTGTCCCTCCACCGGTATCAAATACCTCCCGAAGGACGGCACCAACCCAACGCCTCCCACCAAGACTAGCACTACGCCTGGTAGCACTCCCACTGCTGCTCCCGGCCAACTATCTGGCAAGGGATTCTTCTACGCCACCACCCCTGGCCAGTCCAACGGGGGCTTCTTGATCAGCAAGGGGACCTGGTACCGTGACCCTAACGGTACCCCCGCTGGATATACCGCTACCCCCAACTCCGACGGAAAGACCTTTACCCTGAAGACCAGCAAGGGCAACTGTGCTGTGAAGAGCGACACTCTTTCTTGCGACACGAGCAACTCTTCTCCGAGCTCATTTGGGTTCGACGGCACATATCTGACCTTCGGTAACTCCAACACCTTCTACGCTACTGACCTTCCCACTGGTCAAGCTCAGGGTACCGTTTACACCACCCCCAAGTCCGTTTCCTTCCAGGTCACTTGGACAGCCTCGTAATATGGGGTGGTTAGAGACATAGGGGTTATATACCAGCTTGCCCAGTTTGGGGCTACGTGACAGCTCCAGTCTGCATCGGAAGCAATTTTTCTGTAGGATTAACCTGGGCTCAAGAATGACGAAAGATGATTTAAGAGTTTCCCATTAGATAAAAATAGTAATACGAAAACACGAATATATAATGTCCAAGAGCAGGGAGGCAGAATGAATGTACCGTATTGTTCCCCTGTGAAAGCCACGGAAATGATCTCTCCCAACGTGCAGCAGACAATTTCCACTAATAGAAGGGAGATACATGCGACATGACAAATAATTCCATCGATCCGTTTCAGTAAAGAGTTAGCATTCACAGTGAATTGCGCAAAAGGGTTGAAATGAAATGTTAGATTTTTTTTAGGCGACCCTCAGCTGGCTAGTTTAGTTGGCGATGGAGAATCAGGTACCCTCCCCATCCTTATTTAGACCCTAGTCAAGCCCTCTCAACGTCTTTTCATTCATAATCCCACACTCTCAGATGAGTTTTGCATCTAGTAAAGACCGACGACGACGTCACCCTTGACACGGGCAGTCAGGTGGACCTCGGCCTCCAAGTCGAGCTTGATACCGAGGAGGAGAGCGGCGTCACGGAGGGAGCCGTCATCCTGGGTGGCACCCTTAACGATCTGGCCTGTTTATTGAGAGAGGTTAGAGACTGAGCGAGTCGAAAATAAGAACTAGATGTCCTAGCGAATGCAAGAGCACATACCAGCAGGAACGTTGAGGCCAGTGGCGGTGGGGAGAGGGACAGTGAACTGCTCGCTGTGGGAGAAGACCCGGTTAGCATGTTGTGGTCTCGCTCTTTCGAAACTTAACTGTGGCTTACGTGGAAGACATGATGTCGGTTTTGGGATTGTTGGAAAAGTTTGGAAAAGGTGTTTGTGTTTGAGTGAGTGTTGATAAGAGTGATGATGAGAAAAGTATGAATTCGAGGGGATTCATCACGGCCCTTTATACCTCTGATGAGCACCGTAATGGCTCAGAATGATGTCCTGGGCATGAGAAGACCGGCTGCATGTCCAGCTCAGCGTACAGCCGGCCATCAATGGCATGAGATGCACGATGCAGGGACAACCGAGCCATGCATATTAGCATTGACGAAATCTAAACGCCCCATCGACTCCCCACGCTCTGCCTCCAATCACATCTCGCTCCCCCGCGCAAAGAAAAGCGCATGTTTCATGGCATAATCCAGGTGGCGCGATTAACGAAAATGGCACACGCATGTCATCGGATGAGATCGGACATATTGACAGCCAGGCTGGTTCCCAGGCTAAGGAGTGTCTCTTTTGCCGACAGATTGATGTCACATAGGACGATGGCTATTGATCCAAGGAGTATCTGTGGATCTGCAATGTCGCAACTGGTCAATTCGTTGACGTGGCAGAAGAACATGAATAGCACATGGATTGGTTTGTTTCTTTTTGTTGCAATTTGATCATGCGATTGGTCCGCAACCTCTCGCCATTATTCAGTAGCATTGACCAATCGCTTGAGATGCGGCTTGGCAGAAAACTTGTGAGCTCGGTCGTTGAAGTGGCAACGAAAGAGATACCAGTTTTCTCGTGTGCAGTTATTTCCGTCAGTTCCGCTTTGAATCCAGACGCTCTATTTCTCCCAGTCGAATTGCTACCAGGTTGATCTGTCAATCGATACCTATGGAAAGTGCTCCATTGCTACGGTAATCCCTTTCTAAAGTGCCTTAACGTGAAAGGGGAGGGAGAATCATGCGTTGGCCAATGTGCCGTATGTGTATCACTTTATGCTGGTGATATCTTGAGGCCGGGCAGCCGAAAATTTGTCAAGGCAAATTGTAATTCAAGGCTCAGCTTTCCGAGTAATGGCATTGTCAGGTTGTTTGAAGTCACTTCAACAACCAAGGTAAAATTCATCACCTCAAGGCAGACACAAAGTGTTAGACTGAAAGTACCAAGATCAGCTTGCCCGATGCAAGAGGTAAAATACAATGAGAATATCTGCATACGAACTTAGACAGAAGCAAAACAGTTCCAAACACCCATTGCTTGCTCTTAAGATTGTTCCAAATCGCCCTGCTAAGCCATTGCCTTCTTCACCATGCCCACAACGCCTCGCACCAGTCCGTCCACCATACCCGGATCGCCAGAGTAGCCCTCCCCATGGACCCCGTTTGCATCTTTCCAGACGCCATCGGCAGATACTCTACCAAAGGCACGCGTGTTCTGATTCTGCTCGATGCCCCATCTCCACTGTGCGCACACCTCAGGACTGTCGACCATGACGTTGACCTCTTGGCTGTGGCACCACGATTGTGTGTCTTGGTTACCGCTTCCTTGGATTCCCACTGTCTCGTCGGCAATCATGAGCTTGATGTGGCAAGAGCGAGACTTGAAGGAGTGATGTATAGGGTGGTCCTGATCCTTGGCGACGTAGTTGTAGATATGAAGTAACTGAAGCGCTTGCTTGTCCCCATCAAGCATTGCAATGAGTCTCCTAGCCGCTTGCTCGTTCGTCCCGCCTTGACCTGGTATCATCTCGCCTGCATCGTTGTAGCCAAAACACACGTAATACGTGACCTCTACGCCTCGCTTTACAGCTTCAGCCAGGGCTTTCAACAAAGAGTCGGCGTTGAGGTCTGGCGTTTGAATGAAGATGCTCCTCTTGGCGTTTCTCACTAGTGATAGCCATGCTTCATTCTGTGGCACGTACGTGTTTCCAGCATCCAAAGGTCCGTACGGCGGCCTTGAGACCAAAGCCATGGGGACCGGTTGTGATGTCATGGTCGTGAAATATGGTGTCATTTCCCTTCCATTCGCAATCTCGGGGCCGCTGGCCTGGATGTGATTCTTGATGGGCAGATTGAGCTGGTGATTTACCGCTTCAAGGCGGCTTACCTTCTCGGAAGCGTCGTAGCCCTGGTTGGCGTATGCCATTTCCTCCTTTAGATCGCTGTCGTAATGGGGATCCTCCAGGTTTCCGGCCTCCAGGTTTTCGGGATGAGTGACACCCGCCTCGACGTCCTTGTCGGTGGTCTGAGCTTGACCAATGGTGGATGGCCGCTCTTTCAAGTTCTTCCGCCACGTGATGAGTGCAGTGTCGTATATGCTGGCAACTATCGGTCCCTCGAGATGCGTCAGCATTTCAACGTTTGCATTGTCTTCCACGTTGTTGCTCATGACGGCGGCGGCCAGGCCATCAACAATCAGTAGCTTGGAGTGTAGAGTTCCGAGGAATATGGTGTGAGCTCCGATCACCTCGAGGTCGAGGTTGGGAATCTCATGGGGGAACGGTAATTGGACATGTTTCGAGTCATACGTCGAGGATTTCACGGGCTGATGGCTGTCGAGCGCATGCCAGACCCCAGGCTGGTCAAACATTATCCTCACCATCACCCGCTCTCCCCTCAGCCCAGCCCGCTTTGACAGATCGACCAACGCATCTCTAATCAGGCGCTGGGCAATAGACGCTTTCCAGGTGCAAGTGATGAAGAACACCTCCTTCCTAGCTTTGCGGATGAGGTTCGCACAGTGATGCATAAGGCTGACCAATGGCGCAATGATTGTCAGGGGCACAACACCATGGGATCCCATCAGCGGCGGAGACACCATCCCCGCAAGTGGATTTGCATCGAGACAAGCGAGCGAATCTGCAAATGCCCGCAGAAACAGACGGCTAGGCTTGTCATGAGGCCACTGTCCGCACTCATATGCCCTCTGTAGCGCATCGCGAGAGGCATCTTCTTTATCATCGTTGTCACTAGAACTATTGGATTGACGGTGCGGAGTATGGGGCTTTTGACTTCCGTAGAGCCGTTGAATAATCTTTTCAGGTGTGTCCCTCGGGTTCTTCGCCAACTCGGAGCTCACCGTGGCGCCCGCATGGCAAAGATCATAGACATACTGAGACACCATGGTGGGCATACGTATGTAGTGGTCGTGGAAAGGGGATATTTGGTCATCGGGAGCAGTCTTCGATGTTTCTAATTCGATGCACACGAGATTTATCTACAATGGCAAGGTTACTGGTCCAACTCAATCAACATAGTTCTCGTCATTAAGCTGCCCAGGAGACGCGCGTCTGCAGTTCCGTGATGCCCGAATCCCTGGAATTTTAGCCCCGGACGGCAAACGGCACGGCAAACGGCCATTAGCGCGGCTTAGACACTACATAGGGTTTTACATGACGTCTGGACCGTCTCTATACGCCATTTCTTGGGAGCGTGCTGCTGATAATATTATTTAGCAATTGGGAGGCCTCTCTGCCTTCTTATTGAATCGCGGGTCTGGAACTACTTGCTCCTATTTTGTTCTCCTCCAACCGTCTAGAGTCTGACTTGGATAGAAAATAGTGGCATCTAGATTATTGACCCTCCGGTCCAATGGGATCTATGGACGATTGTAAGCTATGACGTATTAGGATGATCTTACATTTTCACCCCTCTCACTCAGATGTTATATACACTGGGGTGAGCAGCTTCCAAACGTGCTATGAATCCAGTAAATTCAGGTTTGGTGTTGTCAAACCAACAGATTCAGCATGCAGAAGTTTTATGTGAATGATAATCAAACTCTTGGCTAATAAGAGCCCTCGTTCCTTGTTTACTAAACATCTTTGATGCGATATGACGTAAATGAGATAGATCCTACCTGATACTCCTTCATTCTGAGCGTCTAAGCCGACCCTGGTAATAGCGTACCGAAGCCGAGAAGCCGTTATCCGAGAACCATCATCAAGACTTCAGCCTCCCCGCATATTTCTTTCTTGGATGTCAAGAATAGTGGGGTCAGGCTGACGAACTGATTCTTGTTCGGCTGCTAGGAGCCAGCCAGTCAGTGTCGTCATGTCTGTGCTTCTGGCGATATCCGATCCTGTTTTGCGAAACGCTAGAAGAATCCCGGCAAGGAACAATGCATGAACTGATCAACGCCTTCTCGAGCCGTATCGGGGCGCTTTCAGACAGAGAAGGCATCTTAGCAGACACAGGGGTGGCTGAAGATTTAATCGTGTGGTAAGAATGCAGGTAGAAGGACGAATAGGGAAGCTCATCTGAGCATAAAATGGGCAAGGCAGCGCGTTAAGAGGGCATAGAGAAGAAGGACTTGATGGCTGCTTGAGCTACATCTGCATACAGACACACGAGCAAGGCACATTGAACTGACGAGGCAACTTCTGCATATGTTGGCGAGTCACTTGTGATCCGCGTTGTAAGTGCGTGCTTCGTCTAAGCAGCTGCGTTTGCTTTGCCAACACTAATTTACCATATGAAAGTCTGAAGCAAATCGCTCGTATTCTTCAATTTCCAACTGCTTATGCTCACTTATCTATGGTGCAAGATGGAATAAATACCATTGAAACGTAGCAAAACAGACCCAGAAGAATATACTAATCATGCTGAGGGTTTTGCGCCCAACGCAAGGCGTTTTGCAATCAGCTAGTTAAGAATGGTTAGCATAATGATATTGACAAAAACCAACTTAGTGATACGAACCTCTCCGCAAGTCGCAGGTTCATACTTGGGTGGATTGTTTTCATTTACACAAGTGGGTAGAACACCTAGTTTCTCATCAAAATTGAATCCTCGAATCTTACTGTTAGAAACAAAATTGTTAAGGTGCAGCTGGAAATGTCGAGAATTGACCTACCAAAGAAGAATGGCATTGAATAGCGATCTTTCTTGCCGTGCTGTATCACGCGGTGGACTGTAGACTTGAGTTGATCATTTGTGAGACGCATGAGAAAGTCACCAATGTTAACAACCAACGTGCCGGGAATGGACGGCGCGAACACCCATTCGTGGTTGTTATTGAGGACTTGAAGCCCCTTGTTCTCGTCTTGCCATAACAAGGTCAAGATTTGTAGGTCAGTGTGTGCTCCAAGACCGACTTCCTCAAGATCCTCAATCTTGTCTTCTCCGTGGCCCGGGTAGAACACGAGTCCGAAGTCGGCACCCGGATAGCTGGTCAGGCGGTCAAAGTAATCTTCAGGCAGATCTAAACCGAGCGCGATGATGCGGATCAGGCGACGTGCTGTTGCTAAGCACTGCTCATAATGGCCAAGGACGGTCTCCTTGAATTCTGGGATGCCATTCGGCGCCCAAATCATGGAATCTTTCGGCAGATGATCTTTGACATATTGAGGAACTGTGGTGAGATGTTGTTTGTGTGCAGGGTCGAATTCAGGATCGTAGTGAAAATTGAAGGTCTCTTTCCTATCTGTTGAGTGGTTAGAAGAGATGCTTTTTAAGATATTCTTTTGGGTGCAGATTCTGACCTTTAGATTGAGACGGATTGACTTGTCGCGTGTAAAGGCCGTGGTAGCCATAAGACGAGATATTAGAGACGAGCTTACTCTTTTCTGAGATCGGAAGCTTGAAGAATCTGGAAGGCTGTTAACATCCGAGTAGCTACCTAATCATGAATGCTCAGCATACTCCTTGGCTTTCTGGTGAGCAGCTAGGGTGGCTTCCTCGGGGATGCCATGGTTTTTAATATAGAAAAACCCATTTGTTTTAGCAGCATTTAAAACTTCACTTGCAACTTTCTTTCTTGCGTTGAGGTCCCCAAACATGCCGGACAAGTCAATGATGGGGACTTCGTCAGTCGTACAATCGCGTGCTGGTGCAGTAGACACTTTCCGGGTCGTGAAGCCATCGTAACTTCTAAGCAAAAGGCTTCTAAACTCAGCAGGTGCCGACGGACTCTCACCCATTGTTGCAGAGGGGGCCATGGCGGAGGTTAGATGTCAAAGGGCTTTTATGATCAAGGTAGAACGGTAAGCCGGCCTCACAGTAATCGCTAATGATAAAAGCCTACTAGTCCAAGCTTAGGGAAGACTTTTATAGATATGAACCGGTCATATCGTACGTAATAAGGAATATTCGAAGATAAGAGTAACAAAACTCGCCTATCTCCCCGGTTTATCTCCGCCGTACTGGTAGACTCCGGCTTGTTCTCCGCGCCCGCAATTATCTTATCCCGGCGAAGCAGATCTCCGATTGGTTAGATAAATTAGATTCGCGTCCTTTAACTCCCCGCTCTACCCCGGTGAGCATCTCGCCTTTTCCCCTCATCCCTCGTCTATTCATGGTCAATACACTTTTTAGCATATCGAAATGAGTCGCCCACCCCTGGGTTCCCCCCGATCCGTGACAACGGATGGAGTGGGCGGAGATAATCAACATCTTCCGCGCGGTGATGCTCCGATTCGGCGTAGGAGGCGCCGTGTAATCTCCTGTGACAGTTGCCGTAGGCTCAAGTGCCGGTGCTTGGTCGAGGATGGGCATGAGAGTTGCAACAGGTGCCGGGCATTGCAGTAAGAGCTGTTGTGTCAGGGTGGGATTCCTCAGCTAACATCCCATACAGGCTCAATTGTTCCAAATCCACGGATCAAAGTGGTTCTGCATCTAATCATTCATCGTTCTCAAACGACCTACAAGTTGAATCAAGGTGTGCATCCCTCCTCATTTCGAACTCTAGCTGTTTGATCGAGGCAGATCCCTCCCTTCAGATACACTTGACCAGGAAGTATATGGGACTGACGGTCTTCTAGATTACGGCGAATCGAAGAGCGAATGGTTCAAATCAGCTCACCAAGGTATCCAGATTTTACTCCAGCTCCCGATGTACAAAGTCCTGCTACTTCAAGTGGCCATTTCTCTGCTGCAGGTACCAATGTGGAAAGCCGAGATGGCTCGCAGCATGTTGGTCTTATTGATCAAAACGTTGCATCCTGCCCTGCAGAGGTCATCCGAAAAGTAAGCAAAGTATTGAATGGTGGCCAACGGAGAACATTCGATCGTAGCCAAGACCTGCTTTCCATTGGCCTACTAGATGAGCAAACTGCAAGTGAGGTTATGCAAACGTATGTATGGGTGAAAGCTTTGGAGCTTAAATAACATATCTAAAAGACTGCTGACTCACGATTGCAGCTTCATAACACAATGCCGGCATAGTCTCTTCATCCTTGAGGAACGAGACCTGGCATCAGGGAGAGACCTTCGGGCCACCTCGCCTTTCTTACATGCAGTATGTTGTCTTCATGGTATTAAACATTCGCATTTTGATGGAACGCCACTTCATAGGCAAGTTTATGAAGCGGTGCGACAGATGCTCGGCGATGCAATGCTTGTTACGCCTCTGCCTATTGAGGAGATAACTGGCATTTTACTAATGGCGATGTACGCTTCTTCGCCAACAGTAAGTATCAGAGATCCAGATCTAATATCTAATATACAGAGACTTAACTTCTATTTGTTCTAGCGCGGACCAGAGTATATCGACAGTTGGTTACTCAGTGGGCATTGCGCTCAGCAAGCAATGCTTAGCATCCACTTCTCTGACATATCAGAGAGAATAGACTCTGGTCTTGCCACTTCCACCGATCAAAGGGCGGTTAGGACGTGGGCGATTATTTGCCTTGTGAATTTACAGTCAGTTGACTCGCATCTCAACATACCTTTTCCCGCGACTAATCCAGTTGATTGTTGCATAGCTGGGCTGCTATCACCGGTCGTCCACCAACAATCCCCGCGGCGTACCTTATACAGAGCCAATTACTTCTCAATTTCGAACAAGCAACAATGAGGGACGGCATGCTTGTTTCAGAAGTGAATCTATTCAAAATACTACACCAAAATTTTGAATCGAATGACTTCTTGGACAATAATGGCAGTTCTACATCACTCTGCACGTGGAAAGAAAAATGGTCCTACTTATTTGGTGAGCATTGATTTGTAAAGAAAACCAGAATGTTTTAACTTCATAATCGTCTAACTCCTATCGCGTTTAAATTTAGACCTTCCAACTTCTGGCGTTTTGCGTATGAGCCACTCAATTGCCTGGCTTCTATTAACACGCCGGTCTCTTGATGTCCAACGTCGCAACGGCGATCTTAGCTCTTTTGTCAATCTTGCCACGCAAGCTTCCCCATTTACTCCAGATTGTGCAAACAGCTCATGTCAGGAGACAGAGGTCATTCTATACAAGTGGGCCTGTAGTGTCCTCCATGACTTCCTCTCACTTACAAGCGCTTCTTATCACGGTATACCTGAGTTTTACCTCTTAAGCCTTGGATACTCGTTGCTTGTGTTGGGCAAATACGATAAGATTCCTGATGGCCTCACTCCAATCAATGTTTATGACAAACTCAAGTCGTTGGAACAAAAGTGTGAGAAATCAAAGAGGGTATCTTCAGCTGTAGAATTCGCGCTGGAGAAAGCCCTATCACGAGTGGCTACACTATTAGACGTCAGCGCGGAGGGCTAGTATGCGGATTTGACACAGTCCCTAGAAGTACGAGAAGCAATTGTTCATACCCTTAGTAAATATATATAATATTAAAAACAACCGGAAACAACACACAGAAGCTGTAAATCCTTTGAATTTTACGGAAGTAGGTCCAAAGCCTAGCTTATTATCTCCAATGCGTATGTTCGAACAGAAACCATAAGCCAGATGATTCTAAGGAGTGCCTGGAATAGGCATTGCCCATGACGTCTTAGATGGCCCAGGTTTCCCGGAAATGATTCCCCTGTTATGCTGATTGATGCGTTTGATTCATACCGCCCCAGGCTTTCCAGACTTGGAAGTAGACAAGATTTCCCTGCATGGTCTAGCGGAGGAAACGATACGCATCAGACTAAACCACCGGAGATATCGAATGATAAGCGGGAATTCCTATCACACGCTAAGAAAGATTGCCGGAGATATCATTACTGACTGACTGGCAGCTTGTTCTCCTCGATAATTATTCTTCGTCAATTTCAACCTTGCTATAAGACGGGCCTTTTGCCACAAGATTCGACATGCAACCTAAACGGCAACCAAACAACCTCTTCATTGACAACAAAGATGTTTCTCGCGGCACAGAAAGAAGGAAATGGAAGCCTTAAAGGCAAAAATGATCTCAAGGCAATGGTGGTTGATCATCGAGATGAAACCGAAGGGGAATTGTCGGTGTTGCAAAATGTCCCTGATTGGTCAAAGGAGGAAGAAGAAAGAGTACTGAGAAAGTGAGTAAGATTTCCCGGCGGAATGTCAGATTCAAGCTTTTCTCTGTTTTGTTTTACACACTAAACATCCGCCTACAAATAGGATTGATTTTCTTCTCATGCCGCTCTTAGTGGCAGGGTTCTATGTGCTTCAACTCAACCGTGGAAACATTGCAAATGCCCTTACGGATGGTTTCTTGAAGGATGCAGGTATAACTCAAGACCAGTTCAATATTGGCCAGCAGCTGTTGTCTGTGGGTATCATACTCGTCGAGGTCCCCAGCAACATGATTCTTTACCGACTTGGGCCTTCGATCTGGATTACTGCCCAGATTCTAGCTTGGGGCCTTGTTTCTATCCTTCAGGCGATACAAAAAGGTCTAGGGGCTTACTTGGCCACCCGGATACTCCTTGGTATCTGTCTAGGTGGCTATATCCCGGCCTCACTTTACAGCATTACCATGTGGTACAAGAAATCGGAGACCAGCACTCGATTTTCTATATTCTTCATGGGAAACTCAGTTGCACGAGCAAGTAGCGGGCTGGTTGCTTTTGGTCTTCTACGAATGCGTGGCGCTGCAGGACTGGCCGGCTGGAAATGGCTCATGATAATTGATGGACTAATGGCAATACTAGTTGGGTTATTATTTGCTTTACTTTTCCCAGGGACCCCTTTCTCTTCGTTAAAGAGTCTCTGTCGAATTGGGTTCTTCACGGAACGAGAAGTATATATTGCTCGTCAACGAGTGGTATTGGATGACCCAACTACGCTGCAGAAGCGTCGCTCCGTCACTCTTGGGGATGTCATCTCTACTCTTACAAACTGGACTATTTATCCACATCTTCTTATTGCTCTTTTGGGAAACGCGCCGGCAAACGCTATATCATCCTACGGTCCTACGATTATCAACAGCTTTGGTTATGAGAGATTGACTTCAAATGCTCTGAATTCGGTTGGCTCGTGGATCCAGCTATTTCTAAACCCGGCTTTTGGATATCTAGCGTATGTTATCGACTAAATATTAGTGAGAACTATATTGCTAACTTTGATCACACAGCGATCGGCTTCGTTTGAGAGGTCTTTCGATGATGATTGGACTTGGCATGTGGTGGTTGTTTATGGTAAGACGTCAAGTTGCTGTGAAAACATTAGCGGTTTAACGCCTGGCTGACTTTTGTCTTACAGCTTACCACATACCTTGTTGTTGACAATCCCTCGAAGGATGTACGTTATGCCGTCCTAACCTTGGCTCTTTCTTTCGTAGGGGTCTGGCGTAAGTGAATGAGTTTTCCAAACTGTCCAACTTACAGACTCAAATATTGACTATGTGATGCCCTGATAGATCCGATAAACGGTTCATGGATCGCACTTAATGCAAGAAATGCCGAGCAGAGAAGCATTACGATGGCAGTCTATATCATGATAGCCAATTGCGCAGGGATTGTTGGTGGCCCTATTTTCAGCGAGAACGATGCACCTATCTACCGTCGTGCGTGGACCATTTCTGTTTCGCTTCTGTCCGCAGCTCTGTTCTGTGGAGTGCTGGCGCATATTCAGTACTACTTGTTGAATCGACGGGCGATGAAAAAAGAGGCAGATAATGGATGTGAAGGATCATCTGCAGCAGGGGATGAGGGGAGTGAGGCTCGAAGACAGAGATATGAAATGTGAGTTAGACGGAAGATTTCCAGATCTCCAGTGTCTCTACTCCTGCTGCATGGGTAGAAAGATCATCAACTAAATGGCGTGGGTTCGCTTAAATTCGCTCTCCGGTTTTATACGTAGGTATTGTGCGAGCTACTTGATCAGACAACGAATTTGGCACTTCCTTCATATCCAATACCCGTACTCTTGTATAAAGAAAATCAAATCAGACAACAGATTACATTGATGCACCTAATTTCGTCTAATACGTAATGTTGACGCATTTACCCTTCCAGCGATTTGCGTCTCCTTGAACGAGCTCATCAAACATCCATTTAGCCAAGTCCAGGCGACTAATGGTGTAGCCCACTTCAATGCCATGTTCCTTTTCGTCCTTTTTCTTAAAAATAGCATCTTCCCAGATCCACCCAACACGGACCGAATTAGTGCCTTTCATTAAGCCATGTGTAAGTAGTGGTGGACGGAGCATAACGTATCCACCCAAAGGTGAATCAGCCTCTGTTGCTGCTTGCCGAGTGACCTTCTCTAGAACTGCTGTATCTGCTTGGGGGATTGGTAGAAGCCACAGATAAAGCGGAATTAGAAGCAGCGGCTGATCACGCCGAGAGCCATGTCCGGTGGAGGAAATGGGTACAAACAAAGGGGCGTTCTTGATGCTGTTGGTAGATCTGAGCTGTCGCAGAGCATCTACTACCGCGGCAGCCGAGTCACCAGTGATTGTGGCATCTTCCATACCGACAGGACGGAATGGATTGTAGCTGAACTTTGGCAAACTTGTTATACCGCTGAAGATGAGCTCTGGATCGTGGCGAAGAAGCTCAACAAGTGCCTCCAAATCCCTCGACGATCCTTTGACGATCGTCAATTGAGATTGCTGGATCTCCTCAGAGACACCCTGACTTGATAGGACCTTCTTGAGCTTATTGGGGTTCCTCACAACTGAAGATTTCGGTGTTAGTGAACAAAAATCTCCATATGACCATAATATATCTTACGAGCGGCAGCATGATGTCCGGCAAGCAGCGTCCATTGGAGCACATGAATCAGCGTAGCTCCGCCAGCTCCAATAAAAGCAGCCTTGACCCCCATTGGAAGGAAAAAAAATGATTCGCAACAAGACAGTTAGATAATTCGAAAACTAGAAGAACAATTGCTCTGATGAGATGCAGAATTTTTGGAGATATTGATCTTTTTATTAACTACTGCCTGGTGATTGAGCCGACAGAACTCTTAGAGACGGACTCCGTATATCAGCCAAGCCAGCGGTTGGTGCCACATTCGCTTCTACTCCGCACAAGTCCGCAGCATCAAGCGGACACGGACTAATTAGTCGGAGAGATTAGATGGCCCGTATGTAAACTCGCAGTGTTTTAGCCCCAGATATGCCTCCAGTGACATTCCGTAGTGTCCAGTGCAACTCAGCCAGATCCAGCTCGGGCAGTTGAGTTGGAGAGGGAGCGGAGAGGCGGCGCGTCTCGAGGGTACTCCCCTGGGATAATCACACATTAGTCGACTGCGTTTAAGAGAAATACGCAGATGCCAAGGAATTCAAAGATGCAGTTTAATAAAATGAACGAGATGGTATACAGTCACACATTTAAAATCTATCTCCGCGCGATAAGTGTAAGAGGCAAACATCTCTCCATAATCTGCATCGAATCCTTGGCGCTTTTTAAGTTGAAGCTTCATCCAGTTGTGCCGGTTGATTTTGACAGGAGCTTGAGAGCATTCGTGCACGGTCAAAGGCCCTCTGTCGTCGTGAAAACGGTTGAAACCCTCCCGAGTAGAATCCAAGCAGCCAGATCTGATGAGGGTTCTAGATTTCGCTAGTGGGTTCGTTGTAGGTGGTGGTATTCTTACCTAACGCAACTTGTCGCAAATTCCAGGCAATCTTGCTCATCTTGCACATCTGATCACAAATCTCTTCGTAACCCTAGTCAAGACATTAGATGAGAGAGCAAATCACAGGCGGGTATTCAGCACTCACAAGGTCCTTTCCAGGCTTGTTGGTGCAGTCCTCCTGAATGGAAGTCGACGTGCGACAGACCATAGCAGCGTGTTCGGGTCATACTTGTACACAGTAGGTGTGTCCGGGACTGTCTTTCAGAACAAGAAGTTGTTATCTGCGGCCAGCAAGTTAGCGTTATCGTCGTGTCTGTTGTATATCAAGGGGATCAGACGCACCCTTAAAGCGAGTGCTGATTTCAGGAATCGTTGCAGGCCTCATACCGAAGCCAATACCTGTCATGTGGGACTCAACATCTTGAAAACGGGCCTCAAGTTGGCTGACGTCCTCATCGGGCCCCATGAGAACTACTGAGCCCTATTAGTCTGAGCAACAGCACCAAATTGTTTCTTGTTCATAAAAGCGAACTATTGCACTCACTTCGAGTGTTGTATCCAGCATCGACCGCAACTGGATCCCATCCCTGCTCAACCACGTAGGGAGTTATGCTGGAAAACCTCTAAGTTATCGAATTAGTATGGCTTCGAATTCTTCAGTGTACTTGACATTCATCAACGTGCACATACGTGTAGAGAACATTGATATCGCCACAACCCGGGCTTTCAGGCAACTTGGCTACTGCAATACCAACAACGCAGAGTCCGTAAAATTGTCTTGATAGCATTCATCATGGAAAAGTTCCAGCAAGCATTCTTTCAGGGTGATCTGAAAATAAATAGTTTGAGAAGTCGGATGTTGGTCTCTTTGGTAAACCGGTTTAAAGGAGAAGGAATTTATTTGGGAATAAGGGAGCAACGGACAATAAATATGTACTTCGAATATCGCGAGGCAGCTGCAATTCCCCTAGTAGTTCACAAACAAGAAGTAAATGCCTAATGCATGCATCGTATGATAACACGTCGTTTTTCTCTTGTTTACTAAGAAATGGTAACCTATTACGGATACACGGCTCAAGGCGCTGGGAGTTTCACGAGTTTCCCCAGATATTCAGAAAATTAACAAAGTATCAACACGATTTCGGAGGTTAGGATGACTGCGGGCAAGAGAATGACAGCGATCGATCAACCAGGTTACAGAGTTGATCCCTGCTAGCAGTCTCCTCCCACATCGCGTTCGGCGAAAGTTGGCCGCTTATTAAGAGCACGGCTTTTTTTGGAAGATGGGGTCGTCGGCCGCTTCGCGAGGCGCCGGGCCGAAAAAGACGGTTGGTCGATCGTTTCAGATCTGTCCAGCCGGACACCGACCGGACAGCGACAGGGCAAATTGATTTCTCATCAATATTGACCAATTCTCCACATCATAAGCGGACATTCTTCCCTATTCTACTCAGGGGCTTGGATATAAAAGGATTGCCAAAAATGATAGGATAGATTCCAGACATCACAGTCATCACATTACTGAGACACATAGTTCCAAAGGCTCTTCCTCTTTATCCGCCACTTACTAAACTCCATTTTTCTCCAACATGGCCGACTTGAAACCAATCACCGCGTACGTCCACGGTATGTATTTGTTCCAACTACAACTTAAAAATTTGGCCGAGGTCACATATCTAACATACATTCACATCTTCCAGAGGGCGGACCCAATCCTTACAAAGTCATCATTGTCCTAGAGGAATTGGGAATTCCCTACGAGGCCGCGGTTGTGAAAGACCCGAAGGAGCCATGGTTCACTGCTATCAACCCTAATGGTCGGTTGCCTGCAATTGTTGACCCAAACAGTGGCATCACTCTCTGGGAGTCCGGTGCCATTGTCGAGTACCTCGTCGAGACTTATGATAAGGAGGGAAAACTGAATGTGGACGATGTCGCTGGGAAGTGGCATCTCAAGCAATATTTACACTTTCAAATGTCCGGCCAGGTAAAGCCCCTCATCACGCGGCATTGAGGTGAAATATTTCCAATACTGACATGTTCCCGCGTAGGGGCCCTACTATGGACAATCAATGTGGTTTCACAGAGCCCCGGAAGATATCCCTCTGGCCAAGAACCGATACAACGAGCAGATTGTTCGTGTTATCGAAGTGCTTGACAATATACTAAAGGACAAGAACTATCTTGTCAATAACAAGCTGTAAGTCGTTCTCAGTACATCCAGGTCTTCACATCCTCTCAAGAAACAAACGGCATACGATCATTAAGCTCACGATATCGCAGCACTTACGCCGATCTCTCTTTTGTACCGTGGAACAGGGTGATTCAAGGACATCCCATCTTGAAGGCAGTAGTCTGGGAGGCATATGAAATTGAGAAGAAATATCCCAACTTTATGGCCTGGCATCAGCGCCTCGTCGGTCGTCCTTCAGTCGAAAAGGCTTACAAGGCATGGTAGAAGTAACCTGATTTTGGAATATACGATGGAACCATAGATTTTAGAACTACCAACTAACTTTACTCCTTGTCCTGTGCGGTCGGATTTTCAGGTCTATGCTTGTAAATCGCCTTGTTTGCCAAGTGAATCAGCTCGGCGATGAATGCTTCCAATCTCTGCAAATGCAGAGCTTCGCTAGGAGTTGGCACCCGGGCTCTCAGCTTCTTTAGCAAAGACGGGACAGCACTGACGAGCTCGACATCACTTTGTGCATGCCGAGCCGACGGTTTGTAAATAATATTGCAGAATAACGTCACAGATGCCCAAAGAGGGTAAAAGATGACAAGCCTGGGGAATGGATCGATCAGCTTTTGTATTGGAAGAACCTTGGGTACGTTCACTTACCAGAAAGATTCCCGGTGCACCATTTCCGAGGCCACCTTGAGGTAGATCAAGGTCGAGCGACTTGCCTCAACGGAGAGTAGGAGGCTCGACCTCACCGCGTTGGGAACTCCGCCATCGACAGACCAAGCCTGGCATCTCCCGCACGCTCTATGAATGGCGGATAAGAGATAGAGATACTCGAAGCGTACAAATATCAAAAGCATGCCGAACTCATGCTGCAAACTCGGGTCCGCCGGATCACTCACGGAAGAAAGGCTGGGGCGCACAGATGGCGGTACAGACATGCGCCATCTCTCGAGCTCCTCATCGAGCATACGCACAGTATGCAGAATCTCAGTGTCCGACTTTTTCAAGGCGCTCGGCGTGAATAGCAAGCTGAAAACTTTGGACTTGATGATGGTCAAACCCAGATCACTAGGCTGTAAGGGCTTGGGAAGATATTGTGCCAGGCTTGGGCCATCCATCTTGAGATCAATGAAATCAAGGCCAGTGTAGTCATCACACAGCGCAAGGTCGCATTGGTCATCTGCTATAGCATGTGGCTGGCCGGTGCGAAGCGAGATATGCTTGTCACAGAAATAGCAGAGCCAGAACAATGTACGTAGGTGACGTAGCCGAGCATCGTCTGGGGTCGCGCCAGACGGTGGCTTCGGTTTTAGATGGCCCCCGAGCATGAACAAACTCCGTGATGCCAGAGAATGGAGCATCGAGGCTGCTTGAAGTTGGCCCGAAAAGTCGAGGTACAAGCACTAGGAGAAAAGCATGTCAGCATGTTCTCCCAAAGACGATATGACTTACGTACCAGCAGAAGCGCGGCCTGGAGTCCTTCTATCGTTGGCTCAGCCATAGTTAGTAGAAGCAGCTGCTGAGCTTTCGTAGCGTACATTTCAACATCGGGCAGTAGTTCTGCAGTTTTCTGCGGCTCAAGAAGCGAAAGGAATGAGACGAAAGAAAGGACACAGACCATGGCACGAGTCGATTCAGTGGTCTCCTCGTATGCTCGATCTATGATCTCCTGGAACGTGCTCAGGTCAACAACTGGAAACACCACCTGTAGAGTTGACGCTCGGAAGATGTCAAGACAACGCTGAGCTGTAGCTTTCGTGGGCAGGGGAGGAGCTGAATTGTGGCCACCAAGTAGTGCAAGATCGCTCAGCTTATTTTGGGCAAAGTCCAAGTCAATGTCGCTCAGTTCTTGTCCGCCTTCCAGAGCCGCGGCTTCACCTGTTCTGTCCTGGACCCATCTCCGCCCTTCATCTGAGAAGATCGGGATCCCGTTTCGAGAGCTGATGTCTCCGAGATGACAGCCAGCGAAATAAAGACTCCCGTAGAAGATGCCGCCATGTGAAGGAGGCTGGGACTTACTCGGAAGTTTGTCACTAATTTCCGCGGGCGGTGATGGGTCGCCTCTGTCTGTTCGCCGCAATCCTTGGAGCAGGCTTTCCAACCGTTCAAGCCGTTGCTCGATTTCATCTTGCAGGCTGAATCTGCGTAAAGTAATGAGTTAGGATCAGAGGGGTGAATGCCATTTTCTAATTACAAACTCAGCTGGCTGAGGCCTTTTCCGGCTAGATGCGGAGGCCCTGTGATATGTACAATCTAGATTGCGGTGGTTACACCAGTCACATCGCGGGCTGCCTCCATCGCATGAAATCTAGTCCTATATCATTAGCTATTGTGCTCAAACTCATCTATGAATCATTTACCTTTTTCTCGTGGCAGGAATCACAAGCCCGTTTTCTTGGCATGATGCCAGACTGTGTGTCGTAACGGCGAAGCGCCTGTGAACGAGATGACAAGAGAGAGAGCTAAGTAGAACTGGAGAGCAAAGGACTTCACTGATTTCAATGGAATAGTCCTGCGCTGTGCTGCTTAAAAGCTAAATTTACCCCTGACCCCAGCCCCTGTGGGGTGGAATCGGACTGACGGTCTGTAGACTCTGAAACCAGCTTCTCTGCTAGTGGCTTAGAGCCCGTAGCTAATGGTTACAGTCATACCTTGTCACAGTTAAGGCCACGACGTTTCTTATTTCAAAGGCCTGTGGCGTCCAGACACAGGCGTGTCGCGAGAGTCCTACGCTATGGCTTAGCTACATCCGAAGCGCTTACTATTAGGCAGCAGTCAGTCCAACACGTGAAATTCATCATTGTCAGATCATACACTCTTCAAATAACTAAGGTCACTGAGCCCCTAATTAGCTCTTCATCTGCCAGCGCAAGCAACCGCCGACAACTCCACGCCCTCATCACCATGGCCGACCCAATGACAGCGCGCAGAACCACATACACATCCAAAGATGTCGAGATTCCTAATGATTTCCTCCGAGGGCCCTCGGAGAAGCCGATAACTCTCACTCACGTCCCGTTTGGCTCTTCCCCTGTGCCAGAATACGACGGGTCTTTCGCCGTTGTCCTCGACAATGTTCTCTCATCAGCCGAGTGCAAGGAGCTGATTCAGCTGGCGGAACAATCGGCTCAGGTCGCGGGTGGAGGTGAGTCGGCGAATCAAAACCCTTGGCGACCTGCCATGGTGTCCATCGCACCGGGCATTGAGGCACCTGCACCGGGATATCGAGAGAGCGACCGGATTATTTGGGACAGTCAGACGGTTACGGACCTTATCTGGAATCGGTGCTGCCAAGTGGAAGGACTCAAGGAGAAGCTGGCCGTGGTAGAGCGCACAAGAGAGGATACATCTGAAGGGCGAGCACCTGGTAGATGGGTATTTAGCCGGATTAACAACAGGATGAGATTTTTGCGGTACTCTCCTGGTCATTACTTCAAACGTGAGTTATGGTTTCATGAGTCGATAGAAGCTGGTCAAACAGCACCATCGATGGACTATACTGACAAGAAACTGCCAGCGCACTGTGATGGAGCATATTGGTACGACGAAGGTACCAAGGAATTTCAAACGCGGTACACGGTGCATCTATACCTCAACGACTCGGCGAAGGTATCAGCGGACAGCGATCTTGAGGGCGGCGCGACTGGGTTTCTGTCCTGGGATGATCAGCGTCGGATCGATGTTAACCCGAAGGCGGGGAGCGTGCTGATCTTTCAGCACGAAGGTCTTTATCATGAGGGGGCACGAGTAACAAAAGGGCAGAAATTTACCCTTCGAACAGACTTGGTATACGAGTGGGAGGATGCTCGGGATTACACCCAGAAGGAGTGAGTCTTCTCAAGAGTAGATCTTGCCTTTGTCTACTTCAGAAGCGAAAAGAGGGACGGAAATGGATAACTCATACGAGAAACTCGATGATAAAACTCAAATGATGAACAAAATAATTCAACAGTCGCATTTGTCAGAATTGAATGCAGGGTGGCCGGGGTTCTGACACGTCATAATCATACTCTTACTGCATGAAACCGCCATCCAACTCAGGAGCTGGTAAACTAAATAGACAAATCCTTCTCCTCTCTCCCGCAATATCAAGACCTTTACATGGATCTAAATTCTATTTTCGACCAATATTAGAGCTTATGCAAATCTGATTCAGTTCCGGATGCAAGCAACTGCTCGGCAACGTCAAAGCATCCAGGGGCCAGTCAGATAGGCTGGGATCGCAAATTACGGCTATCGGCACCGCTGCATGCTGCGGGGCCTATTTGACCCTTTTCGACCATTTTGACGAAGTCCATGGACTTTTCCGCGGCGTTTGTCAACAGTCATTGGTTGGTTCTCCGGAACTGCAAGGGAAAACACACAAACGTCGATGCTACCGTTGCCCATCATTACCGCCTAATTCCGGTAAGTCCTGGTCGGTAGCAGATTGAAGAAAAAATCTCATCGCCTCCGCTTATTATTCGAAAACTTGCTGTCTTCAATAACATCGATAAACATCACCAGCAACCATGGTGTCGCGCAGAACATCAACCAGTGCTGAGACCAGCCCCAGAGAAGGCCCCAGCGACGAAGATGACATACACGAACTTGAGAAAAAGCAAAGCCAGGCCATCGAAGAAGGCCATGATGCAGACATACCGTCCAGTGCTGGTTACATCCTCGATGCACGGGGGGAGAGAAAGCGCAAGCTTTCTCTAGCATCCAGGCGAAGATCCATGGCTTCTAAGGAAAGAGTCGACTTAGAAGGAGGAGACAACTCGGTCGAAGACAGTGCGGGCGACGTCGACTCAAATGAAGTCTGGTGGGATGGTCCGAATGACCCCGAGAATCCGTATAATTGGCCAACTTGGAAGAAAATATTCAATTGCGGGCTGGTGAGCGCAATGACTTTCGTCGCGCCTCTTGGCTCATGTAAGAAACAATCATTGCGCATCTCATATATTGTCATCTTCTCCATACTAACCCCTCCATAGCTATTTTTGCTCCTAGTGTTCCCGAAGTCATGGTCGAGTTCAAGTCCAGTTCATTGACAATTGCGTCCTTTGTCGTGTCAGTCTACATCCTCGGGTTTGCGTTTGGGCCTCTGATCATCGCGCCCCTTTCCGAGATTTACGGACGGCTCCCTGTGTATCACGCCTGTAACCTAGGATTCGTCGCCTTCGCCGTTGGGTGCGCGCTTGCTCCCTCCTTAAACGCCCTGATCGTCATCCGTTTCTTCAGTGGCCTGTTTGGGTGTGCCACAGTCACAATAGGCGGAGGCTCTATCGCTGACATGGTCGCTCAAGAGTATCGAGGTGCGGCAATGTCTATATACAGCATAGGGCCCTTGTTCGGGCCAATCGTTGGCCCTGTTTCTGGAGGTTTCCTTACTCAAGCGGCTGGCTGGCGCTGGACCTTCTGGCTGTTGGCCATTCTCTCTGGGGTTCTCTCCATCATCATGGTGTTCGCGATGAGAGAGAGTTACGCTCATGTTATATTAGAGCGCAAAGCCGCCAGGCTACGAAAGGAGACCGGCAATGGGCTTCTCCACTCCAGACTTGATATTGGTCTCTCTACTGGGGACTACTTCAAAAGAGGCATCATCCGGCCGCTCAAACTCTTCGTTCGCTCTCCTATCATTCTGATAACATCAATCTATATGTCGATATGCTACGGATATCTCTATCTAATGTTCACAACGATGACAACAGTCTTCCAGGAAACTTACGGCTTCAGCACCGGCACAGTTGGGCTAGCCTACCTCGGACTGGGAGTGGGCAACATGGTGGGCGTTGGAGTCTCCAGCTTGACATCAGATAAATACCTGAAGAGGAAAGCCGCCCAAGCCAGGGAAGCATCGAACGACGAAGAGGCCGAGTTGAACTTGAAGCCAGAATACCGCCTTCCCCTGTTGCCCTTGGGTGCTGCGCTTGTTCCAATCGACCTGTTCATATATGGCTGGACTGCCCAATACCGTGTCCATTGGATCGTTCCCATCATCTCCCATGTTCCCATCGGGGTTGGGAATTTACTCATCTTCTTGGCTATCCAGATGTATATCGTCGACTCTTTTACAGTCTACGCTGCGTCGGCGCTTGCCACCAATACTGTTGTCCGATCTATCGCTGGAGCGTTGCTACCCCTGGCTGGACTGCCAATGTTCGAAAAGCTAGATATAGGTTGGGGAAATAGCTTGCTAGGATTCATTGCTATTCTTATGGTTCCAATAGCATTTGGCATGATCAAATGGGGCGAAAATCTGAGGAATAGATTCCCGGTTAAGAATCTCTAAGGCTAAGAGGCGATATTCCCCAAGATGCGAGGTAGCTTGCTTGTACCCTCTAGCCATTATCATTTTTCTCAATCATACGTTTCTGGCGCCTTTATGCGCCCAAATCCCAAACTGGCCCTCTCGTCAAACACCTCTTTGATGTGCAAATCTCACATCGGGATTGGTTAAAGCAGGCTGAGATACAATTGATATACCAGGCTACTGTCGAGGCCTTTCTTTTTTCTTTTTTCCCCTCTCCATTCTAAGGCTAGCCTCAGACACGTTATTGCCATTAATAAGTAGCTTATGCATATGCTCACTTGATAGAAAGCCGTACCATTCCTAATCAACTCCGCTCTTGGAGCATATTCTTCAAAAGATCAAGAATACCTAGTAACTTTAACAGCTCTTCATTTTCCATGAGTACAAATAATTGATAATTCAACATTTCTTTTATGTCGTTTCTGAATCGCGTTGGGAGACTGCTGTGTACATCAACGTCTTCCCGAAATTTCCTCAAGTGGTTGACCAATTCATGGAGGACTTCCGGGGAGAGGTTGGAAAACGAGTTATAGGAAATGTTTTGATTTCCGCCCTCTGATCCGGGATGAGTCTTGGTCCAATCGGAACCATCGTTTGTAAGACTGGTTGCGATGGCTGAACCCAATGTCTGTGAGACTTCAATCGCTCGGTCTGAAGCCTCTGGTCTCTTTGCTTCTGGTATATGCTTGAAAAGGGTCTCAAGCAGAACCGAAATTGCCTGGATCTCGTCTTTGATCTCATAAAGCTCACGTCGGATGCCTACTATTTTAGGATGCGGACCCTGACGTGGATCAGCTGGATAGCTTGGTTCTGGATTTCGCATCGAGGAAAACATGGGATTCTTGGGAAGCTCTTTATCAGGCTCTGGATCATGGCTACACACAATAAGCAATGGATCAACAAACAATGGCAACAAAAAAGACCGACCTCTCGTCCGCAGTTTTCGTTGGAGCCGGTAGTTGAGCCGTCGGTTCAGCTGGTATCTCACGCTTGCTGAACTTCCGGCTGAGTGATGCTCCTAGACCAAATGTGCTCGCGCTGTGTGAAAGCCGAGAGCCGGATCTGCGTTTGGGCTGGGGATCTGGAACGCTCGTCTTAGGGGTTGGCGGTATAGGGGCATAGAAAGGCGGACAGGGTGATGTGGCCAAGGGTTCTTGCGGGCCAACCCTTGTGATTGGAACTCTTTGCATTTCATATGGAGTCGTCTGCGTATGATCCAACAGGCGACTTGGCCGCACGTACTCCAGACGTTCCCCGCCACGGGCTGATGTGGGTAGCGGCCATAGAGGCGGGCTGTAATCTGGCGGCGGCCCTTGTTCCATCGGAGCCCGGTAGAGAAATCTATGAGAGATTTACAGCCAGGGTGGGATAGTAAATAATGAGAGTGGATGTTGTGAAGGCAATACAAAGGGGTGGGAGAGAGTTGCGGAGGTGCCATTGAATTTTCCTTGCCAATGCGATTCACAGCTTTGAGATGCCTTACAGGGCAAGGCAACCGCAGTCCGCGCCTAAAAAGCTTCTGGTGAGCGCTAACTGTGTCGGAATGCCAGATCTAGTTATTTCTTTCATGTCAGCATCAGCCCCCATTACATTCATAACTAACTCTCATCTCCATGATTCTCGTCGCATCACTTGTGATAAATCACGGTCTACCTACGCTAGGTATTGTAAGCCCAGGCCAATAGTATGTAAAGTGCCTGTTCTAGAAGTCTGTTTCCAGCTCTGGTTTCATCGTCCATGACCTTGACAATTGGTGACTGGGGGTTTTGTATTGAAATCCAAGCATACATTCGGGATCTCTTAAAATCGCAATGAGGCGACTATAGACAGGACATGGCAGTAGATTCTACATCAATCCGGAGAGGTTCATCTCCTTGGTTTTATCGGACATGAAGGAGGCTTAGAGGTGCCCCCAAGTGCTGTCTCGGCGTTTCGGTGTTTCGGTGGTCTGTATGGGCCGAACTTGCGATGTTCTGGCACAATCTCAGCGACAAACAGGTGACAAGGGTCCACCAAATATTGCCTTATCGGCTGTTCATTGGCTTAATTGCCTGATAAGTGGGTGTTGGAAGAGCGATCATTCCTTGTTCAGGAAGTGAATCGTTATGATTCATATCGACTAAGTATCTTTCAGCGCCACTGCACTGAAGCTTCATGCGGTTTCATCAGTTCATCTGAGACCGAGAGACCGAGAAGGATGTATATTAAGTGCCTGGTTTGCTGCCTTAATTATATTCATAGCACAATATCAAACCAGAAAGTAACAAAAATTCTATCACCTAAAACTCTTGCACACAGCAGTCGCTTGCTTACCTTCAAGTCTTTTAACTCTTTTCTTATTACTTAATGGTCACAGGAATAACAACGACGACGACAGCCAACGAACAGATGCTCTCATTACAACCTACCTCACCCCAGCTTGATTCCCACAGCTACGCCATGTCTGAGCTGCCATTTCCGCTCGAAACCCCTGCTGTGCAAGCAACTCCAGTCTTCGATTCTGTAACATGCCTTTTCTGCAATTCTCCTTCTGACAGTCTTGAAGGAAACCTGGAACATATGCAAAAACGGCATGGGTTGTTCATTCCTGACAAGGAGCACCTAATTCTAGACCTGGAATCGCTGCTAGAATACTTGCACCTTGTGATTTTCGAATACAAGGAATGTCTATACTGTCATACGAGCCGCCGCACCATACAAGCAGTTCAGCAACATATGATGGGCACTGGGCACTGCAAATTTGATATCTCGGACGAAGGTTCTGAGTTTCGGGACTTTTACGAATATGATGAGCCAGATGCAAATATTGCCGATGAGAACCAAGAAAGCAATCAGGTGCAGCTCTGGAGTCGCGGCACCTCGACATCTCCAGTCCAAGTCGACGATACCAGCATGAGGCTACCCTCGGGAAGGATTGTATCCAACCGATCAGCCCCAGCACCCCGCCACCCATCGCGCAAGCCTCTGGAACCACAGCCTCCGAGACATGCTTCGTCCTTATCCGTTGCGCCTACTGCCGCCAGCCAGTCAGATGCATCTGAATCCTCAGCGGCCAACGAGGATCCTGCTTTACCCAAGGATCATCCGTCATCCAAAGCATTGGCGAAACAGGAGAGGCAGAAAGCAGCTTTGGCTATCCAGCTTTCCAGTATGCGGAGCAGCGACCAGAGGGCCCTCGCCCATTTGCCTGCCTCCGAGCAACGAGCAGTGTTGTCACAAGCACTGCGGCTCGAAGCGCAGTCGGATCGCGCGACCAGACAATTTCGGGGTCAGATGGATAGTTTGGGCAACGTGCTGATGAAAGCCCGATTTGTTAATGATGTGCCAGGAGCCTCCCGGGCGCATAAGAATCGATTTTTCGCAGCCTAGACCATGTTTGGATGTAGGCTGGGAAGGAAAAGACACTCCTTCTTTTGAGACTTGGTTATTTCAAAAGCGTGATAGGATCAATAGATTTGTTTTCGTCCTGGGACCCATCAGTTCCATCCTCTTGCAATGACCAGGCTTCTCCTTAGATTGATAAGATGAAATCAATGATCAAATGGGGCCCTGGCATGGTCGGCCCCGGTTCACACAGGCTCTCGGGTTTCCCATCAGCCTGTTTCCAACCGCATACGCGCGAGTGCCCCAAGCCATGTAATATTAGCACTTCTGGTCCCAGGAGCTCGTTTTTATGGGAATATAACAACATTGAAACAGCCATTGGTCATAGGTTAGTCACGCTCGTATCAGTTAACTGGCAAATAAGCCTCTGGAAAAAAGACACTGGGGTTCGTGAAAAATCATCAAGCCCCTTTGTGGGTACGCCTAGGAAAGTCAGGTAGAGTCGAAAGCCGTCTATCCGGTTTCGCTCGAGACTCGTTCTCGGTGCTTACCTCAAAATACCTTAGTGTCTCTAAAGTCTTTCGATTCATTCTTCAATCTAGAGACGCGTTCTTCCCTCGGTGGAGTTGGACCTCTCATGTCGAAATTTCTCAGCTCACAAGTCCATGCCGAAGTTCTCTCCAATCAACATGGACTCTCTATACCTTCACTAGGATTCAACCCTTTCACATGCAATGCAATCCAGCTATACCAGCTACAGCTTGTCCAACTGATCGTTCTCGAGGCGTTCCAGAAAATCATGGATCCCAATCTGAAGGGATCCATTTATCATATTGGGGTCTAGAATCCTTGCCGTATTATGTACGCTCCCACCATTCACAATCTCATATCCACCAACCAGTGCGAGATTCGGTGCAGGATGTTTAGTTTAGGCTTTTTCAGTAGATGCTTAGTCGATATTCAATTGTAGGCATTCGTGTTCCTTGAGCTTACCATGGCCAAGTAACGGTGTCACATTTGCCAGAATGCAATGAGAAAATTATAAGACCTCACATGTCATACCTAAACTTGCTATTCGGAAATTACACACCCCAAAGCACCTTATTATTAGAACCAGAGACTGCAGCGAGCAGATCACGCTTCAGGTACACTGTGACGTGTGCCGATTTTCCGCAACCCCTGACCTATTAAGTTATCAGATCCGCACCGTCTGACCAACCAGACTCCACCTCCTCACATGGCTACCTGGTCCGTCAAGTTTAGAGCAAGCTATATCCCTCGTCGTTTGCCCTGCAAGTGGGCTGAAGGCGTTCCAGTGCACCTAGTTAGGAAATCCCCTCCACTGTTAAAATCTCCTGACAGAACAGACCAGGCAGTGCTAATCTTTAATAGTTCGTTGGGTAGCGGGCAGCTCGTGAGAAGTTTGGGGAAATACCTCTCGGCTTACCCGGCGTTTCTAGCAGCCGAGGGCGCCGGCCTGCATATCAGCTACGAAAACCGCATCCTTCATCATGCAATGGCGTTGCCCTGTCTCCATATATATCCGGCTTGTGATGCTGCAGGGAGGATCAAATGCAATAAACGGCCTTGGCAAATACCCACATGCAGAGCGATCAACCATCACGGCTGGGGTGACGAAAGCCTCCATCGACCGACCAGGCGAGGTTTGTCTCCCCACCCGCTCTCAAAGTAGAAGTCTCAAGTGTTCATCCCGGGATGCTGCGCGGATTCCTTGACCAGGGTGGCTTGCTCAGAGGCAAAAGTAATCGGGAAGTTCCTACCGAAGGAGTGGACGTTGCATTGAAATGTGCTCATGCCTGCATCGGACGCATAATAACCATGTGTGCCCCCTCTTGTCAGATTGATTGATAAGGTTTCTCACTCTCGACTTATGCTTGGCTCTGCAATTACCCATTGGGACACATTCACGAGAATCTGCTGTCATGGGTGCCACTAAGCAGGTTGGAGACGATGGTCTCCAAACCACCACCAACGTAGCCGCGGTTGATACCACCAGGCAGACCGGTGACGATGACTTCCACGCGGCCGCGGTACGCAAAGAGGAAGCCAACGTGGATACCAATGATGCTGATCATCAAGCCGGCTGGGACACGGACGAGCCCATCAACAAAGATGCTCAAGCCGGTATCCAGAACATCGAGGCGACTACCATGGTATGGAACAAGAAGGCGTTGATCGCTGCCTATGTTTGGATCTGGGTCATCTGTATGTATTATTCCCAATCGCTATTTTGACATGGTTGCTCATGCATTTTAGATTTCGTCGATAGCTTGCAGCAAGGCACCACGGGAGCACTCACGCCATATGTCACGTCCTCCTATCTACAACATTCGCTCACCCCAACCACGAGCATCATGAGTAGCATCATTGGCGGTGTCTCACGTCTCACTATTGCCAAGATCATCGATGTCATTGGCCGTCCAACTGGATACCTCCTTTCAGTCGTCTTTCTCACTCTCGGCCTCATCCTCATGGCTGCCAACAACGGTGTTGAGATGTATGCGGCCGCGCAAGTCTTCTACTGGGTCGGCTACGACGGTCTCATGTTCTGCCTGACAGTTTTCATTGCGGATACATCCCATCTGCGGAACCGAGGCCTGATGTTCGCTTACTCCCAAACACCATACATCATCACCACCTGGATCTCGGGTTACGTTGCTACCGACTTCCTCAACGGCCCAGGTTGGCGATGGGGTTTCGGCGCATTTTGCATCATCACACCCGTCATGCTCTCCCCTCTCTGGATCCTTTTCATCCACTACCTACGCATTGCTAGAAAGCAGGGCATTCTGCCTGAAAGACCCAAGAGTGGTCGCAATATCCTGCAGTCCCTTTACTACTACTGCCGCGAGTTTGACGCCATCGGTATCCTCCTAGTTACTGCTGGTCTTGCCCTCTTTTTGCTGTCTTTCAACCTATACCCAAATCAGGCCGAGCAATGGAAGTCGCCTCTTATTATCTGCTTCATTAACTTCGGTGGTCTTCTCCTTATTGCCTTTGCAGTATACGAGAAGTGGTTTGCTCCCGTCACGTTCATTCCTTACAACCTGCTGCTTGACCGGACAGTCATGGGGTCCTGCATCCTGGCGGCCACCAATTTCATCAGCTTCTACATCTGGAACTCTTACTTCTCCTCTTTCCTGCAGGTGGTGAACGGCTTGACAGTCACCCAAGCTACGTACGTCGGCAACACCTATAACATGGGTTCCTGCTTCTGGGGCGTCATAGTCGGTCTAGCCATCCGCTACACCGGCCGGTTCAAGCCCTTTGCTCTGTTCTTCGGTGTTCCTCTCATGATCTTGGGCGCAGGTCTAATGATCAAGTTCCGCCAGCCCGACGTAAACATTGGATACATCGTCATGTGCCAGATCTTCATCGCCTTTGCTGGCGGTACTTGCGTGATCACCCAAGAGGTCGCCGTCATGGCTGCCGCCGAGCACCAGCACATCGCCGTCGTCATCGCGATGCAGTACATGTTCTCCAGTATCGGCGGCGCCATCGGCTCGACCGTCTCCTCCGCCATCTGGCAGAACGAGTTCCCTAAGAGCCTGGCCAAGCACCTTCCTGAAGAGTCGCAGGGAAATCTCACGTCAATCTACGGCAACTTGGTCACCCAGCTGTCGTACCCGGAGGGCTCGCCCACGCGTATCGCTATCCAGAATGCGTACGGAGAGGCTCAGCGGTACATGCTCATTGCTGCTACTTGCGTTTTGATTCTCTCTCTCGGCTCTGTCGCTGTGTGGAGGGATCTCAAGATCAAGAATGTCAAGCAAGTCAAGGGTGTCGTTGTCTAATGGAGCCAGATATATGCGCACAAGCGCAAACGGACCACTGGAACCATCAAAGCCGAAAGGAACAATGCCATCTGAAGGGACGAGCCTGTCCGTTGCATTAGAGAAGTTATTGTAAATTAGAAGCAGCCGTGAATTCATCATCTTTCTCAACTTGAATATTAATAGACCTAATCAACTACGTACCGTTTCATCTCGATAGAGAAGGCCTTTGCTCCAACTCGACAATCTTTTTTCGGTTGAAGCCCATTACCAATTGAGGAGATGTTACTTGGAGATAAATGGCTTGGAAGAAGAAGCGCATGTACCTGATCACGCTGTATGTGAGGATTACAGGCAGAAGCGAGGGCAGAAGCGAGAGGCCCCACGGTCCCAAAGCTTCTGTGTGGGCAAACGCGCTCTGTGGGATTTGATGGTCGATGGTATTTTATGCAAAATTAACCGCGTTGTGCCATGACGGGTATTTGCTGTACATCTTAAGGATGGGAGTATCAGGCAATTACTACCTACACCAAGGTAGAATCAAACCCAGCCAGCATCCCAAGAACTACAGTCACGACTGCCCCGTCATGGAAATTCCGTCGGACGCGCCACAAAATGTACGATGAGGCAACCAAACCTTCCCCCAACCTCCAATCAAACGAGCAAGTCATCTCTTCTTCACGCCGAGGGCAAGCCCCAGGCAGCAATGAAAAGAAAAAGCCTGTCAGACGTCCATCAACACCCACCCAGACCGCGCGCCCTATGGCAGACCGCGAAAAGGGTCGAGATCATCAAATTAGGGCCCGAGAGCCCCGTATACCATCTCTATACAGCGTCACCACGAGGGCAGCGCCGCCATCCTTGCGGACAGAGCGAGAGGACCAAAGTGTATTCACTCTAGGGTGTCGAGGATATGCATTCATCAACCAGGGTGGATTCTGTGGCTTCGGTAGGAAACCAAGAGAGGGTCGAATACTATAGAAATGATTCTCCTGCAGGCGGCTGTTAGCAACGAGAAGAGGCGGAGCGTCGGGAGCAAAGGTAGGGGGAGACATACTGAAGTATTGTCGACGTGAAGAAGAAAGAAGAAAAGGGAAAAAGACGAAGAGCGACGCGAAGCTTTTATAGAGAGTCTGTGGATCCACGATCAGTCACTCACACCGCCTAAAAGTTTTTGGCAGAATCGGAAAAATTTGTTTGTTTTTCTTTTTCCTCATTGGTCCGAGCCTTATCTAATCTGCTTAGTTAATCAGCTCGCGATTCACCTCCAGCCTCAGTTTTATGTTCAGCTACCCTAAATCTGGAGGTTCTTCTCATCAGACCTCCTCGAGGCGGCGTGCGATTGAAGAAGGTTCACTATCATACAGGTAGCTACTGTAAAGAACACTATGGTTACTTTTTCTCCTCTGAATCATGATTTGCTCGACATCCGTACTGTCCATCTCCTCCCTGGTACCTGGGCGTCAAGTGACAGCATTTCCGGGCGTGGTGAAGCCATCCTGAGCTTAACATGACCAAACTCTGCCTCAGACGCCAACTACCTAACTTTATCATTCTAGCTTGAAACAAAAGAAAAGCTTGATTTTTTTGGTCGTTCTTTACATACCTGCGTGCGAGTAAGCCTTTATATTTAATGATCTTCATACGTCTTGTTGCCTCACATGATTTGTCTTACCTTCGTCACTCATGGTCTTGTCTCTCGAGGTTATACCCTGTGCATCACAAGCAAATCACACACCTGCCAATAACACAAAACTACACTCAATTAACGATCTTCGAAATTGCTAGCGACTATGCCGTTTGCAAGACACGAAGCAAGCATCGCCGCCATGGTTGAGGAAGGCTGCGACATCGTTGCCGAGGCGGATGGCCACTTCCAGCTGCGCATTGCCTCTATCTTCATCATCCTGGTGGCCTCAGCGATTGGCGCCATAATCCCCATTTTCCTCGCGCGGAAGAGCAAGTCCAACCGCATCCAAGAACTCATCTTTTCTATCTGCAAATACACCGGCACCGGCGTCATCACCGCCACGGCCTGGCTGCATCTTCTGGTCCCTGCTGCAGCCGAGCTGTCGGACCCTTGTCTCGGGCCACGACTGGGCACCTATCCGTGGGCATTTGCTATCGCCCTGTGGACGGTAATGGCGATGTTTTCTGTCGAGATTCTGGCAAATAAATTCACAATGTCAGGCTCTGCGTCTTCTACAGAGCCCAGCCCATTCCCTACAACAAAGGAATCGGTCGAGGACGACTCGCGCACCACCAGCAGCGGCAAAACGCAAGAGCCACTGGTGACCGAAATTGATGTGGAGAGACTGGCTACAGCCTCCGAAAAATCTACGATCCGGGAGCCGGATGATACAGACGTGGCCCATCGCTCCTGCGCGAGTCAGATGTTGGCACTTCTCATTCTCGAGTTCGGCGCCATCTTCCACAGCTTCTTCGTTGGCCTCACACTCGGGACCACCAGGCAGCTCGTCCTGCTCCTCATCGTTCTCGTCGTCCATCAGCTGTTCGAAGGCCTCGCGCTCGGCGCTCGCCTGGCCGACGCCCCTTGGCCCGCCAACCGACGCTTCCTACGGTACGTCTTCGTCGCCCTGTTCGCCATTGCGACGCCCATTGGCACCGTTGTCGGCATGACAGCCCAGCCTGGCAGCGCCGTCGCGCAGAAATTGCTTGGTGGAGTCTTTAGTGCGGTCAGTGCCGGGATTCTGTCCTACACTGGCATGGTCGAGCTCCTTGCTGGCGAATTTCTCTTCAGCCAGGAGATGGCCGAGGCGTCTACGTCTAAATTTGCTGTCGCGTTCATCTCGGTCCTTGGTGGGATGGTAGTCATGTCTGTCCTGGCTGTCTGGGCATGAGCACGGGAGGGCGTGCTTGATGGTTGATGGTTGATGAAAGTATGCGCGCTATCTAGGTCACGTCATGGGCGTTATTTTATTTTATTTTTTATCCTTACTTGAAGGACAAAATTGATTTACAAGGCAGGCCAGGGATTTTTTATTTTTAACTTCATCATGATACTACGATACTACGGGTCGTGATCGTGAGTGCAATAGAAGGCGTGCGACTCGCATGCTAGAATAGAACAGATTTGCAATTAGCTTTTCAATTTCCATTATGCAATACTGACACCTCCCTTGCCTCAATGCCGTGACTCAGTAATTTTCGGAAGGGTGAGTCTTGATTGATCGCCCTGGAAAATCTTGTCTCCAGGAACGCTGTTTGCGGGATGATGAGCCAATCCCGAGTACAGAATTCCTCACAAATGAACCTGATCTTGACCATTTGCGTGTAGTCTGAAGCACTTGATTGGCTGTTTGATGTACAAGGCCCACCTACTGGCACTTGTTCACTCCCTTGACGATCTTTGTCAGTATGCAGCAGGCATCTCCATTCCGGTGCCTTGACTGGTGGATTGGAGCAGCGACGGTAAGGCGATTTGAAGTTATTTCTTTGCATCGCATGCCTACTTTTATTATCTCATGATCCCCAGGTAGTAAAGATCCGTCGGCCGTGACTTGCTGCGGTATTGGCACTTGATGGCCCTTGGGTTGATCCATAACTGGCAGCATCCACTCAGTCCCAGCCACCAGCCCAGCCATTTCTGCAACGAGCCTTAGGTTTTATTGCAATTAGCCTGCCGTGTATCCCGTAGCAAAGGTATGGGTCTCACACATCCCGATCAAGGGGTCCTGGAAAACGGACCGAGCCTCGGAACCACACTACGGCTTCGGAAATCAGTGGTGAAGCTCACCTTGATCACATAGTAGCAATCGGTTTCTTCCTTGGCCTTTGCCTAGCCCCATCGCTCTACTGGACGAATTCCATCGTCCCCGCATGGCCTGCGTATGACCGCTATCACTGGTGCCCGTACTGCCTCGCGTGATTATGGGGTAATCGGCGAGGTGGATGCAATGTTTGAAGGCAGAGCACACTGGATGATTATGATGAACAAAAAGCATTCACAATTAACTTTGTTTTCTTTCTGGTGAACGTTGGGTACCTTTATGACGAGGAATTACAACATGGATTGGTTTTTTTGTTAACTTATACGCCTTGGCTCACAACTTAGCCCTCTGATCACAATAAAATGCTAAGGCATAGTTGCTTGTCGAGAACGATATCTTTGAACCCTTCGTGAATAGAAAGACGTCACCAGATCTGGCAGTGACCTTTTGTCCCGTCTCATCTTCCATGACACACTCGCCCTCTAGGAAGAGCTTTGCTTCGTCAAACTCATACTCAAAGACCAAAGGCTTCCCCTTTTCAATTCTGAAATAACCTGCGGAGATCGGGGACCCGGGATTGGTATCGGTAGTGGACACAATATCTTTGGACCGGCTCCGTTAGTCGAGTCTTTCATGAAGTCAGATAAGTATTTGGATTACATACCTCCTCCGAAGGCATTCCCGCTTTCATCTATAGGCGGTGGCTTCACGGATGAGGCGTTGGGTTTGTACTTGAAAGGCATGGCTAAATGGATATCGTGGTGATGCTGTTAACCCTCTGTGCTTAATGTCTGCGGCAGCTTGGGCGTCTGTATCTGGTATTTAAGATCTCGCAACTACGCAACAAGAATGCAATGAATCCATCCAATCGGAACTCCCGTTATTGATTCCGGGCATTCCGACGACGAATTGTGACATAACCTTATCTGGATCCTGCTTCGGGCTTTCGTAGACTGATGATGAGTCTCGTTGTTGAGATGGACCTCGCACTTCTGACCCCGATTAGGAATAACCTCATCCAAAATACGCCGCGTCGCACTTTTTGGCTACTTTGGGCATATCATTGTTGATCCCCACACTCGGGTCCAGTCACTGGCCTCCCCACGGTTAGTACATAGGCATTGTATATATATGATACTTCACGCCGTAGATTGTAATGAAATCGATCTTAAAAGTCAAGCTTTTCATTGAAGTAACTGAGAGGCTCCACGATGGCAAGCTCTAAAGAAGGATATCTCTGGACACCAGCCGGCGAGACAGTCGGTCTCGTCAGTGACGGTGTCGTCTCATCCACACCTCAGTCAACACTTCGCGATAGTTATGACGTGGTGATCATCGGCGCTGGTTTCGCAGGCCTTGTTGCCGCGCGAAATATCAGTGAGAGAACAAATCACAACGTTCTTCTACTCGAGGGGCGTGACCGTATTGGCGGGCGCACCTGGACTGCAAAGGCCCTTGGGGAGGAGTTTGAAATGGGAGGCACATGGATTCATTGGTAGGCTCTTTGCGGTGTAATCTCAAAAGTCGGAGAATCGTCATCTAACATCTACTGTCATCAAGGAACCAACCACATGTATATGCTGAGTTGCATCGTTATGGCCTTCAATCTATCATGAAAACCTCTGAAGGAAACCTTGATGCCAAAGCCAACTACTACACTCCGGCAAATGCTACCAGCCAAGAAATCAATCCTGAAGACGTGGGCCCGGTAATTCAACGAGTAGCCGATGCCTTTTTCACTATAGATGGCTTGACCAGCCGTCAATTAATGCCATATCCACATGAACCATTTCGCCAACCGGCACTATGGGCTAAATACGATCATCTCAGCGCCAAAGACCGCTTAGACCAGCTAGATCTCCCCCAGATCGAGAAGGATATATTTGACTCCATGATCAGTTCCCTTGGAAGTGTGCCTGGTAGCGGGTGCGGTTTCGTTGAGTGTCTACGATGGTATGCGCTTGGAAACCACTCAATGGAGAACATGTTTGAGCTTGCGGGACTCTACAAGCTCGGTAAGGGGGGCATGAGTCGATTTGCCCGGTCGATCTTATCTAATTATCGTGGCCATTTGGTGTTGAATACTGTGATCAAGAAGATTGCCCAGACGGATCAATCTGTACTCCTCCATACGCAGAACGGGCACCAGATCCGCGCAAAATATGTGATTTCCACTATTCCGCAGTGAGTCTTTGCTTACAGCCTCAATCAGTTATATATTGCTCTTGCTGATGGAACGATAGTAACTGTCTCTCTGACATCGAATTCCAACCCCCAGTTGCGCCCACGAAGCGGCAAGCCATTCTGGCCGGGCACATCAACCAAGGCGCCAAAATCCATTTCCACCTCGCCAAAGAAGAGCCCGGGTGGTTCTCTACGGCAAACGGCTACGGTGACTCGCCATGGTGCTTCTCCTTTTCCGACCATAACGGGACAAAGAAGAAAGATGGCACATACTGTATCGGGTTCGGATATGGGGGGTACTTGAAAGACCCCCGAGCCAGCAAGGAGATCATATCCTCGTTTAAAAAGTACCTCAAGCCTGATGCGCAAGTCAAAGCGTACCTGACACACGATTGGATGAATGATCCCCTGGCTAAGGGGGTTTGGAGTTGCTGGGGACCAGGCGGCATGACGAAATGGCTGAGGGAGCTCCAGCAGCCTCATGGCAGGGTGTTATTTGCCAGTGCCGACTGGGCGGATGGATGGCGAGGATTCGTGGACGGCGCCATTGAAAGAGGAGGACGGTCGGCTATTGAAGTTGAGGCTCTACTGCGGTCTGATACTCCAAGAGCAAGTTTGTAGCTATTGATTTTTGCTAGGATGTCATCCTCAACACCTTCTGTCTCTGTGGCATATTCGGTACTTGGCTGGCCGACAAGATTGGTCGGCCGACTCGTTGCCCTGCCCTCTACTATTTTTGTTAAATCTCATGGAGTTAGTTTGATGAAATGATTCGGTTCTCACATGTGCTGCTTCAAAGCGTGGTTGGAAATTGTTGACGTTTCGTTTAATCAAGCCAGCAGAACGCGTCAACGCGATTATTTAAACCCCGCACTGACTGGACTATGATCGTCGGTGGCCATTCATTCATCACTCCTGCGAAAATAATAAACAGCGGGAGTTTTAGGTGAAACTTTATTGTCAGTCGCGTTTGGTCCATTATATAAAGATAATGTTTAGGGCCACGTCTCCCCATCCTGGTTCGGGCTCTCTCTAAATCTTCCGAAACAGAGGAAAGAAAAGAGAGAGAAAAAAACATACAAGATGAAACTTGCCATAGTGTTTCTTCTCGTCTCTCTTGCAGTTTGCTTCAAGCGGCCAGGGAGGCCGAACATTTTCATGATTCCGCACGGTGAGAAGATGACCAACGGCTCCGACCGCTTAAGCGAGGACGGCCTCGCACGTGCTGAGTGCCTTCGTGAAATCTTTGGGCCCGGCTCGGTCTTCAACATTGGCTTTATTATAGTCCCGAAATACAAATTTACGCGTAAGTCCCCTTGTAATAAAGGATGCAGGCGCGTCACTGAGAGGCAGTAGCTGGTATCGTCGACAGATTGGGATTCGACACGATGACTCCTCTTGCCGAGGACTTGAACATCGACATTCGTGCAGGTTGCGCCCGGATGGTCTACGGCTGCGTATTAGAAGCGATTGACTACTGGGTTGGTACTGGTAAAAATGCTCTCGTCTGGTAAGGTTTTGGCCGTTGACATGAACGAAGCAAACAGTCACTGACAAATCTCCGTGTAGCTGGGAACCCAAGCTGATGGGTGGACTGTCTCGGCTGCTTGGTTTGAGATATCTTGAGAGATACCCGTCTGGCAGGCATGATATAATTTGGGAACTCACCCCAAACCGTTACTACATGCAAAGAAGGACTCTTCAGAAATGCCCAGGCTTAGATGTTCCTTGGGTTAACCTGGATTCAGAGGATGAGAACCTGGGCTCGGATTTCAAGGGCTCGGAAGAAGAATTAGAATCATGGCAAATAAGGGCATCAAGAGTCTACAACGCAACCGTTGGCATCAAGTAGCTGAATTTAAACATGGCTCAATAAATTCTTTTCTTGTAAGAGAGAGGTCAAATTTTCTTATTATTAATACTCAATAAAATGAAAAGAAAATGGCAAATTATTTTACGAGATTTAGCCTAATATTATGTTCATTACCAGATTGGTTGTGTTGATGTTATGTCGAGATCCAATTCTGGGTGTGCTATATTTTGTGTCAGCCGCTTGAATGGATAGTATAGGAGTCATCGGTTATTGGTTCTGCTTCATTTCTCTACTCGAGATTGTTATTTATATGCAAGTCTATTCGCAGGTTTTTGACTCACCTGTGATACACTTCAAAGACAGATAACTAGGCCTTTCATTCAACCAAACAGCTGCTCCGAATATATTATATGAACGGCACTTACTGCATTTATTTGTTCATTAAAAGATCCATCTGAAAGGGTGGTCAGATATATAATATGCCTACCATGATGGGAGACACTTATAAGGAAGTATTGTGCTTGATGATCCTCGTAAGCGAGATCGCTGCGCATGACGTTGGTTCATTATGCGTGAATATGTTTATTCGAAACTCGTCGATAATAGCGGCTATTAACCCCCAACGGATTGACGAGGGGATGACTGTGGAGATGAATCCAGACCAACTTCCTGTTTCTATGGGGGCGTCGTCAAGGATGCCGAGGAGGGAGCAATAAGCCCCATCACGATGCCGCCTCATCCGGTCTCAGATTAATTTCATTATCTAAGATCAACTCATTTATGGCCTTGTTTGGCTGCGCTTTGTTCAGCAAACGGCTTTCGTCTCCGGCTTTTCTAATCCCTGCTAGAGGCATGTCGTCGCTCATCAAGGGGAAGGTTGGCGCGAATATGTGGGATTGCAACGCAACCCCAAGCCTTGACCAGGAGATGACATTCAAAAAACCTCATACTGGGTGATCAAGCAGACCGCCTGAAAACTCTATTTCCTAAAAAGGTATGATACCGGATTTAAGAGCATGAATGTACGATCCCCGTAAGACGCGACCCCTGGGGAGTATACGTGTTAAGGAATATATTCCCCTGGGTGTCCTAGAATTGCGCTCCCAAGCGTGTTTGAACTTGTTCAGCACACCCAGAACTTCCCATAGAGACGTAATCTCCATATTATTTTGCAACTTCTATCTGTTATGGCTCCTCTTCCGATTACCACACATATCAGCAAGCTGATAGATACTGCCACCACACAACCGGACCTACAAGCCTTGAAGATCCCCCAGTTCTCCGATGACGGAACTTCAAATGGATGGGAAACCATAACTTTCGCCCATTTCTTACGTGACGTTGAGAATGCGGCTCGTTATTGGGCAAATGAGCTTTCTCAAAAAGGAGTGAAGTACCGTGATGTAGTTGGAATCTGGTAGGGAACCCCACTGTCCCACGATCGCCTCCCCCATAGACAAAGTAGTATTCATTGACGTGTTGCGCTTCTTTAGGGTCAAAGGGTTGTCGTACATAGATGCTGTGCTTATTTGGGGAATACTGAGAGCTGGGTATATCCCACAACTCTTCTCGCTAAGATTGACAAGTTCCGATGTTATCTCGACGCTCCTCGAGAGGACTGGCGGGAAAGCTGTCGTCGTCGAATCAGAATGGCTCAAAAGTGTCAACGTCAGTCAGCCTAGTCTGCCGGCAGTAGATACGAGGGCCGCAGATGTGAATAATTTACCACTACCTCCAGTCTGGGTGCCGGCCAGTGGCGATGACACTGTCATGATTTTCCATTCCTCAGGCTCGACATCTGGAATGCCTAAACCGATTGAGATCACTGCTAGGTGGCTCAACTTCAACATCCAAACAAGCCGAGACATCTTCGAGGCCATCTATACTGATGGTAGACGAAGTGTGATGTCAAGCAAGTGAGTGGCACAAGCAGAATTAGTGACATAGACTGTTAGGTGACTAACTCAATCGCAGTGGAAGCTTCTGCCACCTTGCTGCGTCTTTCATGATGCTGAGTGCACACGCCCGTGGTGGGTGCGTGGTGCTCTGCAAGAACATGCCTTGCACCTCACAGGAGATCAAACTGCTCGTCAAGGAACACGGCTTGACGAGCTTGTTCCTTTTTGCGTCATTCCTCGGTGATATCCTCCGAGAGGCGCGAACAGACAAGGAGTTGCTTGAGGCCCTCCAGAGTCTGGATGATGTGACCTATGGTGGTCTCCCTATCGAACCAGAAATAGCCAATTGGGCCCGACAGCAGGGAATCAAGCTCACCGAGGGGTTCGGCAGTACTGAGATGGGCATCGGTTTGTTGTCGGTAGGAGGAGATGGGCCTGACGCGGCTCTGCTACGTCCAATCAAGGGCGCAACGTACAAGTTTGTACCAGTAGAAGACCACGAGACGGATGGAGACAATGCGGGAGAGAAGCTCTTGGAGATGATCATTCCGCCAGAGTGCCACAACTGCCCACCGAAATCTCTCCGGAACGAGGCGACCGGCGATTTCCACACGGGCGATCTCTTCGTCGAAGTTATGCCGGGAAAATACCTATTCAGGGGCCGCAATGATGACTGGATCAAGACGCAGTCCTCCCTCCGCTGCGATACGAAAGCCATTGAGGAGAACGTCATGGAGCTCTGCGCCCAAGATCTCATCAATAGGGTTGTTGTCGTGGGAAGCGGGCGGCCATCTCCGTCCATTTTGGTAGAGCCAAAAGATGAAAAGGCGGATCATGTATCCCTTCGCGAGGAGATTCTTCGTAGAATCACTCCATTCCATGAGCGGAGGTATATGCATGAGCGTGTCGACAACTCTCGGTTCATTGTTGTTGTCCCACAGGGATCTCTGCCCACGACGGCAAAGGGCAGCGTGCAGAGAAAGAATGTCGAGAAGCATTTCCAGGCTACCTTGGACCAGATTTACGCCTAGTTAAGAGCTTTTTTGATTACATTGAGAAATATTCGCTGCTTATTGAGTGATCTCAATATAGCCTCACAATCCTGAATCTGTCCTTGTCTATCGTGTTTTATCATTTAAATTGTAGTTATATTTGAATGTTAAGCGTCGCTTCAATACACGTAAGCACTCTCTCCCGTCTTTATTATTAGCAGTGCACTGCCTTTTTGTTCATTGGTTTTCTTCTGGAGAAAACCAACACCGCAGTAGATTGTTATGTCCACTTTGACTGCGGAGTACATGTAGGTAGAGACGGGTGTTTTAACTCCTAACTGGATAAAATCCTAATCTTAGGCGAGAATACTCTTCAATTAAGTACGCCGGGCTGTTTCTTTACTACGCTTGCTGCCGACTTGAGTAGACATGGCGGTCGAGATCAGAGTGTGGCTGAACTTTGTCTGGCTGGAGCTATATGGTAAATGTGGTCCCTAGATAAGCATCCCAGTGGGGAAATGGTGTAGGGGCATCACGTTTGTTTTGCATGATCAAAAACATACACTACAAAAGGTCCGGGGTTCAAATCCCCGTTTCTCCAGTGAGCATTTCTTTTTTTGGTGGCTTTTCGATCGTTCGTGTCATCGCATCACACACACATGGTCGGGTTTTTCTATCAACCAAATAATAATGTCAAATCGAGCATATTTTTTCTTGTGTTCCGGCAATGGTCTTCTGGACAGCATTAACTGCTCATGCAACGAGTCGTTGCAGATCTGGACGCTCCTCAATCTCTCGAAGGATATCCGTAAAATCCCCTTGGCCCCTCTGGCTCATCTCCTTGATGTACGGCAACTGGTCCTTGAGCCAGCCTATTTCCTGGCCTGCCTTAGGGAGCACCATACCACCCTCACGGATGCACATCATTGGTGTCAAGGTAACCATCAAAAGTCTCTTTGGGTTCATTTCATGCCGGGCGCGGCGCTGTTCGACAGACTCTGTGCCCCCATTCACCACCTCGTACCATGCATCCTCAATCTTGGCCGAGAGGGCGTCGAAGTCGGCCTTCTTGCGGACAGGGGAGATGCGTAGAATGCCAATGATGCGGTTTGAGGTCAGCGTGGTGGGCTTTCCAGCCAGAAAGGACGTGCCATCTCCGGCATCTTGCGGCAGAAATTTGACGTGGACGAAGAACGAGGGGGTGGTGAAGGCCGCGCAATGTAAGTCAGTAATTGATTGCGCCAAGGCCTGGCGCTGATCCTGTGTCAGGGGACACGAGTGGTGGATTTGGTAAAAGGGCATCTTGACAGACAGCACAAGCTATGATATTCGGAGGGTGATGGCAGTGAGGGTAAGCCGCGGGGTTCAACAAGGTCTTGATCTAGCATTCATGCCGTGGCAGAAGGGCGGGGTAATAGTCATCTACCATCTGCAAGGAAGCCTCGGCCAGTGAGATGATGGTTTCGTTCGGAGATGTGGAACGGGCACAGCGTGACTGAGCTTACTCCGTATAGCATCATTGATGACTGCGACTGTCAGTTTCACTGCATTATGTTCCCTCTGAAGTCTCTAGAACCGCCAATTATGGGACTTATGAGTCCCCATGATCGAAAATATAGACAACCAGGCGCGAAAAATGACTTGCCTGGGGTGTGGAGGTGACATATGGTTTGGTGCTCTCTGCTAGAGATCTGAATGTTAGCTGGCAATGATGTTGAAATAACAGAAAAACGGATATATGAAAGATCAACTACTGACATGAGATCACCAGTCAAAGAAATACCAATGCAATCGGATTGGGCAACCTCCATTGCACATGGGATCGGGGCTGATTCAACCGATGGGCTGGATTTTAACGCCGATGATGTCAAATTGTCTCTCCAGCTGTGGTGTATCACAAGTGTGACACATGACCCGTTGATATCCGAGTGGGATCAATTGAAAGCTGGAAATTTTCCGACTGCGAACTCTGTGTGCGCTCTTGAGCGTGTTGGGCACAGCTTGTACCATCGTCTGTTGTAACAGTTCGGTATGTGCATCATCACAACGGAATGTAGGGCTAGGAAAGATGCACGTCTTCACGACGCTAGAGTTGCTAATATGGCAGCTCTTGCACGCCATATGGACGCACATCCCGTCCAGCGGTGTGCCAATGTCGCGGGCCAGCCTGCTCATCATGTCTAAGACCGCGACGGCCATAATGTCTGAAACGGGCTGGCAGAGGTTGGACGTGGCTGTTTGAAATGTCGGGCCTTTGGAATGTGCCAAGGCTGTGATGGGAGGACGAATCCAATAATATAGAGACTTCTTAGAGTCAAACAAGGCGTACAAGTGAAACCCTGCGAATCAGGTAAGCTCTACCACAATCCCTAATGGTGGAGGACGGGAACACCAACCTCAGGTGCCTAATTTCTGAATCCCACGGGGGGTTGGCGGTGAGTGTTACCACAGACAGTTGTTTTCGTTCAAAGAGGACTGAATCTCTATGACAATCAGACGCTTCCATCTACGCACTGAATGCCCTGGATACTTTCCCTCGCTCCAAATCTACATGAGCAATACTCATTCACTCACGCCCCGTACTCGGACCGACATCCAAGACAGTGAACGGCGGCCACCCGCACCCAATCTCACTTTAATCAGCGCTCAAATACTGTCTTGGGCGCTCATAAAAGGCGCACCCAGGTCGTAGAAGGCGCAAGGAGACGCCCAAAGGCTCACCGTGCCTTTAAAACCATGGATAAAGAATTGTTAGCACACGACAGCCACGACAGCCACGACCACAAACATGATGACAACCACGACCACGACCACGACCATCACAACCACAACCACTCGCATGGTGACGATGGCCATGCTAGTCGAAGCCATAGCCATGGAGGCTCCTGCTGCACCGACAGGACTACAGCAGTCCAGTATAACGAGGAAATAGACATGGAGAAGGCCACCGAACACGAGCTGGTCTCTATTGCCATTGCCGGTATGGACTGCACCAGCTGCGCCGACAAATTATCTCGAATACTCGTTGCGATCCCTGGTGTCTCCCAGGCTCGGGTCAATTTCATCGCTGGCCGCGCCGATTTCACAATTGACAACAAGTTGACCACCGCTGATCAGGTTGTACGTTCAGCAGCGTCTGGCTCCGGGTTCCGACTAACCCGTATACTTGGGGGCGAGTTCTTCATCGATGTCCATGTCGATCCTCAGAATGGCAAGGCGCTCGCCCGGGAGCCTCCCCAAGGCGTAGTTGATGTTCATGTTCTCGACAAGAAAACACTTCGCTTAGTGTATGATCCGAGAGTTGTTGGCGCCAGAGCCCTGTTCAACTCAATAGCTGCCAATACGCAGGGCCTTGCTCCTCCGCGTCCAGACAGCCAACTCGAAACTACCCGCCGTAGGCTGGTCGACCAGTCAATAAAGACAGCGCTTGCTGCTATTTTCACGATCCCGGTTCTAATACTAGCCTGGCGGCATGGCCTCGTCGAAGACAGAAAGAAGGCCATCGTGTCATTCGTCCTAGGTTCTATAGTGCAAGCTATCGCCGTGCCCGAATTTTATCGCCCGGCTCTGTCGACTCTATTTTACAGCCATGTTGTCGAGATGGACATGCTCGTGGTTATCAGTATAACGGCCGCCTACGTCTATTCTGTTGTAGCCTTCGGTTTCACAATGTCTGGCAAATCCCTCGGCAACGACCTGTTTGAAACCAGCACACTGCTCATCACGTTGATTCTCCTTGGCCGGCTTATTGCCACTGTTGCTCGCGTCAGGGCCATTTCCGCGGTTTCAGTAAGATCAATGCAGCCAAACAAAGCCATTCTGGTAGAGAAAGGCCATGACAGTGAAATTGATGCTCGACTTCTTCAATATGGCGACCAATTTAGACTCCTCCCTCATTCTCGCAACCCCACAGATGGGACTGTGTTGGAAGGATCTACTGAGATAGACGAATCGATGCTCACTGGTGAACCGATTCCAGTCCTCAAACAAACAGGGGACACTGTTATTGCTGGAACTGTGAACGGGGACGGCACGGTTCTCGTCCAGCTAGACCGGCTTCCAGGAAGGAATACGGTCACTGATATCGCGCAGCTTGTGGACGAGGCAGCAAATTCCAAACCCAAGATCCAAGACTTGGCAAACAAGATAGCCGGCTGGTTTGTTCCAGCTGTGTCGAGTATAGCGGTGATCGTCTTGGCTGTGTGGCTTGGCATCGGTGTCAAAGTATTCCACCATACGCCGGGACAGGCTGTGCTAGAAGCCGTCACCTATTTTGTTGCAACTTTGGCTGTAGCATGTCCATGTGCCCTTGGGCTGGCCGTCCCAATGGTCCTCGTGGTTGCTGGTGGTATCGCTGCCCGCGGCGGTGTTGTGATCAAATCAGCGGAGACGACGGAAAGGGCCCGGAAAGCGACTGACATCATATTTGACAAGACGGGAACTATTACAGAGTGTGAGCTTGAGGTAGTTGATGAGAGCTATTTGACTAAGGAGACCGAATACGTTGCTGCTCTGGCCTTGGCCTTGGTCGCCAGTGGCAAGCATCCTGTTTCTGCCGGAGTGGCCAAGCATCTCCTGACGATAGTAAAGGAGGAGAACTCAACAAGCCTGCTGGAGTTATCTCATATTCGTACCATCCCTGGGGCAGGCATCGAAGCAAAACTTGATGACAAGCTAGTGAGAGCTGGGAGTGCTCGATGGACTGGAACGGACTCACACCCTGTGGTCCAGGGCTTGGAGGGAGACGGGCTTACGACTTTTGTTATTACAGTGGAATCAGAGCCCCAGGCAGTTTTCGGTCTACGTACACAGATACGGCCCGAAGCACGTCGAGTTATCAGCCAACTGCTGGCACGTGGTCTCTGTGTGCATCTCGTGTCAGGGGACCAGACACTGGCTGTCAAAACCGTCGCCAGGACCGTCGGGATCCCGGAAGAAAATGTTGCAGCCGAATGCACACCCAACCAGAAGCGCGACTACGTGGCCTCGCTAATGCAAGACAGTGGCCGCTATGTGGTATTCTGCGGCGACGGAACCAACGATGCAATTGCCGTCGCCCAAGCTCACGTTGGCATCCAGGTCGGGGGCTCACTGACGACCAGTGATGTGACCCAGACGGCCGCTGACGTGGTTATTCTCAACGGGTTGGAAGGCGTGCTGTTTCTTCTTAATGTCAGCAAAGTGGCGTTCCGGCGAATGATCTTCAACTTTGTCTGGTCTGCCATCTACAATGTCTTTGCCATCACGATGGCCAGTGGCGCGTGGGTGAAGTTCCGGATACCTCCGGCCTATGCAGGGCTCGGCGAGTTTGTGAGCGTTCTGCCTGTGATTGCAGCTTCCGTGAGCATGCTGTTCCTTAACCTTAAGCCGGGCGTTGTCGGCCGTAGAGGCGATTAGCGACCCAAGGTCAGATCGTGGGAGGGTGTGATGGGTTCAAAATCTCTCTGGTTCGAAGAGACCTATGCCGAGGACAATGATGAGGTTACGATATGCATACTAGTAGCGAGATGAGGCAATGGCACGTATTGTTCATAGCTGATGGATGAACAATCGCAGCAGGGCGGTGAATGAGGCTCAATATATCAATCATCGTTTTCAGACAGCGTGTGGAATCTTCATTTATTTTTTTACATTATTCGCATTTCATAAAACCATATTACCAAAAACCGCGGGCACACTGGTGCAGAGTGTGCCTGGAGTTAATGACGCTATGTCTCGCTTATAACTTGATGAAATGATTCAAACAATTTCCTATTACTTAGCCATCTGGAGTATTAATCTTTTGCCTGATTCTTTGCCTACAGCCCTTTTCATTTTGAGCCTGAAGTCTTGTGATTCATCACCCGTCTTGTATCTGACAAGGGCTTTCGGGTTTCGGGTCTTTCCTGAGGTTTGCCGTCTCATCACCCGAGACCCGATAATCTGACTGGACTGAGAAGCCAATATGGCTTGAATTTTTTTTTTTGGTTAGTGTACCTGCGTATTTCAACTGGTATCGAGCGATTTCCGAAAGAAAGAAAATTGAGTTTAATCATGTGTTGTGTGACGGTCAAGTTTCGTGCTTTGTTGGTTACGTGCCTGGACGTATCCGATCGATGGAATAGGGGAAGATAAGAGGTTCCCGAGATAAGCGGGATATCTCCTGTGGGAACCCGCGAACTGATATGATATCTAATTTGTGAAAGTTGTCTATACCTATATTTGATTGGTACTGCCCAAGTATTAGCTGAGTTACTGCCCAAAGTTGAGCGTACCAAGAACACCACCACGTCCCAACAACCGTAGCAATGGCTTCGAACAATGGAATCCCACCGCCTCCGACGGGGAACGAGGGAAGCCACTTTCTCTGTCTTACAATCCTCGGTTACCGCAGGCCAGACCTCACCGAGGACCAGTACCGACACCACATGACCAAGGTTACTGCACCGATGACCAAGGATTTGATGGTTAAATATGGGATTAAACGTTGGACCATGGTAAATTATCGAGCCTTCATCTTCCATTCACCATATGCATTGCTGATATCTTGCAAGATTCACAACACTGCCCAAACACGCGAAATGATGGAGCAATTCCTTGACCCACAAATGGTCAATATCGCTGATTACGATTGCTTCAGCCAGGTCGTGTTCAAGAGCACTGATGATTACAAGAAGCTAAAGGAGGACCCGTGGTATAAAGAGCACTTGTCTAATGACCATGAAAACTTTGCCGATACGAAGAAGAGCCAAATGACTATCGGGTGGATTACGGAATTCGTTAGAGACGGCGTAGCTGTCGACGGAATGAAGGCCTGATACAATACCTTGTATACCGTCTAGGTGTCCAAGGTTTTGAAGATAGTATGATTCATCATTAATACAGGATGATCCTCGATACTGGGTGTGCGCCCTATGCATTGAACCTTGGCATTTTGCATACGTATGCAGCCCTTCTGAGAGTCTGGCTACCTGCTATAAGGAACGGATTACTGGATTGAAGGGAAGAGATGTGGTATTGATTCATGTTAGATATTTGGAACCCATATAACTACATCATATTATAAACGCGATATCATCCTGCTCGATAATCTAGTGATGGTTCACCGTTGCAAACATACCAATGGCCGCCCCCAAGAGGGGAAACAGAGACCTAGTAATATGCAACCAACTCCATTTTTGGATCAAACTCTGAACCTCCGACAGTTCCACTACCTGTGCCGAGGCGACGTCGGCTCCCAAAATGAACAGTCTTTGGTTTGTAGGGTCCATGAAAATCCAAGTAAATGGAACCATTGTCAGGGTGGTGACTCCCGCGGCCACGTAGATTCCCCAAGGGCGTTTCACCACGCTCCTGTTCAGAGCGATATAGCCATAGAGCAGCGCAGTAGTAACAGAAATAGCTGGGAATGTGCGGATTCCGTAGTAAAATGTGCGCGCCCACTGGTTAAGTAGCTGCGGCGAGTCCGTGATTGTGTCCATCATCACAGGTACAGCGTTGATCGAAATGCTCATCATAGCCCCTGCGAGTTGTAAGTGATGAGAACGGAGCCAGAGCCGAGTCTAAGCTCTTACCAGATAAGAAGGAACCGGCTATCACGGCCGCAGCTTTCGTGCCAATGTTCGCAGAAATATCGCCCATAGTTGATAGTTTTAGAACATGTCTTGGGAGGGTTGGAAGGGCCACCTGTATGCCCGAAGAATGGAGCTGACAGGGTTTTATGCTTAATTTAATCCGGGATAAAGATTCAAGCAAACACGGGATTCAAAAGTCCCCTGCTAATGGCAAGGGGATAGGTGACTGAAATAAAACATGGCAAATCTAAACTTTTCTTTTTGTCAAGGCAGCGACCTCATTTTCTTATCAATAACTAAAGGTAGTAATGCCGATATGACAAAGTCTTAGAAATCTAACGCAATATCGTGTTACTACCGGGTGATTATCTTGATATTGCATCGAAATTCAAAGCTGGTGCGATGGTGTGCCACGTTCTTAGCGAGGCTTACATTTCGTCCGCTACATTTGAGGCTGGTTAAGGCTTGATTCACATGGAATGGTTAGCTGGAGTATATGTGTTGCGGTTGACGCCGAAACCCGATCCCGATACCGAGTCTGAAGCCCGATGTTTTGTCTAAGCAATGCGGCAGGAACAGAGACCCAGGGGCAGAAATGGGATCAAAGCGTTTGACCATCCAGTGAATGAGAAAATCCAGCAATGAACTAATGTTATATGAGTACTGAGCCTACGAGCCGCTAAATTGGAGCCTAAGGGACCTATTTCATGTATAGGCCTATTAATGGCATGAGACATCAAAAACTGCATCCCTAAATCAATTGCCTGCCTCAAGTTGACAATAATAGAAAGCCTAACTATAATACTCTAGCAGCCAGCTCCTGAGTGCCCCCATCGTCGGATACTCTAAGAAGAGACCACTATTAACCGCGATTCCAAGCTCCGTTCGGAACTTTTCTGCAATAACCAAACTCATGAGGCTGTCAATACCAATATCAGAGAATCTAGCATCATCAATCAATTCTGAAGGAGCAATTCCCGTCTCAGTTGCAATGAGACCAGTTGCTTTGGTTGTCATGCTTTCTGGCTCGGAACCCTGAATAATTCTTTTAGAGCTCCCAGGGCTCTCGCTTGGAGTAGGCTGCCCAGTGGTACTGGAAAATATTGCCATGTCTGGATGTCCGGAAGTAGGAGGCGTCTCGCAATACTCTTCATTGGATTGCTCTTGATCTGCTGTTCTTGGTGTCGTCCCTGCTACTCCTAATTGGACTGGGATAGGATAGGTACCTATCGAGGCTCTGTGTTTCAGTGAAAGCTGTGCCTGCCTGTAAGAATCTGAGGGAGAGAAGAAACGACTGAGCAGAATCCGAGGGTAGCGGCGGAACTGTATACCACCAACCATGCCAACAATTTCCCCATTCTGTAGAACGTATATGTCTCCAAAGAAAACGCTGTCGTCATCCTTAGAGGGGATCATCTTGACGTAGGACTGAAGTTCGCTACCTGGCTCAAGCGGCTTAGCCAGGCGCATGGAGTTCCAACCAGGAGTAACACAGAAGTTATTCACGGTGTCATGAGCATCAGAAACATTCATGATAAACCCTGCGAGATGGGCAACGCTATCAATGAAATGGGGCGGGACGGTCCATACTCCTTCCTGCTCTGTGCTGAGTCGAATCTTGGCGAAGCCTTCGAAACTACTAATGACAACCGACTGCATGCCACGGTACTTGTCGGCGTAGTCCACTAAGCTGGAGGCGAAAAGAGTGTATGCCATTTTCCCGGAGAATTGACTAGCGATCCCCTGCCTTGACATGCAATCTAAGGCGTCAATGCGGCTCTCGATGAGATGTGTAAGGGGTACCCAAGACGCTAAGAAATCCGACGAGGTACCGCAAGCCAACGCAGCAGTTGCGAATGCATTCGGGCTTGTCGAGCCATCATCGTCAACATTATACCACTCTACACTGATACCGTCACTAAGACTAGTTGTTCTGGCTATGACACGTATCAGCTGAGGCTTGGATGTATCCGCTCGCGCGACCAAGCCGTGAGAAACTTTCAGTGAGGCAATGTTCAGATCTTGGCTCTTCAACGGCGTTCCCAGATTTTTCGTCACGTATTCACCGAGAGTGTATGCAATATCGGCATGTATGGACTACAGTATTGTCAGTAGGTGCTCAAATATGCGTATAGTCAGCGCTTACAGATGTCACAACTGCACAGCCATTCATGCTATGACCGCGAGCAGCAGTCAAGAAGTCGGACGACATGAGGTCTGACTCCATTGTTACTGTGCCGAACATTCCTGAAAATTCCTCTGCAATAATTCTATGAACCAGCGAGGTCTGGAAGGACGATACAGAAGCGGCTGAGGCCCTGGTATTCTTTTTAGAATCGTAAAAACAGTTTCCTTTGGTCAGAGCCCAGTTGCCATTGTATTGAATCCAATGATTTTTGTTTGTCCAGCAGTAAGTCGGCAGATCTAGCAATCGAAGATGCTCCTCAAAAGGGCGATGGAACTCATTCCAGTTTACTCCAACGCCGACACAATGTAGGGCACCGAGACTCTGAGCCAGGGTTGTCCAGTTGTTTTCGCCGCGGCGTAGTGATGGAACGGCGCATGAAGAGGGGTCAACAACGGTTTTGACAAAGGCGGCCGTTACAGGATGGGGTCCGATTTCAATCCATACCGTCTCTTTGTCGATGATGGAAACCGAAAGTGCGTCTGAGATAGCCGAAAGATAATTGCAAGTCTCCCTAGTAGCTCTTGCAAGGTACCTAGCATTCACAGTTTTGCCGTCACAGACTACCCTTGCAAGCAATGGAGAGATGACGGGAATCTTCGGTGTTCGAAACGTCACGTTGCTTTTGGCTAGCCGTTCGTAATCTTCAAGAATAGGGTCGGTCTGTGTAGAATGAAATGCGAAGGCGACTTCGAGACGGGTGCATGCATATCCAGCCTCTTTGAGGGCAGACTCAACAACTTCTAGATCGATGACCTCTGCGGTGAGAACCGTTGCATCGGGGCTATTAATGCATGCTATTTCGTAGGATAAATGCCCGATAGTTCCTTTGATGTCGGCGACAGAGCTTCGCACTGCGAGCATGCCATGTGTCCCTTTGCTACACCTTTGTTCCAGCAATCTTGCTCGTGTCCCAACAAGATAAATGGCATCGCTGGCTGAAAGTACACCCGCGACGCACAGAGCGGCATACTCTCCAAGACTATGGCCCATCACTAGGTCAGGTTTGACTCCCAACGATTCCCAGTACTTCGCCAGTGCAATCTCGACACATGTAAGTGCGACCTGTGTGATGATGGTCCCGTGATCATATTCCCGGTGGGAACTTCCATTGATTGATGGAATAAAGGATGGAAATCCTAGGCCCTGTACAATCCTGTCTAGTTGAAAGATATGAAGCCGGAACAGTGGTGAGTGATGGAACAACTCGAGATTGGAAGACTTATAAGCACCACCTTGACCGGTGAAGGTGAATGCAACGGAGGGCGGCAGCGTATTTGGGACTGGACGGTGCCTCTCGATAGACTTCAGACTGTGGGCGATTTGCTCCCTCAGCATCGAGACATCTGAAACATTGAACGTAAGCCTGTGGTTGTAGTGATGCCGCCGAGCAGTAGTAGTGTAGGATAGATTCGCCAATGATACACTAGGATTCTCATCTAGGTATGTAAGAAGCCGCTCGAGGTTTCCTTTGAGGGACACTTTGCTCTTCGCAGAAACTGCTACTGCATGAGATGGGCGAGGATCAGCTTGTGGTAGGGGCCGATCCGGGGCTTCCTCTACAACAAGCGATGTATTTCCACCAGCAGCACTGAAACTATTCACCATTGCGATTCTCTTTTTGTCTGAGTTTCGAGGCCAAGGGGTTGCCTTAAAGGGAATATGCAAGTTTCTTTTGTCCAGGTGGCGAGGAAGCTTGGGGTTCAGTGATGTCTTGATCCCTACATGAGGTGGAATCACATGTTTCTGGAACATGAGTAGTACTTTCAGTAAAGACGTTACGCCCGCCGCAGCTTCAGAATGACCGAAATTGGACTTAACAGCTCCTATAGCCAGTGGCTGGTTTGAGGATCGGCGCCTTGCGGTTAGTGGTGCGAAAACATCCGTGATGGATGTTAACTCTTGGATGTCGCCAGCTTGGGTGCCAGTCCCGTGGGCCTCGATGTAGCTCACATCAAAAGGGTCAACTCCAGCTCTATCAAGAACTTTTCGATAGAGAAATGCCTGCGAACCTGCGTGAGGGTGAGTGATGGATACGGCATCCGCTGAATGATTCGTGCCAGCGCCCACGATGATGCCTAATATGTTGTCATTATCCGCCTCAGCATCTTCGAGCCTCTTCATCACGATGGATGCAACACCGTCACCTCGGCAGTATCCATCGGCGTCCACATCCCACGTCTTGCATGCGTTGGGTGTCTTGGTCAAGAAATGGCCTTGGCTCAATCCAGCGAATGCATCGGAGTTACTGAGGATGTTCATCCCACCTGCGACAACAGTGTCGACCTCGGCGTTCCAAAGGGCTGTACAAGCATTCTGGACAATTCTTGACGTTAGCTAGAGTGTGTTCTCAGAAATAGCGAAGACCAACCTGAATAGCTGCTAGGCTTGATGAACAAGCCGTATCGCAGCTATAACTAGGCCCGGAAAACTTGAAGAAATAATTTATTCTGCCAGGCCCAAAAGCTCGACAGCCACCTGGAATGAAATACGTGCTGATTTCTTGAGCTGTGTTGACTTCTCTATAGTCATCACTCGCTTGACCGAACCAAGTCCCAACTCGCGTCTTGTTTGATGAAGGTGTGCGGTCTGCAACGAACCCAGCCCTTTCTAGAGCCTCGTATGCTGTCACAAGGGCTAGTCGTTGCATTGGATCAGTTTGCTCGGCTTCTCGGGGCGACATGTTGAAGAAAGGAGCATCGAACAAGCCAGGCTCTTCGATGAAGCACCCGTACGGTGTGTGGCTTGCGTTCACCCATTTACCTTCGGGATCGTAGTGAGATTCGGCATCAAATCTATCTTCCGGTATGCGGCGATGTACGTCTAGGCCTTTCTCCAGCACGTCCCAAAATCTTTCAGTGTTTGTGGCACCGCCTGCCATTCGACAAGACATCCCAACGATGGCAATCTTGGATTGCTGAGCCAGGCCAGGATTGCTCCCACCTGAGGTCGGATGATCAATCCAAACTGCGAGATCTGATATCTGGGTTGCAGGAGCTGTTTCCCTTGCGTCCAGCGCGTCTTTCAGCTCGTTCAAAGGCAAAGACCCTCTGATTGCACAAATTGCCACTGGTCGATAACTCTTGCTCGCTCGAGAATACTCCACGACACTCTTAATCACTTCCTCCCAAACGATCTGGCGAGCCAAAATCTCCAGGATTACCTGTTGGAGCAGCTCAGCCCCATTCTCTGCAGGGAAAGGGATTCCATTTCCAGTTGCTAGCACAGGGACCCATGGATGGCAATTTCCCAGGACGGGTGATGCCACCACCTGGATTGCATCTTTATCCGTGTAGACATGACCGGCATGACATAGACCACCAAATACTGGCAACGGCACTGCTTTGCGATTTTGGAAAAACTCTGATACACGTTTCAACTCGTTTAAACGGGATGGCGGCCCGCTTAATGTCACCGAAGATTTACTTTTGGCGCTGATGAAGACTTTGGTCGCTTCCGGGCATTGCTGTAACGTGAGTTAGCTCTGAATCGAGTTTTCTATCTGACCATTTCCGAGATATTTGTCCTTGCCTGATATGAATGAAGCTCATCAAGCTCGCGTTGGACATCTTTAGGCCTCACGTCACGCATAAAGTGAGCCCATGAGTCGAACTTGCCGTCTTCATCGAGGGGCTCAAGGTTCTGGGAAGTGTCGGCCACCAAAACACCAAGCCGAAAGATGATACAGACCACCTCGGCGCCAACCGATGGAACATCTCCCAAGGTAGGTGACAGCGATAGTGTGGTGGCAACAAGCAACCCAATGCCCAGTCCTAGAAGTATTGTGCTATCCAGCTCACGATATTTAACTTGGTTAGGCGAATGGGTCTCGCAGTTTCTATGATGAAGATTAGTTGCCGTTCCTGAGATCGGGAGGGACCTATCATCAATACTGACCCAATGAATATCCCAAGTTGCAATACAAATAGAATGACGCCATCAATTGAGCCGCATAAAACCCCTCGGCGAAGCGATTCCTGTTCAGCAAGCGCATGGATTGATTCGAAAGGACCAACAAGGCTTCGTAGGTTAAGAGGAAGCTTGCTGACCTCCTTGCGAACGGCTTTGACAGCTTCGTTGAGGAACCGAGCAAGATATGGATGTCCGTTATCTTTACTTTGGTTGTACAATTGGCGGAGCAAGAATTGAAGATCATCAGGGGGCAATTCATTATGGAAATAAAATAGCCGCAAGGGGCTCTGTGGCGTACTCTCGTTGCTCATGTTTCTCACTTCGAGCTTCCGTGATATCAACCCGAGGCGAGCAGATAGACGTATCACAAACAGAGATCAAAATGGTCATATTCTTCAAAAGTCCACACCACCGAGCTCTGAACCTAAATTGCCTCTTCGGCGCAGAAGTTTTGGATGGGGCAGCAAAGGAAGCTTGGCCTGTTTCTTAACAATCCCGTAACCCGCTCGTGCCTCAACAGGACCCGGCCCTCCCCACCGACAATCGAATCGATACACCGAAAACCGAGTCTAAGCTTTGCCTGGCATTAGACTGATGGAAATGATGTCAGACTAAGCTCTGCTAAGACATCTGTGTGAATCGCAACACAAACTTGTTTAGTATCATTGCGCTGGGTCCTGTCTACTAGCCATCTATCTGAACAAGAGAAAAGAGAAAGAGATGGCTAAGGATCGCTATGAGAGCATAAACGAAGCATTGGATATACCTAGCTTTCATGAATACCTTGAGGTCCAACTGGCGCATCTTCCGAAATTGAGGGATGTGGAGCAGTTAAGTCCTCGTGTTATTCGCGTGCTGGGACAAAACCCCGGAAAGGTATGCCCGCATATTCAAAATACGTCACGATGCTAAGATCGAAACAGTTCTCACTTCAAGGCACCAATACCTATATTGTTGGGACTGGAAGCACACGCATCATCATCGACACGGGGCAGGGCTACAAAGAATGGATAGAGCTAATCAAGAACACCCTTAAGAGATATTCCATAAGTCTGTCACATGTCCTGCTCACTCATTGGCATGGTGACCATACGGGTGGCGTACCTGATCTCATAAATCAATATCCAGGTCTTGTTGACTCTGTGTTCAAGCACAGTCCTACAGCCGAGCAAAGGCCAATTCATGATGGAGAAAGGTTCCATGTCAAAGGTGCTACAATTAGAGCACTACACGGTGAAGGTCACTCCTTCGATCATATGTGCTTCATACTAGAGGAGGAGAACTCCATGTTCACGGGTGACAACATCCTTGGACATGGTACAACTGCCGTCGAACACCTTGGACTCTACATGCAGACTTTGGAGAAGATGAAGGCCCAAGGATGTTTTCAGGCCTACCCCGCGCACGGTGATATCGTGAAAGATCTGGACACGAAGATCAAAGGCGAGATAAATGTCAAGACTGGGAGAGAAGATGTCTGCTTGAGGGCCCTAGGGAACATTAAATCCGAAGCTATCAGATCAGGCCGCTTTTCAGGAGCAACAGTGAGTGAGATTGTCACTAGGATGCATGGGAAAGATGTTGAGGAAGGGTTGAGAAACAAAGTGTTGGAACCCTTCGTGGCTGAAGTTCTTAAGAAGCTGGCAGAGGATGGTAGAGTCATATTTCATGTTAGAGGGGGAGTGCGGCGATGGATTCTAATAGAAGGGCTGAGAGAGTTATAGCTCTTCTTCATCTAGATAACAAGAATATCTTTTCAAGCATTTTTCTAGTATGAAAAGCATTTGGCTTAAGCAGCTCCACCGTCAATCTCAATGATCTTGCCGTTCACCCACTCGGACTCGTTGGATGCGAGGAAGGCCACGATTTTCCCTATATCAGCCGGGTAACCCAACCTCTTCAACGGCGACACATTTGCAATGATCTGATTAAATTGTTCAGTATGACAAAAGTCCCAAAGGAATCGATAGTTCTGCTACTTACGTCGAGGATCTCTTCCTTGGAAAGATTGGCAGCTCTGGGCAAGTAGTCTTTCGCCGTCTCATGGAGCATGTCCGTCACGATACCGCCAGGTGCCACGGCATTGATAGTGATCTTCTTCTTGCCGCAGTCTTTGGCGAGGACGCGAACAAAGGCATTGATGGCAGCCTTGGATCCAGAGTACACAGAATGTCGGGGAACTGAGAAGGATAAAGCCGTGTTTGAACTCATGAGAATAATACGTCCACCCTCGCCAAGGTGTTTGTATGCTTGCTGAGCGACAAAGAATTGTCCGCGGGTATTCAGGCCGAAAACTCTGTCAAATTCCTCCTGTAGGAACTGTTAGCTTTCGGATATTGTAATGCCTTACGGCGATTGAGTATACCTCCGTGACTTCCTCCAGATGACCAAAAGATACCACGCCGGAGTTGGAGAAAACAATATCCAGCTTCCCAAAATGCCCAACGGCTTCTTCGAATAGGCGAACAGTCTCTGAAACCTTGCTGACATTGGCTTGAATCGCTACAGCATCAGGTCCGAGTGCCTTTATCTCTTCCACCACCTTTTGAGCCGATTCAACTGATTTGACGTAGTTGATGACGACGTTGGCACCGCATCGGGCAAGTTGGAGGGCCACTTCTGCCCCTATCCCACGGCCAGCGCCAGTCACGAGGGCGACCTTGCCGTCTAGGCGGTACGGAAGGGGTGTTGCGGTGGTGGCCATGTTTGGAAACTTATTATCCTATCGGGGGGAGGGGAAGTCTAGGTTTTTCCGGGGGTTGATGCTAGGGATCTTTTAGCAAGGTATATCATCTTATAATAGTCGAGGTGATTTTCTTCACAGGGGCCCTTCGGGGCAGCTTGACGGCACGGCACGACTGAGATCGGCCTCGGTGACATTTGGCCAAGCATAGGATCACATAGCCGAACGCTGAGCCCCCTATTTATTGAACCTTTGCCGAGAGAGTTACCTCTGTTTGTATCCCTCTCCGTCAGATCATTGGACTGCTTGTGAGGCTCTCGCCTTGTCATTAAACAGTGATGGAATGTAACTACCACTTTCAGTCACAGCTATTCATGATTTTATTACTGAAGGTTGCATGTAAGAATAACCACATGCATCTCCATCAACGTGCCACTTTTCCCAACTCCTCAGTGGAAAATCTTGTCAATTTCGCCTTCTGCCCACCGAATCCCTGGCTCTATCCCGGCAAACTTCCAAATGCCGTTCGCCTTCTCATAATACACCGTAGACATACCGTGGGCATGGCCCACGTGTTGAACGCTCTTCAGTGAATCATTGGCGTACTTGAGATGGGCCACCCGCATCTGCTGCTGGCTCATGATCTTGTTCTCTCCGAGCTTCCTCCACTTCTTAGCGCCGCCGACGAAGTGTTGCGTCCGGACGAGCGGATTGCCAAGGAAGTGAGGGCTCGATGCCATCTGAACGAACTCAGCTGCCGGCAGGGCGTCCCATTTCTTGCCCGTGATGGAGGTGTAGTCGATCTACAGGCATCAGTTCAACGCACGTCTTTCCCGCCGCTCCACTTATAACTGGGCATTCGTACCTTGAGGGTTTCAGCGATGCATTTTGCCAGACGATCCCAGTCTTTGGTATCATAACTTTCAGCCCACTCGAACAAGGCCTCCTGGCATCCTAAAACCTCTACAAGAGTTTCCACGTTTAGCTGGAGCCGGGAAAGCAATCCAAGAGCATGTGGATAAAGCACCTTCAAACGAGGGGACTGGCTTCCACATCATGTTGATCAAGGATGAGAGTGTTAGCTGGCAACTTGGGAATGCTATTTCCGGGACGCTATAGCATCTAAGAACAAGTACGGGATATACTGATGAATAGCGCTAACGTGCTGTTGAACCACGAAAGAGATGCATCCTCAAGGGCTTTGGCATTCCAACCCCGAAACATGGATGATCGGGGTTCGGGTCTGGTTTGGTTGGGTTCAGAATCCCCGTTGTTCCACTCGGGCCTCGGGGAATCCGCTTCGTGAGGCCCGAGCGGGGGTGTCCCACGTCAACGAACCATTGTGTTCTCGTCTAGGGTCATTGCGGGCTGTAGGGAGCTGCAAGGAAGAGCGACTAGGTGAGGGAGCCAAGCATTGATCCCAGACTGATCCGTCATAGTGTGACGCAGGGGCAATGGGAAAATCAGATCAATAGGACTGTGGGGTTCATTGACGTTTACAAGTGTATTGACAATGGAAAATACGAAGTGGTTCAGATAAAACATTAAGATACTAAGCAATGATATAATACACGCACAAATCAAGCCCTTATTAGCTCATTGGACCGTTCACTCTGGCCCAGGGGTCGGCAGATACGGGTGCGTGAATGGGAGGAAATGACGAATGAGTCCAGTGACAATGCACCAAAAGGTCCCGGGCGGAAACCTCGCGGGGGTGTTTGCATTCACGACGCTCACAGCCTTTCCATCGTATCGTCCATCAGGATCGTCGGCTGCCTCTTTCATGGCGGCCGCGAGGTCGAGGTACGAAACGAAGGTCTCCTGTTCCGTCAGGGAGATCTTGTGGCCCCTTTGGATGTCGACCGACAAGCCGCCAGGCTTGATGTAGATGGTTGTAACCAAGTCTTCGTGCTTGCGGAGGTAGGCTTCGGTTTTGTCGAGGTCGTCGTATACGTACGAGGCGGCCGTGTGCATGATGTGTCCGAATATCTTGTTGATGTTTTGCGATAATTGTTTGTCTGTCATGGCCGACGACAGTAGCAGCAGCTTCGGGAGTCTTGTGTTTGGATCGTCGGCCTTTAGCTTCTCCAGGGCAGCGATGATGCTCTGTGCAGTCTCGAAGCCGACGGTGTATTTGGGCACATTGGTATTGGTGCTGACGGCATGGACAACCGCCTTGGTCCCCTTCATACATCGTGCAAGCAAGTCGACATCTTGGATACTTCCTTCAAAGATCTCTACTTGCCGGTGGTCGGCAAGGTGCGGCAGCGCTTTCAGGAGTTTGGGCTTGTTTCGGCAGTAGGCGTGGATGCGGGTGTCTGGATCCTGGAGAATGACCTCAATCATTGCCTTTCCGCAATGACCGGTCGCTCCAAGAATCGCATATGTTGAGAGAGCCATGGTGACCGACGGAAGAAGGAAGAAATCGCGTTCAGACTGATCCAGACAAGTTCTGTATGCGGCCCATTCGGTAGTGTAATCAGGGCACGCATTGCGGTAAATAAGGAAGGCGAAAGGCAGCTTATTTGGTTCAATAAAGTGTTGGCTGCACTGCAATGTCGTACCATGCATGGCGTCCTGTTGGTCTGGATCTTTGGAGTGACCAAGTATCTTCTCGGAATATCGTCCATGTGTGTGGCCGTGTGTCTGTACCAAGGACCCCTGAATGGAGTGTGGTATCATCTGGGCGCCTCGCCAAGGGTCAATGCATATCACATAGAGGGGCATTCAGCTCAAAGAACTTTTGCAAGATTGGATGGAATACGGATTCCCGTTCCCCAAGGAGTGGGTGTGAAGGCATGCATCAGAATGGAAGTGCAATCTGCAGTCAGCCACCTCCTTGACCCATTGTGTATGTGGCCTGAACATTAGTGTACATATTACTATCGTGGTACCAATAACATGCACGAGAAGATGTATCATTTGCACAACAGTAATGTCCATCACTAGATGTACCTGGCCGCATTAGATTAGACGCGTTAGGTGTATGCAGGCCCGCCTCATTCTACTGCCCCAATCCTGTACCTTGGGCCCTTGTCTTGCCTCATCCAGCAGAGGGCGGGCGAGTGCGTAGTTCAAACGCCAGTAATGGATAGTCTGGTGCCATGAACTTATTCACAATTGTGAGATGGTCTGCGTCCTCGCGGACACTTTCCAACAACGCCCCTAGACGGCCCACGTCCAGTGCCTCTCTGTGACCCATCTGCATGAGTAGTAGGTCTTTCATGCAGGCTGTAGACTCCACTGGGCCACTGGCCGTGCCACTCTCAGGTAGAATCTCCGTGATCAAGATCAGTGTAGCCTTTTCATTTGCCCTGAGCACGTCAAGGTGAGCACGGAGCTCTGCCTTCGATGCTTCAGCATGGTCTGCCGAAGATGAAAAAGAAAAGGGGTCAGGGAGATGCAAGAGGTAGAGAGCGGCATTTTCTTGACGTTGAGGAGCCCCAAGGGTGCGACTTTCAATGATCAAGTTATTCGATTCTACTTTCCTCGCCGTGTCCGGGGACAATTGTAGGATGAAGCGAACAGAGTGGTTTCTTCCAGATAGCGCCCTCGCCGTAACAGTAGACCCGGCATTAATCTGGCTCAAGGGATCTATCAGCTGATGCAATTCACAGCCGAGACTTCTCTTGGGTTTCACGTACCTCAACCACGGTCGCCTGGCCGAGCCCCTCCCAATCAATCGGCGAAAGGAGCTTCGTGAGAGCCTTGGCTTTGCTGAGAGAGCCGAGACGCTGAAAGGCACACGACCTCCGAAGTAGCCGTGGATCTGCCTTGCAAGCGACTGGCAGTGCAGATGAGAAATGCGTCGCGATCTGAAATGGGCTCTTGATGGCTTCGGAATGCTCTACTTCTTGTCGCGTTGCTTCGGCCATGCTCTGAGAGGTCGGGATGACAGTGTCGGTAGCAAACATTAGAGCATCGAACAGAGACGGCCGCTTCAGGAACTGGATTGATAGAGGCGTGTGTGCCACATAACTTGGCTGAGGTTCGCACAATAAACCAATACTGGCCGTCGTTCGAACAACTCGCCGGATCTGCACTTCAGGCACGCCGGTCAAGTCTGCCAGATCCGCGTATCCAACTCTTTGGTCCGACGGGATGTAAGCCAGAATCTGGAATTCCCCTAGCCATCTCATGCAAGCTAATATCTGCGCCTGTATTTGATCATGTAAAGAATTATTTGTCTCGAACAAGGTGCCCTTGCTCACTTACGTGTCTTAAGAGTTCCTGGATAAGGTCTGCCGGATCCTTTGGTGGCACTAGATCATTGGTGCTGCCTGCATTCCATATTGAACCATTCGGCCATGAAAGGGACCGGGACGTGCCGCTGCTAGGCGTATTCTCATACATCCCAGCTGAGTCGGTCTGCTTCCCATGGCGGCTTGAGGACATTCCCAACCAATATGAGGTCGTCGACGGAAATGTATTTATTTCTAAGTTTTTGGGAAGCTCTTCGATAATGAAGGGGAGGTCCGAATCTTATCCAAGTACGGAGCGAAAAGGAAAAGGAAAGAATCAAATGAATCCAAACTATTTGATGGGCAGGTCCAGCATGCACATGATTGACTATCGTCAGGCTAATATAACGGCAGTGGTATACGGGGATCATGGCCGTTCAGGTACTACCTTCACTTTTCTCACCAAATAAACCAGATAGATGATTGGGCAAAGAACAAAATTGCCCTGCGTATGTTGGTTACTCTCAAGGGCACTGCCGTGGTAATAACCCCGACAGGGTCACTTTGCAGATTCCAAAATGATGGCAAACTCCCGCTTGGCAACATCAACGGGCATGTAGGTGTTGACCTTACTACGTGTTATTATAAGATGTTCGGGCACCTGATTGCTTGCCGCCCCAAGGCCACACCATCTTCGGTGTCCCCGTTGAGATGGGCGTACGGCGGAAACAGGCCATTCCCAGTGTTGCCGTTATTACGTCCCAAAGTACATATATAACCCGAGAACAAACAAAGGTTCATCCTTCACAGGTGGACAGGGTAGGCGGCACAAACGGTGGAAACGTCTTCACGCGCTGTGCTAGCGATGCGAACCCAAGTGAAACTCCCCATGCAGTGCAACCATAACAACCCCTGGCCTTGACTCCAGTTCCCCGTTCTTGGGTGTTTGAACCTGGCCCGCCGCCGCTGGGTACCTTTTCGGTTGGTCCTGAAGCAGCCCGCGCCGATATTCAGCGTCTGTTCCCTGCACAGCAGGCATCCTTTCCTGCCGCTGGCTTGGGGTATGGGACAAAAGGAGTGCAGTGTTACAGCCATTGGATTTTTGACGGTTTACTGCTATTGTGACGACGGCAACAGGCTATTTTGGATAGTTTTGTGATACAAGGGCTTCCAACAACTTTCCATCACTGAGGAAGTCGATCCTTCATATAGAAATCTCGCTTAATCTGGGAAATCCATCCATCCAAACAGAGAACTTATTCAACAGGAATCGAATATCAATGGCATCGTAGCTTTGCAATGGCATCAGTCTCCTGCTCGGATAATTCTGCCCCGCGCACCAAGTTGCGAAACAGCTGCGACGCATGCTCCCTCGCCAAAATCAAATGTACTCAGGAGAGGCCCGAGTGCAGCTACTGTGCTAAGAGATTGAAGCCCTGTGTCTACAGTGCCTCTAAACGCATCAAGCGCTCGCAGCGTAAACCTCAGCATCATGACGGCACCGAGGCCTACGCGTCTAGCACGACATTGCCCTCGGGTTCGACCGTCTGGGAGAGTCCTTTGTCGGCGGCCCTCGAGTCTTCGGGCTCTTATTCCTCTCTCCCCTTGGTCATGAGTGCAGAATCCAGCTCCTCGCAGGGTTCTCGGCCAGCAACACCACATCTTGGCCAGGAATGGTCAGACTTCTTCACTACCCTTCGCTCGCCGTTGGTGGCATCCCCCCCTATGGGGCAAGTTTCCTCTGGCGAATGGACCAACCTAGATCCATCGTCAATTGAGGCATTTTCATTGCTGGACGATTCAATCTTTGACCTGTCTGCTCCGGTTCATTCATTCGAGAAGAACAGCGGCACCGGAAGCAAGAAAAATCCCAGTTCACCTTCCACCATATTTTGTAACCCAGGTCCTGTGTCCAAAGCTGCGGAGGAGCGGGATTCCTTACCCAGGACGAGTAACACCATCCACCGGCATTCCCTTTCAGCTGAGGGGCAGGTCAGTTCGAGGCTTGCTTCGGGAGAATCGCGAGACGTATCCCCCAGCATACATCTGGACCTCGGGAGCCGAAGGGCTTCCTCCGCAGTCCCTCAAGCACCACGCTGTAGCTGCAATTCACAAATCCTCCGGTTCTTTGGGCAGCTCTCCATTGATCCCTCCGGGCCCTGGATCGCATCCAGAGGTGGACAGGCGAATTCTCCTCAAAACCCAACATTTCAGCAAGTATACGAGCAGATTGCAACTATGGCCCTGGAGATTGGTAAAATTCTACAATGTCATTGCTCCAGCAATCTGGAGTGCCTCATCTTCCTATCGCTTGTAATCTTCAAAATCCAGGCCTGGTATACGGCAGCAGCAAATGCCGCCCTCGGCAGCGATAGCGACGAAGCCACCACTAACATGGGACAGAGCAGTCTGGATCAAGGGCACTTGTGGCTACCAGAACCGGGCCGTGATGACAGAGAAGACGAAGGAGAAGATCAACGACGCATATTTCTCCAGGACTTGCTTTCCCGACTCACAGGTCTCCAGGTCCTTACAGGCCGTTTCTCTGAGCGGCTTACACATGCTGAAGCTGAGCTGGAGAGAAACTCCAATACCTCAGCGCCAAATATCATGCAAAACCAAATCGTGGTTCCCCCCCTTTCCGGGTCAGCAATACGGGTATTGGCCACCGATTTGCGCGGTCGGCTGGGTAGCTTGTCACGGGCAATTGCTGAGAAGCTTCGGTTAGGGTAGGTACTGCATTTTGGATGTACGGGAAGAAAGATATGTCATTATAGGGTATGAAGCTCACGCGAACCAAGAATTTCTTTTCTATTTTTCTTTCCTCAGGGTTATATGGAATTTCTTCTCCTTTTCTCTTGCGTAGTTGATGCTGATACCGAAATCTACTGAACTAACTTTTCCGTCTTAACGCACTCAAAAGCCTATATATTATCACGGTCACTGAATTGTCCTCCTATAACAGATATTTGATGATTGCAACCCCGATACCGGCCACGTGCTATCCCCTGTTCTCCCGAGTCTCCGCTAGGAAGATCTTTGGAAGAAAGGCGGCTGTCTTTTGGATCGCACAATGAAAATTTCTTTTCCGCATTCTGCCTGTAGACAGTCAGACTTATACGGCATGGGGGTGGAGGGAGGGTGCGAAGGATGGGAGGGGTGTGGTGCTGCATGACAAGGGCGGAAAACGGCACGGACGACGCGGCATCTTCGCAGGAGCAAGGCGATTCTTGTGGCGTAGGGCTCTTATCAATTGTGATCAGTGTTTTGTAGAAATCCAGTCATGGCCAGCACTCGTAAACAGGCGTAAAGATACATCATTATTCTACAATACAGAACGTGCCGCCTTCGTCGTCGCATCCTTTCTATAGACTCTATATACAATAAAAAAATAGAAAAAAAAAAACAAACAGAAAGTTTATCACCATCTCTCCTGATTGCTGACTTCCCATTGCTTTTGTATCATAATAGCCTGTGAATCCTGCGGTCGTGTACTCTGCCTCGAGTCAGTGTACACTCGTGCGCTACTATTCGGCTGCATCGTCTCTGTAGCCTCGAGCGACCCCTTTTGCATGGGATGAAGCTGAACGTCGGATGAGTGGTCATCCTCTTCATTGAGCTGCTCGAATGGCCGATTTCCGCTCTTGAGGGTGTTGTGCGTCCTGCTTCCCCCTTCGGGTGTGTAGGAGTAACCGGTCTTGGCCCGAGGGAAAGCACCTTTAAAATACGGCCGTAGGAAAGGAACACAGGACAATATGAGTGCTGCGGATGGCTCGAGCCCCGAGAACAGTAGGGAAAGAAACGAACTCCACGGCATGTCGTCGTATTCGAGGGATGGGATAGTTGTCTGGCGATATATTGTAACGCCGCAAGCTCTAAAGAAGAAGAATTGTCAATATCAAACGTTTACTCATCGCAAGCATACCAAAGGTGACGTACGCGAATCCGACCCCAAACATTCCGAATACCACAATCTTCTTTTGGATCGAGATTTGGAGTCCATACAACACAGGGAATGGAAACGCCAGCATGACGACCTCAACGACGATGTTCACCACGCCCAGGGCCATATAGTAATCAGGCTGGCTGCCGCATGTCCCGCCAACCGATCGGTCCCAATTCATCGCAAGCGGTCGGCACAGGAGCATGACGGTGATAATGCCTGTCACATTCCAGATGATGATGAATGCCCCCAGTATCCGACAAGCGAGGATCATCTTTCGGACCGGGAAGAAGGCCATGTACATGAAGAGAACGGATAGTTTGGTAAAACATGTCGTCGAATTCCACAGGACGGAGAATACTAGAGTACACTGCAAGTCAAATGTTAGGACGGGAGGCGATGCAAGAAGGAGGGAGTACTTGCTTTGAAGAACACGACGACTGTATTGGGTCCGAATCTCATTATCAGATCTTGTATGTGAAGGCCCAGGCCTCCCTTCAGTACTATCACGTACAATGTCGTGTGAAGCGCAATACTGAAGATCTAGATGCGTGCCTGTCAATATTGCGCCAAAGGATCCAGGAGGTGCATCAGCCCAGCGTTGCAGATGGAACGTACCAAAGCAATGAGACTGCAGAAGTCACTCGCATCCAGCGGCTTGGAGATTTTGTACTTGGCAAACACCCGCAGGCCAACAATGAAAAGCGAAAAGGCAACACATAGCGTAGATACCACGAGTATAGACAATTGTCTCGAGTTTTCGATCGGAATCGTTGATTCATACGTTGCCGTCTCCATGGTTTGCAAGACAAACGTTTACTGCAAGCGGCCTTTACGCGAGCAAGAAAGATATGGTTTTCCTGGCTTATGATTCTATATAGCGGGCTGGATAGGGCTCAATTCTGAGCACAGGGGACTCCTCGGCCCATCGAACTCAACCAAGAGTCCATGCCTGACTACTAAGGGGATGCCAGATAGATCCCTGTTGTAATGATACTAATAAGGGATCAAACCGAGAAAAGTTCGTCGCCATCTGCATTGCTGCATGCAGGCGGCACAGGCAAAACAGAGGTAGGCTTACGACCTCAACCCTGGCAGGGGCGTCGGTCCCGGGACAGTGTGTAAGCCCTGCAACTGCGGGGGCAAAGAAATAAATCAGCGACTTCATCTGTCGAGGACTTTTGCTCGGTGTAGACTCTGCAATTGGGCAGCTCTGGAAATTGGAGTTCGGGTTGCTGCAGTTGGTTCCGAAAGCGTTTGCCAGCATTTGCCACCAACGAGCTGCATTGTCCCCTGCATATTGGTGTGCTAATGCATCCCATTGAGCCCCAGAAACGACTCTTTCGAGGCAAGCCCTTAGGAAGAGCCTGGCTCAGGCACTGCGATCGAACCACGCGGTATCTACTCCCTCTGTTGCGGGGTTGTAGCTCAAATTCCCCGTGAACCAAGACCCCAGCACCCATCCTCCGGCCATGTGCAGTTACACCTGAAATTGACGCGCTTATGAGAAAATGGACACAGCGACGGGGTAGACTCTTACACGGACGAGAGAGCCCCATAAGCTCAGGTCGGTTCAGGAGGGCTGCACCGTTGAGTTGGCGACGGCGCTGTACGAGTCGTACGACGAGCCAGGATCGGATGCGAGTACTACCTCCCCTAACCAACAATAGCAGTGGTTGGTTGTAACCCCTGCTTTCTGCATGCACGACTCGCCCTCTCACATCATTCACATCGCATGTCAGGGCCGCCCACCGAAAGGTGGTGGTGTTGGGAGCCACACCCATCTATGGATGTCACCTCCAAGCCAGGCACATCGGGGCGTATTTACTACCCTCCAGGTGTTTCGTGCATAATGCACTTCGTCATGTTTGTATCAACGAGGCGGGCGCGAGATTTAGTCAGGAACTCAAGGAGTCTAGAAGATCTGAGCGCGAGATGGTGTCAGGGGCTCGGGCATCTCCCCAGCCGCCCCCGAAGCCTTATGCAGGATGTTGCCTGGTCTTGTCCAGCTGAACCATAAGCCACATGAGTACATAAAATTAGAGCACACAAAGGTCCATTTGGTTCCAAGGGTTAAAATGCTCAGGATTGTTTTTCATCAGATGTTCCTACAAGAGGATGTTAATAAATCTCAGGTCAGATGCCAAGGGACCGCTGCAGATCTTGGTCTAGACATGATCGGAATAGCTCAGGTTACTCTGAGGGATCCCTCTCGCGATAATGTCACGTAGTTGCTTGTTGCAGATCAACCACGTGCCAAAGAACATTCTAGGATCTTCGCGTCGGTAAGATGTATTGGGTTTTTGTAGATACACGTGCTGTAATATTGCATCAAATCTACACAGCTATGGTAGGACAGGAAAGCAACCTGCTCAATATCGTTTTATTCAAGGGACCTTCCACATATGTCGCGTCCTACGTGCAACAAGCTATTAACACTTTCCAGAAAGAAGGCTACCGCCTCCAGCCCCCTATTCGAATCCCAAGCTACTTCTTATTCGATAGCTTCCTTGCCATTCTCTTTCCTAAGATGGAAGTCTTTGCGTAAAAATAAAATGATGTTCTATTAAATCATCCTTCTGAGTCAATCTTGCTATTTCTGGGTATCTACACTACCTTCCATGTATGCTGAAGTAGTACCGTCTCGTATCTCTGCAGTAATATCTAATGATTAAGTCTTACTATTTACATTCGTTTTCTTTTCGTGCCATTGAAGTAAGTTCAAAAGAAGGATTGTGCTCTCCAAATCAACATCTATGCCACGACTTCGGCTTTGGAAAAAATTGATCAATTTGTTCATAAATTCATGTAGCTGCGCCATGGAATATAATAATCCGTTAGAGCTGAAAAGAGATACTAAGTGTCGTGTTAGTTTTCAGGCAAGGGTGATGTACTTCTCTACCAATACAAAGAAATGGAAACCCACATATAGAAGTCAAAACACTGATCTAGGAGTCCTTGTCAAACTTACTGGGCTCCGTGGTATAGTTAGGTGTATTTTCATTGATTTACAGCAAATATTAACCGCCTAGGAAATACCCACCTCCGAATTCTACACCAAAGCATGGGCTGTTGCAAAATTCGTTGATATTTCATACTTTGAGTTTCTCATTGTCTCATGATCCTAAGAAGCTGCCCGGCGGCATAGATAGGGGACAAAATTATGAACAACATCTACAAAAAGAACCATAAGCCACATGGGTACATAAAATGAGAGCACACAAAGGTCCATTTGGTTTCTTGAAAAGAGCTGATGGGCGAAGAACCGCAGCAGGGCAGTGAATGAGGCACAATACATGAGTTGCCCTTCTCATCAGCGGGTGGCAGTTTGATTTATTTCCTAACATTACTCGCATTCATAGAATCATATAGTCAAAAACACGGGCGCACTGTTGCAAAGCTGTGTCTTGTGCTGATGACTCTGATTTATCGTTTATAACTTGGGAATATGATTCAACTATTCTTAATAGAAGGCATTTCCTAGGTCAAACCTGGGACATCATTTTGTATCCTATGCTCTCTAAGAGTTAATCTAACAACAAAATCACAGGCGTAGGCAACACCCGTTGGAATGAACGGGAATATATGTGGCGGCTTATAAGAGGATTAGGACCGTGTGATGTTCTGGAACACCGAATATATTCCTCTTCCATTTGTCACTAACCCCGAGAACCGATTTGAATAATCCCACTTTAAAATTACATTCACAATACATATATTAATGTTTGCTTATTCAGGAGAATAATGCTGAACAATGGCATCTTTCTAAACACAGATTTTGGAAGGTCCTCGAGGCTGTAAAGGCTCCGAAGGAAGCTCCGCCTCGGCACCGTCCTTGTGATATGCCCATGCAACAGAATCTGTGTGTTGCGATGGCTGTCTGTCTATGGTCCTGAAGCTCCCTGTTCTGACTCGCTCATCTTAAAAGCAGGATCAGAACCCTGCCTTCTTCCAGAATAAGAACTCGAACCGACAGTATCTGTATTATTCCTGGATAAGGGGCCGAGGGTGGGAAGGCAGGCGCAGATGATGCTGAGGCCCAGCTATACCATTGACCAAAAGAAAATGGTTGCGTCGATGGCTAGGTAGAATTAGAACAGTTAGAACTCCGCTGCCTCAAATCGCGATCGGCTCTCTCCCCCGCGTTGACGTGAATACCGTACCTTTCTCAGTTTCGACGAGACGTACAACACTCGTAACACAGGTACTGTCGAAAATTAGTTCACGAGAACTCATGCGCGCTCATAGATGGGAGAGATAGCAAACCTGGCGCCCAGCAGGAATATGCTCATTACTGAAAATTTCTTCCAGGTGCTCAACTTCAACTCTTGAACGGCAAAGACCGAGATTGAAAGAATCAGCATATCGTAGAATGGGTTCGTCGATTCAAACGGGAGAAATTCATAGGCCGTGTGTATGCAGAGCTTGGGTGGGTTGTCGGTTGTCCAGCTGTCTTCTGGGTTCTTGCACCTAAATGCACAAGGAATGTAAAGGTGGTCACCCACAGAACACAAGTTGCTGAGACAATCACTATGAGTCTCTTATTTCTTCTATCAACACCAAAAACGTCCCAGAGAAGTGCCAGGATGCTACTTGACGATGGCATAATCGAAGGTAATTACAAGCTGGCTGATGTAGCTCATCTGGATTTTTGAATGATCATTAGCAGGCGAGCATTAATTTAACGTACAATGTAGCGACCTTGTAAAACTCTTGAAACCACATGATATGGGCGATATCAGTTATCGGATGAGGCTTGAATACCCCGTCAACAGCTGTATTCCGAAGATCTATGTCGGGTTTCATTCAGCAAACATTCGTCTATGCTCTCATAATGGCTAATCGGCCTTAACATCACAGCTGCCTAGGAGAAGCTCAGGCCTTTGATATATGGGCAAGAAATCACTCACAGTCAAACATAATCCCAGCTGCTGCAGTGCTCAGTAACTATGAAAATAAACATAACCCATCGCTCAGATAATAAAAGATGCGGGCCTTGATCCGAGAATATGCTCTCAGAAGCACCGCAATCGTAGTCAAGACAAGTATGATGATGTTAATCGTCAGGACCAGTTTGGACTATCCACCATAGTGCGCCATTTTGCATATGCAACTGCCTTCAGCCACACTACGATAGTCAATGGCTTCCGGGTGACCCAGGTATTCTCAATCGCCGTAAACGCCGCCGGTGGTTAGGCGGTGATTGGTTCAGCAGCAGATTTTAGGACGGCGATGGGTAGAATCAACGAGACATGGTTAATCGCGGAAGACTTCCGGCGAGGGTTTGATGAATCATAGAACCAGAACAAACTCAACTTGCAGCTGTGCACTTGTCATATGCCGTGTCATCCTAGGGAGGGATATTACGTTGGAAAACAGACAGTTATTTTCAATTTTCTATTCGTTGGTTCCAAGGCCACACTGCTAAACTGCCATATTCCTGTTCGGGCGTAACATCCCAAATTTTCATCTGTTGGTTCTAAGGCCACGCTGCATAACTGCCATAGAAATTCCTGTTCAGGCGTAACAACCCGGCGTTCCACCCATGCAAATGCAACCTAATCCTGGAGTCTTGGTGCTTTTTGATGGCAGATCTACAAAGTGGTCTGTTAAGCCACGCGTATAAACATCAGATCAGGTCAGTCAACAAGCATGCATTTGTACCCTGGTATTCAAATATAAATATCAAGGACAAACTTCGATTCCCCCCAAAGATAAAAGAATCTCCAGTGCCATCATACATTTAGCCATCAGCACAAATTATCAAGTTTTGTCCAGAACGCCACGCAACATAATCCTCATACCAAATACTCCTCAAGCCTCCGTTCCGTATACTTGGGGGGCCGGCTAATTTAGGCCCCCCAAGTATTCGAATCCTTAACTTATCTCAAAAGTCCTGCCTCGAGAGTCATCCTACAACAAAGCGCAGGTTACTTCGTTGCGAATCTGAATACTTTTACCAGCGGAGAGGCTTGGTCAAATGGACGAGCAGTAGATGCTGTTCATAGTGTCCACCCGCTGTCACTTGCAATGCCCCCGCCCATGAACAATGATGCGGTGGCCGAATTTCTTGGGGAAACACTCTCCAAGGCTCAAAACCTTACAGTCCAGCCCGTGCAAAACACGGCCGTTCTTATTGACGATTTATTGATGAACAAAACAACACAATCTCTCTCTAGGTATTGGGTGAAAGGGGCACCCTTGCTGGACCGTTCGCGATGGAATACATTTTCACGCCTAAGACAACTGATGACGGAAAGCTGGTTCTTGAGTCATGGGAGTTTGTTGATTTATTGACCGCCACTCAGACGTCAAAGAGCGGCAAGGAGTAGGCGAGGCGAGCTGGCACTAATGGGTATCATGTCTGCTTGAGGACGGGAAGATTGTTAAACTAACGACATATAAAGGGTTGGGTTGGGACCTCAAGATCTTAGATATGGAACGCTTAGTTAATGATAATTCTCGATACTGCCTGTGGGGGCTATTTACAAGTAATTGAAACCTTCACATTTGGCATGGGTATATAGCCCTCGTAGGAACTTGATTATCTGCTGAAAGGAACGGAAGAGATGTGATATTGTGTCGCTCCATGTTGATAATTTGAAACCATCCGACTATGTCGTATAGAAGACGTATCCATATTTATATTTAGCTAGAAGAAAATTTGTCGTTCAACAAAAGAAGGCTATTTTGAGTATTTCAGTATTCCTGACGGTAAATGGACACCGTAAAGGTGCATGAGTGATGGTCGTTAAAGGCTCGACTGGGAACTGCAATCTGAAATGCATTTCCACAAACCATTGCTCAATTCTCGATGGATGCCAATAATGCAGAATAAAGGCCATGTCTATCAGAATTCAGTCTGCACATGACTTCGATGTCCGGAACACGAAAGATATCGATCGGCTTGCCTCCATAATTACTAGATAGCCATTATCAAACCTAACATAGCCTGTTAATCATAGACCTTCATACCTTTGAGGGACATACTTCCCGTCGTAAGTCGATGGGAGTTCTCAACATAGTACGTACGACAAGGCCAGAGCCCATTGATTCACGTGTGCATCAACGTAGGGAAGAGCTCTCCTACCCCATTGGTTAGAACAATTTCGGCACGAACCTAATCGGATCTGGTAGATCCTGCACGCAGGCGGAGCGTTTTTGTCCGGCTGGGGATGCTGGAACTCGCGCCTGTTATAACTCCGCGCCGAGACCGAAGCACGAAAGTCCTCGCCGTCTTATTATGTCATCAGAGGCGATATGCTATATAACCAAGCAATGCATCCAGAACACTAGACGCTTATCATGTATGAGAATATTCGGAGTTAGTGAAACATCTAAAGTATTGCCAAAATGTCCATTCTTCTCAAGGGAGGAGTCTTGCTCATCCATCAGGGTCCCAATGACGACGTTCACCCAACCAAGGCCGATCTCCTGATTAGAGACTCAAACATCGCGGCCATTGGTCAAGATATTGAACCGGAAGATGCTGAAATTATCGATTGTGCAGGAAAGCTCATCTCCCCGGGGTTCATCGACACCCATCACCACGTGTGGCAATCTTGTTTAAAGGCGACTCATCCCAATGACACCCTCTTGGATTACTTCTGGAAAGGTAAGCTGGCGGTCTCAGAGGTTCCTTGTTAAGACCTTATTGAACGTTAAAATAGGAAACTTTATCAATTCCATGTTGGCACCGGACGAGATTTTCTGGAGTCAGCTGGCTGGTGCAATGGAATGCGTCGATAGCGGAACAACAACAGTGGTCGATCATGCCACAGTCAACTATTCTGAGAAGCACTGTAAGCAAGTACGCCTAAATCTAGCTTCTGGGCCATGGCTGACAAAGAACTTCACCCAGCACACCAGGCGTTGAGAGCGACGATTGGATCTGGTATTCGCTCCATCTTTGGGTATTGCCCAACACCCACTGTTTCATCCTGGAACCCAGAGTTCAAGCTCGTACCAGATGTGCTCCCGCCGTGGGTCATGGAGAATTTTGATAAGCTGGCCACCCACAACCCTTTTGGGCCGAATGGACGTGTCAGGCTTGGGTTTGCATTCGATGGGCTTTGGCTTCCTAAAGAATATCTGCAGCCGCTCTTTGCAAGAGTTCGAGAGGCAGGCGCGCAGCTCATTACAGCACACGCAGCATATGGAGCCTCTTTCGGAGGTAAGTTCCGTCTGTCAAGTTCTTTAGAAGGAGTAAACTGTGTGCTAAACACGAACAGCGCCGCACGCACCTTCAACCGTCGAGAATCTTAAATCCAAGAATCTACTAGGTCCCGGGCTGTTGCTGTCGCACTTGACGAACCCGAAACCTGGTGATACCCAGATCCTGGCCGAATCAGGGGCGACAGTTTCCACGACGCCCTCTACGGAGCTACAAATGGGCCATGGGAACCCCGTCTGCTTTGATGAGCATCTGAAGCCAGTCTCAGGCCTCGGCATTGACTGTCATAGTGTATGCAGCGCATACATTCCAGGCCAGATGAACTTGGTCTTGCAGTGGGCTCGAGCTCGAAGACACGAAGAGTTGGAGGCCAAGGGTAAATGGTCAAAGACCGTCGAATACTCGGTGCGGGATGTTTACAACTTTGGCACTATCCAGGGCGCCCGAGTAATCGGCATGGAATCACAGATTGGGAGTCTCTCCGTCGGGAAAAAGGCAGACCTCGTCATTTTCGACACAGAAAGTCCTGGCATGGCCGTTGCGGCGGGCAGGGATCCCCTGGCAGCGATCGTCCTCCACAGCTCAATTCGAGACATTGACACAGTTATCATCGACGGGATTGTGAGAAAGAAACAGGGGCGACTGGAGAGTATTAAAGTGCCTGTTGGGGTTGACTCATCAAGTGAAGGTGAGACTGTTACCTGGAAGACTGTACTGGGGCGAGTAGCCAGCCTAGCCAAGGAGGTTGATGAGAGAAAGAAGGCCATCGACCCTGAAGTTGCTGAAAATGGTGTCTTGCAAGCCTTCCACATGAATACTGCAGCTCGATGCTAAAGTGCACTGATGTGTTCTCTGTGTCAGAGCGCGTTCGAACGCGAAGTTCCTCTTCAATATTTATATACATACGGCTGTCTCCTACTCTTTTCCCGCTCCAAATCATTTAATATGAATTAGAATTCTACACTATATGATCAAAATCACCCAGCTGGATCCCGCCGGATATTCTAGGCATGCTCCCACATCAACGAGGAATATCCTCACACGGTGCTGTCGAACCTACAGATTCCTGGACACGGCTGAAGATTAGGCTAATGATGGAAGTATCTCACTTGAACTAAAGACAGCCCTCAGTTTCAACCGATAGTCCAGAACTCTCTCGGTTTCCAAGTCGTCTTGTAGCCATACGGACTGAAGCATGCGGTGCACATTCTCCATTGCTACTGAGACCGACCTGACGGCGGCCTGGCGTACAAGTTTCAAAAATAGCCTTCGTTGCTCATCGTTGCGAGATTCCATTCCAAAAACCAATAGAGGCAATGGGCAGTGGTAGATTTCTTGCTTTTCTAGAATGCCATAAGCTTTCTGAAACCATTTCTGGATCTTTACCGATGGACCAGAGGATCGCGTAGACGCTCGTTCTAGGTAGATAAGCGCTGCTAGTTTATACAGCTCAACCAAATCCGCGGGTATATCAACGGAACCCGTCCCAGTAGAAGACGATGATTGTAGTGTTTCAAGTCTATTTTCAAGCAGCTTGAGGGATTCTGTATGGCTGGCGGAGTGATAAGATGATGCTGAAGGGTCTTGAATACTCTCAACCACCTCAGAGAGAATTGCGACAATCTCATGGGGGCTTTTCGCTCCATAAAGTGCCTGATAGCAGTCAGAATTGTGCGTTCAATACAAAACATTTTGAAAGGAGCAAACTAACTGTAAGGTCAGTGCAGACTGTCGGCATCCCAAGACGCTTCCTTGCAGGTAGTTTCCAGTAGTCGTCTCCATTGCGCCAATGTTGCAGACCAAACCGACACATGACGTGCTGGTAGGCTACCCAATCAATTATTTCATGTAGCTCCCTTCCGTTTGAGGATTCGACCAGTTTGCCGACTGTGAGGATGTGATTTGCGCCACAGATATACCATGGCCACGTCACCGCCGCGCAGTTCACCTTCTTCCGTTTAGCTGTCCGAACATTCCATGCTTAATCCTAGAGACAATGTAATGAACCCACCTCAAAAGAACACAGCAGCATCTGGGCTGCAACTTGCTGAACACCCGCTAAGCCATCGATACCATGCTCGCTTGAGCTCTTCAAAGCACGGAGAGCCGACAACTTCAAGTCATCTACCTGTAGCGATGGCCCATAGCGTTGGATAGCTGACACCGTGAGAAGCGATTGCAGTACAGCTTTAGAGGCCAGTGTGCCATCTGAGAAGGCAAGGCGAAGAATGACGTCGCGGAAGCCTTCAAAATCCTGATGGAAAATGCCCATGGTCTTATAGGCAACATGATTAACTAGACAATTCGTGAATGTAAGCCCCGGTCCCATGCGTACATAATCAATATCAATGGATGCGTCTTGTTTGCTCACAATAATCAAGAAGCGTCTCATTCCCATCATCAACCTGAAATGGGCTCCAGGAAGGCGCCTTCTTTAAGACCATACGTTCCATGCGAACATTATGCTCTACACAGCGCCGAATGGCAGGTCAGTACTTCTACATAGCCAGGATCTAATCTTGCCCCCGGGGAAGTCTAACCGTGCACGCCAGAAAGACTAGAGAGATGGTGATACATCTCCAAGTCCCAGAAAGTGGCATTGATGAACCGGGCTCTTATGTCGCGGCTTACCGGCATCAAGCCCGCCTTTCCAACAACTGCTCGGCTACTTTTTGCGTTTGGCCATGAGAGGCGGACTCCGTATCCTTGGCATTTGTGGTTGGATCTCTTGCACCTGGAACACTCTGGGTAGCTCCGGTCACACATGACCTTGCGCTCTGCTCTTGTTAGCCTGCGCTCACAACCCTGTCCGTGGCAAAGCACCCATAGAATCGTAATACGAGCGATGCAACCCACCTTTGCAAGTCCAGCAACCCCGGGGGCGAGTCATTCTGGGCGCAGCGAGGGCACTTCGATAATGACAGATAAATCAATGTCTCGCCAGAAGTTGCCTCGATGCTGGTTTTGGAAGACTAGCACTGGGAGCACTGGGAGCACTGATGAGAGCTTATCTATTTCAGAGAACAACAAGCGGGTCTGAAAACGCTGATTAATGCAGAGAGACTGGACAATCTTTTCCTAAAGTAGACGAAAGGCATCAACTTGCGAGCCGAGTCAAGCGGATTATTGCCAGGGTTGAACTTACCCACTCAGAGCTCTTTGCTAAGATGGTAGACTTGACGAGCCATTCCTAAAAGGGACGAAAGGTTCTCGTTTGCGAGCTTACATACCAAAACCTTGGAAAGCCTCAGACGGCTATGGAGATGGTGTCATGACGGGCTGAGTTGCAATTTGGACTGTTGTAGAAGTCTAATGCGAATTTGTTGGTAATCATCTAATACTAATCCACAGATTTGTACGCCAATGTTCCGAGCCTAGAATCCTTCCGCAACTATAAAGGGCGCCATGTTCTATCTCGAACTCACAGCAACAGCAACAGCAACAACATTTCAGACGCAAGACAGAATCCTTACTTCTTATAACCATCTTCATTCCTCGAGAAGATAAACCAAATCGACTTAACAATGGCTTCCTACGTTGTTACCGGGGTTAACAGGGGCATTGGAGTATGTATTCATGATAAAACCGAGAAAGGGTTTGAGATCCATATACTGATGCACGCCTGGCTAGTTTGAATTCCTTCGCCAACTGTCTGAAAACCCTAATTCAATCGTTATTGGGTTGAGTCGCAACAAGAAAGCCACTGAAGAGAAGGTCAAGGCTGAGATCGGCCGCTCCAACATACATATTCTAGAGGCTGATGCGAGCGACGCCGCCGCCTTGAAGGTAAGCCAGAAGTGACTTAGTCGACCAACTACTCTTGGGACTCCGCTCATAGTGTGTTCCAGCAAGCTTCTGCGGATACTTCAAAGATCACGGGCGGGAAGATCGACTACGTGATTGCGAATGCTGCCGTTGCGTCGGAATGGTCAGAGTATGGAAACGTGGAATCCTTGTAAGTTTCTCTGTAACAATCTAGGCTCTCAATCGCCAGATGCAACCAGGACTAATAAGACATCGATCTGTAGAGGCCAAGAGCCAGAGCGTTTCGAAAAGGACATTCTTGATACCATCAAGATCAATACCATCGGGCCTATCCACCTCTTCACCTTCTTCCTTCCGCTGCTGCGAAATGGTTCGGCCAAGAAGGCCATTGCGATTTCCACAGGAATGGCTGACGCGGAGATGATCAGCAAGTTTGCAGTCGCCATATCCCCGTCGTACGCCATCTCCAAGGGTGCCCTCAACGTGGCCGTGTCCAAATTTGACGCTCAATACCGTAAAGAGGGCATTCTCTTCGTGGCCATTTCTCCTGGCCTCGTCGACACTGGCAAGGGAGCAACTCGTGAGTACTCTCTTTCTACGTTCGCAGTGCTATCCCAAATAAAGGTTCGTTGTACTAACAAGAGTTTCATAGTCACCGAGGAACAGAAGATTGGTCTCGGAAAAATGGTTGCACAATTCAGTCAATACGCGCCTAACTGGACTGGTGCCATCACCCCTGAGGTGTCCGTAAAGGCGGTCTTGAAGGTTATCGACGAGTCCAGCATTGAGAATGGAAGTGGCGGTGCTTTCATTTCTCACTGGGGTAACAAGCAATGGCTTTAATTCTCTTGTGATCTCCTAACTCTAAGAAGCTGAGGTATGCGAATGAGAGTGTGCGAAGACATAGTAGTCCTAAATCCATAGCTCAATAGATCACCGTTATGTTTAGGTTTTTGTATATGGTGCAAGGAAGCTAAATATCTTGAATCTGGTGATAGTTCTAAGCCACTAAGATCGAGTTTCCAGGCTTCAAAGCTCGATCACAATTTTTGTCATAACACAGATTGTGCCGCAGCCGATGGCAGTCTGACCCTACATGGGGGAAATCCTACTTTCTGACCACTGATTTATTCTTGAAGCGCCAAGAGCATGTGCCGCGAGAACTCACCATACCATGCATGTCAGCACGCCACTAGTTGAGGTCCGGAGGCGGAAAAGTCAGCTTCCCAACGTGTATAGATAGCGGCGGCCTCTCAAACTGACTTTGGAATATTACCCAATTTCCCCGTTGAATCTGAGAAATAGCTGTAGCTTCTGAATCCTCTACAGCTTTTGTCATGCGACTATCCAAGTCAGCTCTTCCTCTGCTGCTGGCAGCAGTTTCTGCGCAACAAACCTGCTATCGTCTCGATGGCTCCGAAGCAAGCTCAGAATTCACACCTTGTAACCCAGGCGCAAAGGTCAGCGCCTGCTGCCATCTCAATAAAGACGTGCCGGATATCTGCTTGAGCTCTGGTCTCTGCCTCTCTCAACAGCCTGGGTACGAGGGACTGATATATTCAAATGGCTGCACAGACCAGACGGGCAAAGACTCTGCCTGTCCCCAGCCATGTGCGAATAGTATGACTGCCGGCGTGCCCTTCTGATCAGCCTTCTTGTTATTCTCACATTTACTGATCAACAACCTCTTCATCGGGAGTTATAGAGAACAGCAAGTCAGTTACTGCGTACAATGTTCTTCCGTGTGCCCCTGGAAGGCAGTTCTGTTGCCGTGCCTTTGGAGATAACAGTAACTGCTGCGATGAAATCGTAACAGTCGCAATCGGGTCAGTCATGACAGCTGCATCGGCAACACTGGCTTCCACCTCAACGGCCACCGGGGGGGATATTAGCGGAACTGTCTCAACAGCCAAACCGACGACAATATTTTGCGCCAACTCTACTGATGCTAGTGCCCTTGAGACATGCCCCAAAGACAACTCTGTGGTTGTCGGGGGTGCTGTGGGAGGGGCTCTCGGTGCCCTTCTTCTGGGTTCGCTAGGCATAATCATGCTGCTACTCCTGAGAAGGACAAAAGGTATCTTGACACATCTTATATCCTAGAGATGCAAACGCTAAGGCAAACTCTTTCTAGCGGAACCTGCCACACCAGGACCTTCAGCATCAGAGTCTCCAAAATCAGGGCCTCCAACATCAAGTGCCCCCTCATCAGCCCCCTCATCTTGGGCGGTATATGAGCTGCCTCAAGCTAAGCCATCGAGACCTGAGTTGAATGAGTAGGAAGGCATGGTACTAAAACAATATGCCTACTATTTTCTATAATCCCTTAATATAAGAAAGCAAGCCTAGTCATGTTTACCCCTCGAGTATGACTATTGTGTTCATGGTTCAGTTTATCTACGGATACTGTTCAACGCACATGTAGAGAAGATACAATTCAGAAGATATGTCGCGATATTGGATTAGGGAAAGGCCCACCAATGAGTCTATATATATATATATAATTTAAGACTGTCATGGTCGTAGCCTTACAGGAGCTTATATTCAACTCCAGCGATAAAACTCGGGCAAAATCCCAGTGTGGAAAAACTCGATGCCACTGGACTCAAACGCTTGGCGAAACACCTCGGCTTGCTCTTCCTCAACACCGCGAATCGAGACCTTTCTCAACTTGGGAAAGAGCTCGGCAGCTCCAATAGCAAGCCCTAGGATATCCTGGTAAATGTGCTCGTGCGGTTTATCGAGCCCAAACACCTGCAGCGAGCTTGGCAAGAGGCTCGTTAAGAGCGTTCCATCCGTCGTGGTGTCATCGTCAGTCTCGACATAGACACATGTTCCGCAGAGTTCTAGGTTCTCTAAGACGTTCATGTCTGATAGGCCACGCATTAGTTGATCCTCATCAAGGTCATCCGGATAAAATGCCTCCTGAAGGTCGATTGAGACGGTCTGCAAGGTGTCCCTCCGGACGAGCAGTGCGGCAGAGATGTCCGCGGGGGTTGCCTCGCCCATTTCGTTCACTGTAGAACCGCCGGACTGATAGCGAAACGTCTTGAGGTTTGGAAAACTCCTTATTGTGGTTTCCAAGTCGTTCAAAGTACTCCACTCAAATACAACCGTGGTGACATTCTCGTGGCGGAAATGGCTCTGCCCTCTACCCACCAATGCGGAACTGTTTAACAAACGACAATGCAATGTCTCCAATGCAGGAGCGGCCACCAAAATACCAGTCATGCCTTCAAGTTGGTGCCCTCTCGACTCCCAATCCAGGACCCTGAGTGTGGTGAGAGAGGGAAGCATGTGAGGGCGAAAGAAAGGTTTCTGATTTAGGTAGCCCCCTTCCAACGTCAACTGCTTCACATTTGGCGTCTTGGTCATAATCAGCATTGCGAGAAACTCCTGAGCGAGGTACTCGTACATGTCACCCCCGTCCATTCGCCAGGGCAAATTGTCGGCGTCCCATAGGCATTTTGGTGACACTCGATCGCCGCGACTATTGTAGATGGTCGCACTTGCCATCTCGGCCTCGAAAAGCCGCCTGTCCTCGTCAGAATTGACGGTCCAGTAGCTAACAGCCCATAAATCAGGTCCAAAGACGAGTTCTTGCACTTGTTGCGCAAGATCTGGTCTCTGGACAATCATGCGAGCAATGGCGGGACTGTCCCTCTTGATGGCCCATGGCATGTGGTAGAGGATGGGTTGCGCAATGTCGCAGAGCGTTTTACAGGTGCGCGAGAGGCATGAGAGAGCGGCGAGGCTTTCATTTGCATCCTTGAGGTCCGAGGGTCCTAGGTAGTACGCGGGTGGCTGGGAACCTTTGCGAACGCAGTGCGTGCAGAGATTTCGGCATATTGCCATCAAAGTCTCTGTAGGGAGAGTGAGTAGAGAGGGCGCGGCCATCTTGAAGTCTCTCTGCTATACCTGAGTTTCTGCTCAAAATTTACACAGAAAATAGAGCAGCCAATTGAGTAGGTAGTAGAGATCGGAGTTCAATTGTGAAGTTTGTTTGTCCTTGAATTCACGGAGCCAAGATGTCAGCACCGCCTGTGCCATAATCCCTGACTCGCAACCCGCAATTCGGACACATGTCTGCACCTCACGTGCATAAACTAACGTACTGCTACTAACGTAGAGTCCAAACGCGTTGCTAAGATAGTGATAGATTTAGTTTAACCCTACCTTTACAATTCCTTCTTCACAGCCACTAGCTTAGGTATAACAGAAGGACTAGATATATTATATTTATTGTTAGCTAGGTTCAGTAGGGCAATGGGTAGAAGTGTTCTGAATGATTAAGCTCTAAATACTTCAATAGTCCGGCGAATAGCTCTCGAACATTCTGCTGAACTATCAACCTGGCTTCTTGGATGGTTTGTTCCCTGAAACAAGTCATTATCCACGAATCATGATTAACATACCTCATTTGTTGCTAGATCAGCAGAAGTTTTGGATCTTATAGTATTGCGGGGTCCGGATATCTCGGCCTCGGACACTACTACGCCGAGTTTAACGAACTCAAGGAGAAGGACCTATCTCGGAGACACTGTTTCCGGGGGTGAGGTGCACTTCTCGGAGAATTCAACGGTCAAATTTAGCCGGATATTTCGAAATGAAACTGTAAGGGGTTTCATAATGAGCCTTCAGCTAATTTAGCCGGGCGCGAGTACAAGTTGAGCTCAGCAGTATCATAGATAGTTTTTTACTTTATGGGTAAGAGTATTTTATTGAGAGACAATATCTCTAAATATCTGGCACCATGGAGATTAAATCGCTCCTCACGGTTAATCTCATTGCCGGCTTATTGTCAACATCAGTTGCTCAACAACCCTTATGGGAGAGATGCGGAGGCCAGGATTGGACAGGAGAGACTAAGTGTGTGGACGGCGCGGTTTGTGTGTAATAATCAAATGTTCCGTCTTTGGTAACTCTGGAGTGTAAGAAGCTGAAACTTGCTATAGATTCGTCAACGACTCTTACTCGCAATGCCAGTCCGGAGCTGCAAGCCAAAGCACGTTTAGTACCTCCACGATCAGCCAGTAAGAGCAGCTCGACCTCGGCCATAGTAAATATAGTCTCATTAAAGGATGCGAGCTAATAAATATATAGAAGTACGTTGAGTAAACTGGCGAAGAGCGTCAGCTGCTAGATCTCCTACTAACGTTCATTCAACAGCCGCAACTGGTAGTTCTGCATCATCTTTTGCGATTACTGAATCTGAACGAAGTGCTTCCGATGCTCCTGAAGCAGGTGGCTTCCGTGTGCGTCTCAACCCTAACGGTTTGCGGGTGTGGGAAGATCCCGACTGGCCAGTCTGGACAGTTTTGTCGCAAGCATCACATTCTTATACTTCCAACGGGGTGACATTTACCTTGTCTACAGAAGGAACTACTCTAAAGGGTGCTCGCTACAAGTATGTCCAACAGAGGGCCGCTGCTGGTATGGGGGAGAAGATGGTCGGCGAGGCGATGTCATCTGACGCAGAGAGCACGCCGATTACGCTCACTATTCAGGGACTGTCAGCCGGTACACATACTCTTACGACCTGGCATAATGCTCCTCATAGCCTGGCTTCCACTGCCGCCTTAACCATCTCTGTGAAAGGAAGCGACGTTGTATCGGTTAGTGGCTCTCACGGAGTGTTGTTGTCCTGTCAATTAACTGACCGCCGTCAATCAGAATCTGGCCCAGAGCATTCGTCAAGACAACTTGTGGGATTCTTCATCCTCCTATCTAACCTTTGATGTGGCTTCCACTACTGAGGAAGTCAAGATAATATACACGCCAGACTCTGGTGGCGACAAAAGAGCATACCTGAACGGGTTCGAGATCGACAAAGCCGATGTAAAGACTCAGATTCAATTCCCATACCCTTTGCATTTGGATGAACATGTCGACTTGGAGGGCAAGACAAGTACCAGCGTTTCATGGAAAGCGGCCAAGTCAGCAACATCGCCTTCCTATAACACATATCTTGGAACCGAAACCGGGAATCTCAAGCTGGTTGAATCAGGCACCTCAACCTCTACCACGTTCTCAGGTATGTCTTAACAACAACAAACTGTAGCGGTAAATTTTCGTTCTATGCTAATAGCCCATATCAAAGGCCTGAACACCGATGACTACTATTACTGGCGAGTCGATGTCGTCTCAAATGATAAAACGTTCATTGGCCGAGAAAACATGTTCCGCGTTGCACATTTGGCTTTTCCCGGAGCAGAGGGCCACGGGTAGGTTTTGTTAATAAGCGGTAGCGTTGTAATCAAGCTGCACCTGCTAACGCCCTTATAGTCGATTTGCACGTGGTGGAAGAGGGGGGAAAGTTATCAAGGTGACAACCCTGGCGGATGGGACAGAGCCTGGAACTCTCAGATACGCCTTGTCTGTGGCTACGGGCCCACGAACTGTAATCTTTGATGTCGGCGGAGTCATTACGACAACATCTCGTCTGACTGTTAGTGATAAGTATGTCACAGTGGCTGCTCAAACTGCGCCTGGAAAGGGTATTGTTATCCAAGGAATGCCCGTTGGCCTCAGTGGTGAGTTTTAGCTATCGTATTCTCTCATTGTAATTCTCTTTATTAACCACCTTTCCAGGAGCATCTGATAACATCTGGAGACACATGCGAGTTAGACCTGGGAAGGTGAGTCTTTCTCAACCAATATAACGAAGAAATGGAAGAAACAAAACTAAAATAAAACTACAACCAAGGTTTCTGGTGAGACCATTGACGGTATGGGAATGGCTGGTAGCAATTACGCCATCTTTGATCGCTGTTCTGTGGGCTGGACAATCGACGAAAGCTTTTCGTCCCGTAGCGCCAACAACATCACGCTGCAGAGGACTTTGATATCAGAGCCCCTTAATGTGGCTGGCCATAAGGTATGGTCCCGATACAACCTCGTTGGGCCTCCAGCTGACCAGGCTTGAAACCCAGAACTACCCTCCTGGCACTGCGCACGGCTATTCCGGTATGTTTCAAGCAGACACCAGAACTTCCCCAATAGCAAGCAAACATTCGTTGCTAACTGATGTCCTCATTCCTAGCTTCTGTGGGTGGCAACATCGGATCATTCCACCATAACCTTCTCGCCCACGCTGAAGGTCGAAGCTGGTCCATGGCTGGAGGGCTGGATGATGCAGCCTACTTCAACGGGCGTCTCGACTTCCGAAACAATGTCGTGTATAATTTCGGCCACCGAGTGACAGACGGCGGAGCACACCAAGTCAACTTTGTCAGCAACTACTACAAACCAGGACCAGCAACTAGCAGCAGCATGACATACGACCTGGAGGGCACCTACGAGGATGATGCTCCAGGTACACAGACATATTACTGCTCGGGCAATTCGATGCCTGGCGTCTTCACACAAGTAAGTTGCCCAATGTAGCGTCTAAGTTTCTAGCCACCCACTATTGATGGTATATAATTCGTACTGACATATGTTCTTTCTCGTTTAGGATTCGACTCAGTACGTAGGTGACGGCACTGGCCAGACATCAAACATTGCATGCAGAGCTGTGATCAAGTTCAGTCCTGGACCAACCTACCAGAAATTCTATGACAATGAATTCTTCAAACCACACGTGGAGACGCAGACGTCGACTGAGGCCTACAAACGCGTGCTCTCCGACGTGGGCGCCCAACAACCAGTATTTGACGACCACGACACTCGCATCATCCAGGAGACACTCAACGGATCATACACGTACACCGGAAGCGTAGGAAATACAAAGGGTATCATCGATGACCCGGCAGATGCTGGCGGACTAGAGGATTTCCCATCTGTGACTCGGGATTCGTCGTGGGATAGTGACAATGATGGCATCGCCGACTGGTGGGACGGATCAACCGGAGGAGAGGGATACACACCGCTGGAAGGATACATCAACTTCATGGCTGAGCCTCACGTGTATGTGTCGCCATCGAAGACTGTCACGATCAATCTCGCTGCGCTGGCTTCAGGCTTCTCATCCCCATCATTCAGTGTTTCCGGACCAACCAAAGGCTCAGTCTCACTCAACGGTTCCGAGGCGTCATACTCAGCCGGCGCATCCGCCGGTATTGATTATGTTACAGTCGACATCAAAGACGGCGAAGGCAGCACCTGGTCCAGGAAGGTGGGAATCGCCATATACGAGGGCGCAAATTAGCTGGTGAGTCAGACGAGCGGTTGTGTGCGCGACTCAACCAACGCGCCAGGGCCAGCAACGCGACCTTTTGCGCTGAGGCGGCTGAGCCCCAGGGATCTTATAAATACAAACATTATTGTTTAACGTGGCCAATGCAAGAGTAATAACACCCGAAATAATAGCCAGGTTTGTGGTTCTGTTGAAGAAAAATTTTCACATTTGCATTGCCGTATCCGAAGTTATTGATATGTTTACTTTTGGGCGGGAGAAATCGGCTCCCACAGTTGATTACGGAGCACTTATTTGAGCATCGACACAATATGGAGTTCTTGGCTTCCGAAATTTGTGCATAAACAAACGTGCCTGGGGAATGACGACAGAGTGTGGAGAGCAGCATGGCATTTTAGCAAAGGGCCGTCCCGGAGAGCGTCTGTTTGGACTATCTACGTCATAAGAGGTGTTTGAGATTGCTCTGGCAGCTAGTTTGTGCCCAACGACAAGGAGCATCCTGAACCATCAAGAGGAGCTTGCTGGATGCCGAGGCTGGATGGGGACGAGTTGGACTCCGACACACACTGAAAACAAGTTTCATCTCCACGGCTACGACTGGATTGTGGGCGGCGCTATATCAGGATCCAGAATTCCAATAGCGGCAGGACTGGGATTAGAGTGTGATCGGAAAGCAGCCTGGTCCATGCCCGGATCACCTCTCAGTGACTCTGGCGTCTGAGCCTGAGATTGAGCTGACCCGTGCCGGCCACGGTCTTGGTCCTCTTAGACTCCTTCTGTCAGACTGTGCCTAGCAGGACCCTGCGTTTAATTAATTATAGTCCATAGATATGCAGGGGTGATCCCACCAAATCAAAATTACAGGCGAAAGGCACAGCCCATCAGCCACCATCAATGGTCCATCATTGGGCCCGTTTACCCCTGCTCCTTGAGAGGAATGCTTTTCGAGTCGGGCAGCAGCAGCCCTTTCTGGGTCTGTCTTCCAGAAGGCGGATTTCGGGGGTGATTGGGCGGCCACAATGTCCCTTTTTTCCCCAGTAGGACAGACTCCGATGGATGCCCAACCGGATGCACATACTACTTAGGCCCGATGGTCTGCAGGTCTGGTGCCTTTTTCCTTTCTGAACCTATCCCATCCCAATCAATCACAGAATCGAGAGAGGCGCGCTGCAAAGCCGCGGGGCCAAGCTGCAGGTTACTTCAACCCGATCCGATCTACCCAGGACAACCCTCTTAATCATCTCAGCCATGGCCCCATCAGCGTCTGCCCCGCCTCCCAGCTTTGCCCAGCTGGAACAGGCAGCTCTCCACATTGTCCGGCTCATGAGTGACACGCCCGGTTTGGAGAACACCAAGCTGGCCGTCACTGGTGATCTGGCTGTGTGCAAGTATCTCCCCCAGCACGGCCGAGTTGAGGTAAGACGACACGACTCATCCCCCCCTTGCCATTGAGGTGAGTGAAGCTAACGGTTGCACTAAAACGATCAGAGCATCGACTTTGTCATCAGCAAATCGTCGTCCCCCAGCCGGGTCAAGAAGGAGATCGTCAACCACCCGATGAGCCCCCTGTTTGAGAAGGCCGGCCTCGTCTACATCAAGCTGCCTAAGGGCCAGCTGGTCGAGGTCAAGATGATCCCAGACTGGCTCAGCCCCTATCTCCCCGCCGCCGCGCGACCAGTGCGAGAGAACACCAACGCTCTCCCCTACATCTCCATTGACGACTTGATTGTCTTCAAGGTGGATGCCTGTGGCCTTCGCGAGCGTGAGGCGAGCAAGCGGCAGGAGGCGTGCGTCGCCGCTGCGCTCCTTGAGCTTGCATCTGAGCATGGCCCGATCAACGTCGACGAGGACAAGTTGGACCGGATTGAGCAGGCTCTTCCGGAAATTCTTGAGTTCTGTGACGCCGAGCACGACAAGAGCTGGTGGCAGCGCCGACTTGGTGGCGTGCCCGACAAGAGGAGATCGGTCCAGGAGATCCTCTCTGATCTCGCTGAGCATCCGACGTCGCCATCGGCCATGTCGTCTCCTCCTACTTCTCCCCGGGCTCCCCTCTCCAAGAGGTCGTCGATGTACTCCACCATGTCGCGCACCTCCTCCTCCACGAGCTCCATCTCAAACCTGTCGACCTTCTCGTCCATGACCTCCATCACCACCCCGGATGATGAGATCAAGCCTCTGGAGAAGAGCACTCGCCCACGCAAGCTCAGCGTCACGGGACACTCCAAGAAGCACGCCAGGCACCCTTCCAGCGGCGTGGCTCCCACTAATGCCAGGCTTGAGGATGCCATTCAGCGTATGCACATTGGCCGCCCGGCTTCCCCTGGGGTTGCTCTCACCAACGAGATTTAACACTCATTCAACTCAATATTTCCTTTTTTTTCCTTCATCATTTTGTTCAAGCGCATTGGCACATAGCAAGTTTTCTCCTACTCCCACTTCCATCTTCTTTGTTATTTTTTCTTCTCTTCTCATGTTTTTGTCTTGTTATCTTGATGGTTATTAATTAGATACGGATACGGGAAACGAATAGCCTTGGTCTTTCACAGATACCCGCGACGATTGAGGCGCACATTTTTGTAACGGACTTTGGTAGCGTTTGTTGATTCATTACGGGACGGTTCAGAAAAGTTTGGAGTCTGGGATAGACAAAAAAGCAGGTAGAATTGGGGTTTTGGTTAGACAAAAAGTTTTGTATCAACAGTAGTCGTCTTAGATGTATTCTCATTACAGATAGCAATTTAATCTGGCTCAATAGATCGTGTTTGCAGTTGACTGGTATATCCATACTCAAGAACAAGACGTAGCTTGACTGGGAAAAGAACACAGAGGATTAAACAGCGCTTCAATCTTCGCTAGAGTTTACATTAGAATAGGCTCGATATGCCTGGCAATCGAAGAAACCTATTTCCAAAATCAAAACCCCAGAGGTTGGAAATAAACACTCATCAATAGACAGAAAACAACAGGGTCCTTCCTACGGCTTCTAAATCTTCATCTATTCTACAGCCTCCAGTGTAAGTGGTTTCTTTCCGTTATCTACGATGTCGGCTTATGGTTGGCTTACCCGAACACACTCAAGTCAGCTTCCTGAAGGACGACGCATCCATCATTCGGAGCTTATCCAGCCCCAGGCAGATGAAATCAACGAGAGCCAACTCATAATTAAGCAGGATGGTCGCCAGATATTACGACTCACATATAGCACAAGTGACACGAGTATGCGTAGTATTGACTGACTGGTTCAACACAAGGTCAAGAACATCTACGTTGGGCTTATCAAGCATTCTCAATTTCAAGGCTTAGTTAAGTCAGGAATCTGGTCTACTATGTACTCTTGTCGGGAGATTTAGAATGCGGCAAGTCATTTCTCGCCAAAAATAATTTCAATGAAGCTCTATTACGATTAAAAACAACTATCTACTATTTCTCTTCAAGGGGTGACCAAAATACTACCCATCAGGCACTCTATACTATACTTCGTTGGCTTTTCACTTAGAAGGCGTATCTACGCAAACAAGCCATAACATTTGATTATTTGAAAATAACAGCACGAAAGAACTTGAATCCTTTTCGAGCATCCCGTACAATACCGCAAAAGAATCCAGTCACTCACGAGGTCTATCATAATTGTCTCCTCAATGCCTTAGATGAATGTGTACGTCCAGGTTTCGGGAAATGGGTGCAGAATCCAGAGACTCAGTTCTGCGAAAATAATCGAGGCCAACGAAGCCTCAAGTAACTCCTTTCCAGGCGCCTTTATCGGAATCGTATAGTCAAGTTTTTCGGCATACTAGCCACTTTCCGCACCTTTGATAAACAGGGAAAAGAATGGCCAGGTAGAATTATCCACAAGGCGAATTACATTATTGCACATCGAGTGCTAGGAAAAGAGAAGAAGCTGTCGCCATAGTTTCAAGACTACATCAAGCAAGGGCTACAAAACATTAGTCCCGAAATCCATAGCGAAACCTTGGACCAATGCACGACTTGATAGTATCAATTGGTGAGTTCAGGGCACACTGACGTAAGAGGTCTCGGTTTCGTCATTTTGTCTCAACCCCTCTTTTGCTCAACACTCAGCACTCAACCAGACCAAGGACACTCAGCTTCGTACGCTTGGAAGAGGAGTATATTTTTGCACCATTAATCACGGAAAGCTCGGAATTCACGCAGTAGAGTATATCATGACGCGGCACATTCTCATCCTCGGCGGGCATGGCAAGATTGCGCAGCTGCTCACGCCGCTGCTCCTGCAGAAGTCGTGGACAGTAACGAGCATCATTCGAACTTCGGAGCAGATACCTACTATTGAGGGATTGGCGACGGGCCATGGGAAGCTCAATGTCCTTGTCCGCAGCCTCGAGGATGTCAGAGAGGTATCGCAAGCCAAGGGGATACTGGATGAAGTGAAGCCGGATTCAATCGTGTGGACGGCCGGCGCGGGCGGAAAGGGCCCTGTGGAAAGGGTGAGCGTGTGATCTCCCTCACTCCTCTGTCTTCATCCATCTAACGCAATGAATTGCAGACATTCGCTGTAGATCGAGACGCAGCGACGTGCTTTGTCAGAGCGGCCATCGACACGCCAAGCATCTCCAAGTTTGTTTTGATATCATACCTCGCGTGTCGTCGCGCATCGCCGAGCTGGTGGGACGCAGATTCGTGGGAATATATCCGCAAAGTGCATGCCAGCTCACTTGCCGATTACTGTGAGGCAAAGCTACAAGCCGATCAGGTTCTTGTACAGGAAGCATCCAAGAGAAGCGATCTTGCCGCGATCAGCTTACGGCCGGGGATGCTCACAGACGCGTCTTCAGGCGGTGTTGAGCTAGGGAAAACAAAAAGCGCGCGGGGCAATATTAGTCGCGCGTCTGTTGCGGAGACTATCTCGGCTCTGCTGGAGAATGAAGGCCTCAGCACATGCTGGTTGGATCTACTTGATGGGGAGGAAGATGTTGGTACGGCCGTAGATCTTGTTGCTCAAGGTAGAGTAGATGCAGCAGAAGGGGAGAAGACACACCTCTAATAGGGGGATGAATCACAATATGATTATGACGGCTTAAATTCGACTAGAAATAAAACAAAGAGGAAATGGAAATATTCTTAGGTTAGATCTTGGTGATGCTTATGATGGGCGGATTGTGGTGTTGAATCTCAGTAAGATAAATGGGAGGGTATAGGGTAGGCTATAGGATCGAAAAGGTGAAGCTCAATGGAGTTTCAATTGACGAGCGGCTGTAACGCAGACCTGTTCCCTCTCCAGCTTATCAAGGTGAGACAATTTGTTGCGGAGCCATGGTGAGCGAAACCCCCAGCGAGCCGCGATTCTCGTGCTCCGAGTGCAAGCTGCGCAAGGTCAAGTGCGACCGCACGACGCCTTCCTGTGCGCGATGCATCCGAAATGGCGATGTCTGCCATTATCCGACGGTGCGGAGACGCAACGCTCCTGGCATGGGCCTGCCGTCACGGCCCAAGATCAGCGACCTGGAGAGCCGCCTAGGTGAGTATTCACTAAGCATGATGTTGTCATGGTACTTTGGCTGACTGGGATGCCAGCGGAGCTTGAGGGGAAGCTGCGCACCCAAGATCATGGGCAAGCATCGCGGAGCAGCGAGCTCCCCCAGACTCCAGAGTCCTTCGGCGGAGGGTCGAACTCCTCCTCTTCTATGGCGTGGACGGGTCGCATGGAGCAGCTCCCAGCGCGGGAGCAGGTGGATGAACTGTATGCCACCACCGACTTCTATTGGGTCTTCTACTCGGACATGAGAGAACGGATGGTTGGCTAACAACTCACACTACGATGATTCATACAGGACGGACATCTACTTTGCCAAAATACATTGCACTGCACCCATCCTCCATCCCGTGCGGTACCGAGCCTCGCTGTATCAGCCACCGCACATGCAGCCGCCAATGTGCCTCCAGTACACCATCATGACCCTCGCGGCCAACGTGTCGTCGGCATACATCGCCGAGCCGTTCTACAGGCGCGCACGGAAATACCTGGAAGCCGACGAGATGATGGTGAGTCTGATCCATAGCTTTTATGAAAAGGAAGAAATCCGCTGAATCGCCATGCGCTGGTTGAGTAGGATGACGGCTACAATATCACGGTGCCTCACATCCAGGCATGGATCCTGCTCAGTCATTTCGAGGCGCAACAGCTGTGGTTCTCCCGGGCCTCCATCAGTGTATCGAGGGCCGTCCGGATCATGCAGATGCTCGGCCTGCATGCATTGGACGCGCCGCATGGCCCGACTCAGCGGACTCTGCTCCCACCAAGGGATTGGTGTGAGCTTGAGGAGCGACGACGTACGTTTTGGGCTGGCTTTATGACAGACCGGGGGACAAGTGCCACTACGGGATGGCCTGTCCTGATCAATGCACACCAGGTGAGTAACGCTCTTGATCAGTTCAGTCGAAGTGGAGGTATTATTGGGAATGTTGGGAGAAGAGAGACTACTGACACGCCAGGCTTCAGATCCAGACTCGATTGCCGGCATCCGATGAAGATTACCTTGCTGGTGTATCTACTGAGCCTGCACCCCAATCGTTCCAAGATGCACTGAGCAACGGCGGTACGGAAAGGTCTTCCTTTGCCTGCCGGATCATCGCCATGCACCTCTTCCATGAGTGCATTGATAGCAACCACAGCAACCCCCTGCTTCCGAGCTTCTCAGCTCTGGATGCCGAGCCGTTTTGGATGCGGTTTGCGTCTCTGGACCAGGGCATAGCGACCGCCTTTGCCACGATGCCGGCCCATCTCTGCTGCCCTGAGAACATGCACGATAACGATGCTGTTGTCGTCAACCTGCAGCTGTACACCTCTACGATATGCCTGTATCGCGCAGCGACATCGCGCGTCAACTCAGCCAGTGAAGATGACACGGATGCACCACCACGACTACCGATCGACGCGAACGAGAGGGTGCAGATCGCGGCGCAGCAGATCACGACGATCCTGGCCATGGCCATGGACATCCACACGAGGTTCCGTAACCCATTCACGGCGTTTGCGGCGTTTATGGCGGCGTTTGTGTTCATCAAGCGGGATCAAGAGTCGGGCACGCGGTCGAACATGGACAAGGTGAATGCGCTGATGGACATGATGGTGACGATTGGCAGCGAGAACGCCATGACGGCCTCGCTGGCGGTGCAGCTCGCGCACGAGCTGATGAAGACGGGGCTGGACCCGCTGGCCATGAACAAGGTACGTTACTGTCACGTCCTGTCTCTACTTGTGCATTGATGGCTGACGAGGACCAGGTCTACGGGTTGATGAGTATGATGGATCAGCACGTGCCGCTGCTGGGCAAGGAGAGTGAGAAGGACGGCGCGGTGGTCTTCTGCCCGATGGAGGAGCGGTTTGGAAAGACGACGCATTGATTAGTTGGTCTTTGATTGGATTCACGAGAGCATGAATACACGACTTGGATTGATTGACAGAAGACGGTACACTTCGCAATGATGTTCAAGCTTGGTCCCTGAACCTACCTCTAGCAAGCTGAATCCACCGCGATTGGAACCGTTCCAGTCGCGAAGCTAACGCAGGAATAGATGCCCGATTAACTCACCCCTAGTCGCCGTCTGTCTGTCTGGCTTGTCTTGTCTGGTGGAGAGCATCTTGTAGGCTGTTGGCCACTCACACACGTGCTATTGTCAGAGCCGGAAGCGGTTTGCGAGCTTGGCTGACTGCTGACACGCAAAAGTGGATGAGGGCCCAATGTAACGAGTTTAGCAAGGCGGTGAGCACCGAGATAATGGCAGGGATTGGAAAATCAGGGTGCGTCGGAGGCCTTTTGGTGATCTGCGCACGGCAGCGATGGAATGGATCGCATATCTGAAACAGAGAAAGCTCCGGCTGCCAATTGAATGCCCTCATCAATTGATGCTATGTGTTGATGTGGTTGTAGCGGCCTCTTGCCCTGTGTCCGCTGTGCTGCAGGTGCCTGGAGGCGCTGAGGGCAGTCCCACCGGTGCTGCAACTGCTGTACGTAACGGCCTGATCCGCTGTGCCTCAGGGATTGAGCTCGCTGCAGCTCAGAACCCCAATTGGAGCTGTCTGAGCTGAGCTGCATGTCCATGGAAGCCATCCGCAGCAGCTCTGCTCCATCGCTCTGTCACACGATCTTTCTCCTGTTTCGTAGTTTTCTCTCCCCTCTCCGCTGCTTCGTCCACCTGCTCTGCCATCGCCTGTGTCGTCTGCGGCATCGTTGGGAGCATTGCGTTTGTCTTGCCTCGTGCCGAGCAGAGCTTCGTCCTGCCCCTCGCACGTGCTTTGCTGTGTCTCACCCCGCCATTGACTGCTGCATCCCGCCTTTTCTCCCCTCCTCCTCGTCCAGCCCGCCGCCATGGCTCCCAGAGGCGAGATCCCGCCCAACTCGTCCGTCACCGCAGCGTCCGGCCGAGGCGAGACCGGTGCAGTTCCCGATCTGCGTCTCCTGCACTACAACGACGTCTACCATGTCGATCCCGCCAGTGCCGAGCCCGTTGGTGGCCTCGCCCGCTTCATGCACCTGTGCCAGCACTACCGCCACGCCGAGCAGTTCAAGGGCCAGTCCGAGCTGCTGACCTTCTTCTCCGGCGATGCCTTCAATCCCAGTCTCGAGAGCAGCGTGACCAAGGGGAGGCACATGGTGGATGCCCTCAATACAATTGGCACCGACTGTGCCTGCGTGGGTGTATGTACCATTTCCTAGCTTTCCCTGTCTGCTTGTTGGACCCTTCCCATTGGGAGAAACTGACCATTGGAGCACGCAGAACCACGACTTTGATTTCGGCGTCAAGCAGTTCCAGTACCTCTCCGAGAAGACCAACTTCCCATGGCTCCTTGCCAACGTCCTCGATCCCGCCCTCGGCGAGAATGTGCCCCTCGGAAACGCGAAGCGAACCCACATGATGACCTCGTCCAACGGCATCAAGATCGGCCTCATTGGCCTCGGCGAGCGCGAGTGGCTCGAGACCATCAACAGCCTGCCCCCGAACCTCATCTACAAGTCCGCCAGCGAGACGGCGCTCGAGCTGGTCCCCGAGCTACGGGCCCAGGGCGCCGAGATCGTCATCTGCATCAGCCACCAGCGCGAGCCCAACGACAACAAGCTGGCCGAGAAGACGGGCGGCATCATGGACATCATCCTCGGCGGCCACGACCACTACTACTCGTACGCCTTCATCCAGGGCACGCACGTCCTGCGGTCGGGCACCGACTTCAAACAGCTCAGCTACATCGAGGCGTGGAGGAAGGAGGACGGGTCCGGCGGCTGGGACTTCGACATCACGCGGAGGGACGTCACCTCGGAGATCCCCGAGCACGAGGAGACGGTCCAGCTTGTCACGGAGCTGACGTCCAAGCTGCAGCACTCGCTCGCAAAGGCCGTCGGCTGGACCGCCACGCCGCTCGACGCGCGGTTCAGCACCGTGCGCATGAAGGAGTCCAACATTGGCAACTTCGTCTGCGACGTCATGAGGCAGCACCACGAGGCCGACTGTGCCATCATGGCTTCGGGCACGATCCGCGGCGACCAGGTCTACCCCCCCGGCGCGCTGCGCATCAAGGACATCGTCACCTGCTTCCCGTTCGAGGATCCTGTCGTCTTGCTCGTCGTGACTGGCCAGGCCATCTGGGACGCGTTGGAGAACGGCGTCAGCCAGTACCCTGCTCTGGAGGGCCGCTTCCCCCAGGTGTCCAACATCCACTACGAGTTCGACCCTCGCAGGGAGACCCGGAAGCGCATCTTGTCGGTCAAGATTGGCGGCGAGCCGTGTGATATGGAGAGAAAGTACAAGCTTGTGACGCGAGGATACATGGGACGTGGAAAGGGTAAGGAACGAACCGATCCAACTCGAGGAAGTGGGGATTTGCTAACACGCTGCAGACGGATTCACATCGCTTCTCGTCAAGTCTGAGGGCGGCGAGGCCGAGGAGATCATCGATGAGGAGAACGGGATTCTCATCTCGGCGATGCTGCGCCAGTACTTCATGGGTCTGCGGACGGTGGGCCAGTGGACGAACCTGGCGAGCCACTGGCGAAAGGTCGCCGACAACTGCGGCACGCCGCTGTCGCCCGTCCTCCCGTCCTCGCCAGTCTCCGAAAACTTCGGGAGGGCGAGGCGGAACACCCTCGAGCGCCTGTACAGCGAGGAGACGTCCCTCGAGTGGATCGGGTTCCTGCACTCGCGTATCGGACTGCAGCGGGCCCCCATCAACGACGATGTTAGCGACACCGAGAGTGAGAATGGGGCGGAGGAAGTCCAGAACGGGGATGGTCTGCCGACGGTGGACGACGACAAGATGGAGATTGAGCTGCTGCTAATGCGCAAGTTTGCCACGAGGTGGGTGATGAAGACGGGCCTGAAGACCAAGGTGTGTGACCCAATGAGCGAGGCCGAAGCATCGGTGGACTGGACGAGGACGATTGCGCCGGTGGTCGAGGGACGGATCAAGATGGTGCAGTGACAAGGACCGGCAGGCGATCTACCACGCCACCGGGCCCCCGGATTCCCTGACAGAGACAGCGACGGGACCATAAAAGGAACCTAATGACCAATTACGACGTAAGAATATAAAGTGAACGAGTTATGCAACGTTGTCCCTGTGCCAAAGTCGCTCGCTAAAGGATGGTGGTAGAGATCCCCGGGAAGGGAAGGGAAGGGGGTAGACCCTGGAACAATGACATGCAGATCAGATCAGCTCGACCCGGAGTAAGACCCCGTTGGTGCCATCATCAAACAGGGAAGGACACTGTGACGCCTCCCGGACGGACTTGCTGTTAGCGCTAGGAGAATGGGATCATGTCCTGATCGTTCCTTGTCCAGTCTCCGGGTTGACACCTGTGGAGAAAGATGCTGGGCACTGGTGAGTGGCTAGAGGCGGCGAGGGACTCGGGATTACGCGAGTGTTCATGCAGGCAGCTATCTGAGATGGGACGGGCGGACATTATCATCATGTGGAGGGTTTATCGAAGATGAGATGGGTGGCCTTTCGGACGTGGAACCCTGGTTCCCAGCCCGCCGCCCCAATCTATATGGTTCATTGCTACGGCCATAACATTATGCGACTAGGAAGAGGAAGAGTAGACGTTGCTTCAAGTCAGAGGTGGTTTGAACAGAGACGAGGACTTGTTGTTGTTGAGCACGGCGGTTGAAGACATGACACAACGGGAAAGGCCCCGAAGCAGCAACGGACAAATCACCACGCGAGCATTTGTCAGGACCGGCGGGTTACACTGTCCCTTGCGTAGCATGCGGACGGAGCCGAGTGTAAGTCACATTGGTGTGGAGATGTGAGCTGACGATAGGCTATTCTGGAGCGTCGTCGGAGTAGCGGAGAATTAGAAATACGGAACAAATCGAAAACGACTACTACACGAGATGACTGTTCCGGCACCTGATCTGATCTGAGAAAAATTAACTCGATTTAACGGCCGGTGTCGCGTGTTGAGTGTGGGCGGGATGCTGGGACATGCCCCCATCCGCTCTTCTGTTGGACCGCCAGGGGATGAACTGACACTGAAATTTACAGTGTGATCCCTGCATATCGCCTAATGTGATGCATAGCGCTAACAAGCGAGTGGGCTGTTTTTTTCTGTGCTTCGATCCGCCGTGGAGGTTTGTCTCGATGCTGCTGCGACTGGGAAAGTCGCCGACAATGCAGACTCCCAACGGCCAGCACAGCACCAGAGGGAGAATTCTCTTAAGGTCACCGGGCCATTCTCACCATTCATCTACACAGCCTTACTGCTATATTCTCTGCTCCGGCGGCCTGGAGCTCGGGTGCGGCCGGACGCGGACCCGTCTCCCGGCCTGCCCCGGAAATCAGACCACCATCAGACGAGCAGGTCCCAGACCAGGGTCGGTCCCGGCAGCTCGCCCACTGTAGCTGGGCAGGCAAATGGATGGCTACTGAATGGTCAGAGGGCTCGTGAAGCCTCTCAGATGACGTCGAGGCCTGGAGCCCTGATCCCTCGCCAGAGCTGTCGCCGGCGCCGGTCACAGAGTTGAGTCTGTGCTAGCCACCCCGGCCATAGATCTCGCCATTTTCTTTTTCAAGAGGCCGCGGCCATATCTATCTTGTTCCCCTCCTTCCTGTTCCCGTGTTCCTGCTGAGAAGACGTCCTGTTCTTTGTTAAGAAGCGAGCCTGCATCTACTGCTCCGACTGTGCATGCACATACGATCGATCATCGAACCACCGCACACCCCTCCATCCTCGTGATTTCCCCGCCGATACTGGTGGTGCTGTTTGAAATTTTCGACTTGACATCTATTATTTTAATCTATCACTGTCCCAATAGCTTCACGATAGCTTGCGGCCACATATAGGACCATAGCAGGAAGCTGCCTACAACCACTCCATCACACAAGCTGGTCCCTTCAGACCCCGGATTCA